CTATTAACAATTTATTATCCTCAGATCCACTATTTCAAGACTTTACTTTTTTCAGACTTTGAAAGCCATGGTGGAGAAGAGATACAGGGCCAAAGTGGTGGTGTCTTCTGCATCTGCTGTTAGTTTAACAGCAGACATGTGTACCTCCATCAACACTGATGCCTATCTTGCAGTGACTGGTCATTTTATTGACGAGAGCACTTCTCTGCAGACTGTTGTCCTTGGGGTGCAGCATTGCCCTGAGGCACATACAGCAGCAAATCTAGCGAGAGTGATGACCTCTCTTATGTCAGAGTGGGGTTTAGCAGGAAAGGTGACATGTCTGGTGACTGATGGTGCTGCGAATATGGGAGCTTGTGCTCGAGAGCTACATATGCGTCACACAATTTGTGTGGCACACACGCTAAACTTAATGATCAAAAAAGCTCTCGACCAAAGTCCTGAGTTGTGTGACATCAGGACAAACTGTCGTAAGATAGTATGATACTTTAAGAGCAGCACTACTGCAAAGGTAAGGTCCTTACTTGTAATATGTCAATTATTATTTCTGCTCCTGCACTGTTTTAATTTGTTGACTGTTTTATAGGAGAGACTTACACAGATTCAATCACAAATGGGTCTCTCCGTGCTTAAACTTATTCAAGAGGTGGATACAAGATGGAACAGCACGTACTTAATGCTTCAGCGTCTGTTCAACCTGAGGACAACGGTTCCGTTAGGGCCTATCGCCCCATGTTAAAAGATAGGACTAGGCCCTAATGCTCCTCGCTTGCCGTTGAGGCCCCTTCCATTAGGGCCTCCTAGGCCATAACGGCAGATTTTTTCATCTGGGGACCCCTGACCCCTCCGATAGGGCCTAAAATTTTGCCGTTAAGGCCTAGGAGTTGCGCTGACCGTCTGCTGACCGTTGATGGCGCCATCGACTTATTTCTCGCTTGATCCCGCCCCCCCAGATTAGCCCAGCCCCTCCCGAAATTAGCCCCTCCCCTTCTGTAAGGGCCTAGGCTTCTTCCAATAGGGAATAAATTGGTTGCAAAGGGCTAACAGTGCATGACCAGCCTCTGGGCCCTGCCGCTTGGGGCCAAATTTCTTCCAATAGGGCTCATTAATGGAAAATTGATCATTTGATTGTGGGAGGGGCCTCTATTGGCCAATCCAAAAACAGCTGCTCCGAGGAATTTTTTCACATCTGATGTTTTTCATTAGGGGCCAAAAAAATCCCACTCATTTAGACCCAAACGGAACGTGACCTTTGACCCCTCAACATCGGAGCGGTCAGTCAACTCAGCGCTCGCTCACGATAAACATTCCGAATTTTGAGCCTCCAAACTTAAGCCGTTTTTCATCTATGAACGATAATTGATACTTCAAAAGGGCTCCCTGGCTGTCAATCAACGCCAGTGTGGGGGGATGGGCAGCTGAAAAATTCAGAAAAGGCTTTTCTGCTTTTGTCAAAGAGAAGAGCAGAAAAGTCTAAGACCTGAGATTGTCATTAGGGCCTACTTTGTAATGGCAAAATGGGCCCAAACGGAATTAGACAGTCTTTCTTCTTGACTTTTGGTAGAAGCAAAGGTCACACAAACTTGTCCTTTCAGCCCATCAATATACACCACCGTGACATGTACATACTGTAATATTAGCCCTGTACCTACAGTCGTTTTCAAATGATGGAGAAAAAGCAACGGAAATAGAGGCCGTTTTCAGCAAGTTCAAGTCTTTTGTCCAGATTTGACCCCTTTTTCTTGGAGTTGGACCAAGTGGCTGGTATCGACGCGCTCGGCACGCTCTGCTGATGAACATACTGAATTTTCAGCCTCCTAGCTTGAAGCTAAACTGGCTTAGAACCCAGAAATGGGGTGCAATCTTCCGTTTGGGCCTTGAAAGTTTCGTTAGGGCCCTGATTTTGATCATTTGCTTTTTGGCTATTATAGCTTGACCTTTGACCCCAGAGCTACCAAATTTGGTACAGAGAATGGTACGAGGGCCCTGTATCATAATCCAGCGTCGGATTTTAGCTGAGACCCCCAGGGGAGTTAATTGGCTGTCTGTAAATCAGGCTTTCAAGATGGGGTAAGGGTCTAGGCCTCTGACACCATCCTCATATTAGTTTGAAAATCGTGGTCAAAACCATTTCTGCATGTATTTGAAAGCTGTCTTTGTAGTATGTTGTTAAGGGTGACGAGACGAGTTCAAAAACGTTTGTTAGAGGTCTGTCGGACGTGTCGTTTTTGAAAGGCGGGGCTTCAAAATAACGCCGTTTTCAGCCTTTCAGGGTCCGTGAAATGGTGGGTTTTGGTCCAAACGACACCAAACTTCATGAATACTTGTTACTATGGACAAGGAATAGGATTCCAAAGTTTCCAGTCCAACGGACCTAGGGGGCGCTATTTCCGTTTCTGGCAGTCAAAACGAAATGGGACCAAAATATCTGAAAAGAGCATAGGGTGATATGTAACATACTGTAAAATTGTGTCAAAGTATGGTTGTCTTCCATCTTTTAGAGCACAAAAGGAATAGAACCTTTTGCCATTAGGGCCTAGATTCCACAATGAAATTGGCCCCTAATGGAAGGTAGGCCTCAAAAAGTGAAATTTTTCTTGACTTTTGGTAGAAGCAAAGGTCACACAAACTTGTCCTTTCAGCCCATGAATATACACCACCGTGACATGTGCATACTGTAAAATCAGCCCCGTACCTACAGTCGTTTTCAAATGATGGGCAAAAAGCAACGGAAATAGAGCCCTGACCCACGTCTCACCCTGGTTTGACCCCTCGACCTTGGAACTGCGCGGTTCTTTTCGGACCACAGGTGCAGGCGTCCTCCAAGGTCAACATACTAAAATATGGGCTTTGTAGCTTTAACCAAATTTAAACTATGGAGTTTGAGAGTTTTCCCGCCCTTTTTCGTTGGCAGTTTGGACGTTAAAGCTCAAGTCTTTTGTCCAGATTTGACCCCTTTTTCTTGGAGTTGGACCAAGTGGCTGGTATCGACGCGCTCGGCACGCTCTGCTGATGAACATACTGAATTTTCAGCCTCCTAGCTTGAAGCTAAACTGGTTTAGAACCCAGAAATGGGGTGCAATCTTCCGTTTGGGCCTTGAAAATTTCGTTAGGGCCCTGATTTTGATCATTTGCTTTTTGGCTATTATAGCTTGACCTTTGACCCCAGAGCTACCAAATTTGGTACAGAGAATGGTACGAGGGCCCTGTATCATAATCCAGCGTCGGATTTTAGCTGAGACCCCCAGGGGAGTTAATTGGCTGTCTGTAAATCAGGCTTTCAAGATGGGGTAAGGGTCTAGGCCTCTGACACCATCCTCATATTAGTTTGAAAATCGTGGTCAAAACCATTTCTGCATGTATTTGAAAGCTGTCTTTGTAGTATGTTGTTAAGAGTGACGAGACGAGTTCAAAAACGTTTGTTAGAGGTCTGTCGGACGTGTCGTTTTTGAAAGGCGGGGCTTCAAAATAACGCCGTTTTCAGCCTTTCAGGGTCCGTGAAATGGTGGGTTTTGGTCCAAACGACACCAAACTTCATGAATACTTGTTACTATGAACAAGGAATAGGATTCCAAAGTCTCCAGTCCAACGGACCTAGGGGGCGCTACTTCCGTTTCTGGCGGTCAAAACGAAATGGGACCAAAATATCTGAAAAGAGCATAGGGTGATATGTAACATACTGTAAAATTGTGTCAAAGTATGGTTGTCTTCCATCTTTTAGAGCACAAAAGGAATAGAACCTTTTGTCATTAGGGCCTCGATTTCACAATGAAATTGGCCCCTAATGGAATGTAGGCCTCAAAAAGTGAATTTTTTCTTGAGTTTTGGTAGAACCGAAGGTCACACATACTTGTCCTTTCAGACCATGAATATACACCACCGTGACATGTGCATACAGTAAAATCAGCCCCGTACTTACAGTCGTTTTCAAATGATGGGCAAAAAGCAACGAAAATTGAGGCCTGACCGTATAGTCACCCTGGTTTGACCCCTCGACCTTGGAACTGCGCGGTTCTTTTTGGACCACAGGTGCAGGCGACCTCCAAGGTCAACATACTAAAATATGGGCTTTCTAGCTTTAACCAAATTTAAACTAGGGAGTTTGAGAGTTTTCCCGCCATTTGCGTTGGCAGTTTAGTCGTTAAAGTTCAAGTCTTTTGTCCAGATTTGACCCCTTTTTCTTGGAGTTGGACCAAGTGGCTGGTATCGACGCGCTCGGCACGCTCTGCTGATGAACATAGTAAATTTTCAGCCTCCTAGCTTGAAGCTAAACTGGTTTAGAACCCAGAAATGGGGTGCAATCTTCCGTTTGGGCCTTGAAAATTTCGTTAGGGCCCTGATTTTGATCAATTGCTTTTTGGCTATTATAGCTTGACCTTTGACCCCAGAGCTACCAAATTTGGTACAGAGAATGGTACGAGGGCCCTGTATCATAATCCAGCGTCGGATTTTAGCTGAGACCCCCAGGGGAGTTAATTGGCTGTCTGCAAATCAGGCTTTCAAGATGGGGTAAGGGTCTAGGCCTCTGACACCATCCTCATATTAGTTTGAAAATCGTGGTCAAAACCATTTCTGCATGTATTTGAAAGCTGTCTTTGTAGTATGTTGTTAAGGGTGACGAGACGAGTTCAAAAACGTTTGTTAGAGGTCTGTCGGACGTGTCGTTTTTGAAAGGCGGGGCTTCAAAATAACGCCGTTTTCAGCCTTTCAGGGTCCGTGAAATGGTGGGTTTTGGTCCAAACGACACCAAACTTCATGAATACTTGTTACTATGGACAAGGAATAGGATTCCAAAGTTTCCAGTCCAACGGACCTAGGGGGCGCTATTTCCGTTTCTGGCGGTCAAAACGAAATGGGACCAAAATATCTGAAAAGAGCATAGGGTGATATGTAACATACTGTAAAATTGTGTCAAAGTATGATTGTCTTCCATCTTTTAGAGCACAAAAGGAATAGAACCTTTTGCCATTAGGGCCTAGATTCCACAATGAAATTGGCCCCTAATGGAAGGTAGGCCTCAAAAAGTATCCTGTACCTTTGCTCTTGTATCCTGTACCTTTGCTCATGTATCCTGTACCTTTGCTCCAGTATCCTGTACCTTTGATCATGTATCCTGTACCTTTGATCATGTATCCTGTACCTTTGCTCCTGTATCCTGTACCTTTGCTCTTGTATCCTGTACCTTTGCTCCTGTATCCTGTACCTTTGCTCCAGTATCCTGTACCTTTGCTCTTGTATCCTGTACCTTTATGGAAGACATTACTATGTGAATGTCTTCCATTAAGGCCTATTAAAGAGGCTGTAATGGAAGCATCTTAGTACCTTTGCTCTTGTATCCTGTACCTTTGCTCCTGTATCCTGTACCTTTATGGAAGACATTACTATGTGAATGTCTTCCATTAAGGCCTATTAAAGAGGCTGTAATGGAAGCATCTTAGTACCTTTGCTCTTGTATCCTGTACCTTTGCTCCAGTATCCTGTACCTTTGCTCTTGTATCCTGTACCTTTGCTCCAGTATCCTGTACCTTTGCTCCAGTATCCTGTACCTTTGCTCCAGTATCCTGTACCTTTATGGAAGACATTACTATGTGAATGTCTTCCATTAAGGCCTATTAAAGGGGCTGTAATGGAAGCATCTGTACCTTTGCTCCTGTATCCTGTACCTTTGCTCCAGTATCCTGTACCTTAATGGAAGACATTACTATGTGAATGTCTTCCATTAAGGCCTATTAAAGAGGCTGTAATGGAAGCATCTGTACCTTTGCTCCTGTATCCTGTACCTTTGCTACTGTACCTTTGCTCCTGTATCCTGTACCTTTGCTCCAGTATCCTGTACCTTTGCTCTTTTATCCTGTACCTTTGCTCCAGTATCCTGTACCTTTGCTCCAGTATCCTGTACCTTTGCTCCTATATCCTGTACCTTTGCTCCAGTATCCTGTACCTTTATGGAAGACATTACTATGTGAATGTCTTCCATTAAGGCCTATTAAAGAGGCTGTAATGGAAGCATCTTCCACTAGGGCCTCTTTAGTAGGCCTTAATGGAAGACATTACTACGTTGGTAAATGTCTTCCATTAAGGCCTACTAAAGAGGCTCTAATGGAAGTATCTTCCACTAGGGCCTCTTTAGTAGGCCTTAATGGAAGACATTACTATGTTGGTAAATGTCTTCCATTAAGGCCTACTAAAGGGGCTCTAATGGAAGCATCTTCCACTAGGGCCTCTTTAGTAGGCCTTAATGGAAGACATTACTACGTTGGTAAATGTCTTCCATTAAGGCCTACTAATGAGGCTCTAATGGAAGTATCTTCCACTAGGGCCTACTAAAGAGGCCCTAATGGAAGACATTACTATGTGAATGTCTTCCATTAAGGCCTATTAAAGAGGCTGTAATGGAAGCATCTTAGTACCTTTGCTCTTGTATCCTGTACCTTTGCTCCTGTATCCTGTACCTTTGCTCCATTGTCCTGTACCTTTGCTCCAGTATCCTGTACCTTTGCTCTTGTATCCTGTACCTTTGCTCCAGTATCCTGTACCTTTGCTCCTGTATCCTGTACCTTTGCTCCAGTATCCTGTACCTTTGCTCCAGTATCCTGTACCTTTATGGAAGACATTACTATGTGAATGTCTTCCATTAAGGCCTACTAAAGAGGCTGTAATGGAAGCATCTTAGTGCCTTTGCTCCAGTATCCTGTACCTTTGCTCCAGTATCCTCTACCTTTGCTCTTGTATCCTGTACCCTGTACCTTTGCTCCAGTATCCTGTACCTTTGCTCCAGTATCCTGTACCTTTGCTCTTGTATCCTGTACCTTTATGGAATACATTACTATGTGAATGTCTTCCATTAAGGCCTATTAAAGAGGCTGTAATGGAAGTATCTTAGTACCTTTGCTCTTGTATCCTGTACCTTTGCTCCAGTATCCTGTAACTTTGCTCCAGTATCCTGTACCTTTGCTCCTGTACCCTGTACCTTTGCTCCAGTATCCTGTACCTTTGCTCTTGTATCCTGTACCTTTGGTGCATGTCTGCCATTAGGGCCTAGAAAAGGTGTTCTAAAGGAAGCATCTGTCACTAGGGCCTAGTAATGGGGCCTCAATGCCAGATAATCTCAGCATAAGTGCATGTCTGCCATTAGGGCCTAGAAAAGGTGTTCTAAAGGAAGCATCTGTCACTAGGGCCTAGTAATGGGGCCTAAATGACAGATATTCTCACAGCATAAGTGCATGTCTGCCATTAGGGCCTAGAAAAGGTGTTTTAAAGGAAGCATCTGTCACTAGGGCCTAGTAATGGGGCCTCAATGCCAGATAATCTCAGCATAAGTGCATGTCTGCCATTAGGGCCTAGAAAAGGTGTTCTAAAGGAAGCATCTGTCACTAGGGCCTAGTAATGGGGCCTCAATGCCAGATAATCTCAGCATAAGTGCATGTCTGCCATTAGGGCCTAGAAAAGGTGTTCTAAAGGAAGCATCTGTCACTAGGGCCTAGTAATGGGGCCTAAATGACAGATATTCTCACAGCATAAGTGCATGTCTGCCATTAGGGCCTAGAAAAGGTGTTCTAAAGGAAGCATCTGTCACTAGGGCCTAGTAATGGGGCCTCAATGCCAGATAATCTCAGCATAAGTGCATGTCTGCCATTAGGGCCTAGAAAAGGTGTTCTAAAGGAAGCATCTGTCACTAGGGCCTAGTAATGGGGCCTCAATGACAGATATTCTCACAACATAAGTGCATGTCTGCCATTAGGGCCTAGAAAAGGTGTTCTAAAGGAAGCATCTGTCACTAGGGCCTAGTAATGGGGCCTCAATGCCAGATAATCTCAGCATAAGTGCATGTCTGCCATTAGGACCTAGAAAAGGCGTCCTAAAGGAAGCACGCACAAAAAGGACGGCGAGGTACGTTACGGAATACATCTTTTAACGGAAACGGGCCCCAACGGCGGATGGCGCTTACGCGCGAAACGCTCGGAGTGGGCGGCGTCGCACGGTGGCGAGGGACACGCCCACCGGAGGCCGGACTCGGCGGACACTTGGCCCCTAACGGACCAAATTTGAACCCTAATAGAAGGGGAGGAGCTAGGGAAGGGAAAGTGGGCGGAGCCTCTCGTGGGGACGTACGCCACACCGTGGCGCCCTTCGGAACTGCGGGCGGGCCCGCTTCCGTTAGGGCTCCGACCTCTACCGGTCCTGAGGACCAAAGACAATCAATTCTGTTTTGTCTGCGTTTAGCTGAAGGAAGTTATTTTGCATCCAATCACTAATCTGTTGAGTACAGTGAAGGAGTGATTCCACTGGTCCATGTTCTCCTGCAGTAAGTGAGACATAAATTTGAGTGTCATCAGCGTAATTGTGGTAGGATACATTGTTGGAGCGTATTAACTGACCTAACGGCAGCATGTAAATATTGAACAGAAGAGGCCCCAGAATTGATCCCTGTGGCACTCCGCAGGTCAGAGCCATATGATCTGAGACACAGTTTCCTATCTGAACCAAGTATTTCCTGTCTTCTAGGTAAGACCTAAACCAACTTAGGGCAGTCCCAGTGACAGCCACCCAGTGCTCTAGTCTCTGCAGGAGGATCTCGTGGTCGACTGTGTCGAACGCAGCACTCAGATCCAACATTACTAAAACTGTGACTTTTCCTGTGTCGGTGTTAAGTCGGATGTCATTTGTAACCTTCACTAGTGCAGTCTCAGTGCTGTGATTGGCTCTAAAGCCGGACTGGAGCGCATCAAACGAACTATTAGTTACTAAGAATTCTGTAAGTTGTTGGTAAGCAACTTTTTCCAGAATTTTTCCCATAAACGGCAGATTTGAAATGGGGCGATAATTCTTAAGAACTGTGGCATCTAGACTCCTCTTTTTTAGGAGGGGTCTGATGACTGCCGTTTTCAGGGCCATTGGAAATGTTCCAGATGAGAAAGACATGTTCACTATTTGTGTGAGCAAAGGTAAAAGACTGCTCAAAACAGACTTAAAAAATTTAGTGGGTAGTACATCCAGGCTACATGTGGAGGAACTAAGGCTAGAGACAACATCTTGGACAGTTTCATTATCTGTTGGTGCAAAGTGCGATAGCTCAAACAGCCTCACCGGCTGTTGTAATGTTATTTCTGCCTTGGAGGTGATGGCGTTTTTGATGCTCTGAACCTTGTCATTGAAAAATTGTGCAAACTCATTACATTTAGATTCTGAAGCAAATTCGAATGGCAGCTGAACAGGGGGGTTTGTTAATCCGTTAACTGTTGAAAACATAAGTCGTAGATTATTATTGCAGCCATCAATGGTTTTAGAAAAATAAATTTCTCTTGTTCTACGTAGCACCCTGTTAAACTTGCACAACTCATTTTTGAAGATATCATGATCAACCTGGAGATTGGATTTTCGCCACTTCCGCTCGGCCCTACGGCACTCTCTCTTCTGTACCATGACTGAGTCCATTTTAGTCCAGGGGGCCTTTGGCTTATTTGTAATCATTTTAACCTTCACAGAGCGATGATGTCCAGAACATTTATAACATTGGCGGTGACAGAGTTAAACAATTCGTCAACAGTAGAACACAATGTGTTCTCAAAGTTTATCATTCCCATGAATAGTTCGGTTGTGTTTTCATTTATGTGTCTGTGTCTGACAATTGCAGATTCAGATATATATGGTTGTTTGCTATCAAAACACATGTCAAAAAATACACAGAAGTGATCTGACAGAGCCACGTCAACCACATTTACATTTAAAATATTAACCCCCTTTGTAACCAGCAGGTCTAGAGTGTGCCCTTTGCTGTGGGTGGGGCCACTCACGTGCTGAGTGAGACCAAATGTTTCAAGTACAGAACTCAGCTCTTTTGCATTTTTGTCATTGCCATTATCCACATGAATATTAAAATCACCTGTAATCACTAAACTATCAAAATCGGGGCAAACAACTGAAAGCAACTCAGTGAAATTATCCAAGAAATTGTGACAAGACTGCGGTGGCTTGTACAGGACAATGATAAGAATAGAAGGAGATTGTTTTTGTTCTATTTTAAAAGAAATATACTCAAATGATAGAAAATTTCCAAGGAGAATTCTATGAGAGATAATACGATCTCTAAATAATGCAGCAATGCCTCCCCCCCTTTTATTTTCTCGGATTTCAGATTCAAGTTTGAAGTTTGGTGGCGTTGCTTCTATTAAAACCGCATTACCTGTACTCTGGTCAAGCCAAGTTTCAGTCAGAAACATAAAATCAAGATCATAAGAACGGATAAAATTATTAATTAAAAATGATTTGTTGCACAGTGATCTGACATTAAGCATAGCAATTTTAAAATTAATATCAGTAACAGTGGGTTTAGTTAATTGATTTTTACAAGGAGCAGGAATTAGATTTGAATGTCTAACTGCTGTCCTTCTGTTATGATTTTGTTTTCCATTCAAATAAAAACATTTTTTGAAACTGATGCGAGGAACACACACAGTTTCTATTTGTCTAACATGTGAACTCTTTTGCTGTGTAAGTCCCGGATTCAGGACGGCATTGCTTCGTTGTTTAGAGCAGGAGGCAGCACGGTTCAGAGGCGAGACTGTTATTTCACTGCCAGACGGAAAGGGGTCAGTGTTTGCACCACAGTACTCACCCGGTGCTGGTGAGCAGGAGAAGAAGGAGGAGGGTGGTGGTGGTGGGGGCTCCGATGTAAACAGTCACGCCCCCCTCGGGGAACACTGAATAACGTGGCGTAAGTAATCCGTCAACAAGCTGGTGCCATATCTATTTGGGTGCAGACCGTCTGGACGATAAGCCACGTGACGCTTCCAGAAAAGGCCAAAGTTATTCACAAAAATAAAGTTAAACGAGCTACATGCAGACTGGAGCCACATGTTGAGCGCCACTACGCGACTGTACAAGCAGTCTCCCCGGTTTACAGTCGGGACTGGACCAGAGATAAAAACACACAACCCGGAGGACTGGAGAAGGCGGAATAGATCCATAAAATGCTTCTTTGTGACCTCGGACTGCTGCAGCTTCATGTCGTTGATCCCCACATGCACGATTACCTTTGAAATGGTATCAGGCAGGGACTGAAGCAGAGGAGGGAGACGGATGAGCAGGTCTGGTACAGTGGCTCCGGTAATGCAGTGAGTGACCGCGTTAAAAAAGCGGACGTGCCTCACGATGGAATCTCCAACAATCAAAGTAGTCGGGGCGAAGAGTGGACGTAGCCGCGGAGAGGGCGCTCGGTGTCCATGGCCGGAACCAGCGGGCTCATCCAGGGATGAGTCCGAACCAGGGCGCTGCTGAACACATGGAGGGGAGCGGGGGTGTTGATTCTCAGCTCCGGGCAACCCACGCTGTGTGCTCGGGGACGCTGGAGCAGCGAGAGGAGCAGGCTCGGGTCGCTGCTGCTGACCCGGTGGAGGTAAGTGGTGGTGATGCACTGGGGTCAGAGAAGGGGAATGACCACTCTTTCGTCTGAGGACGGCTTCCTTTAGGAGCGTTTTTCTCGCAGTGGACCTGGATCCACGAACGGCAGAGTACGCTGCAGAGTCCAGAGGTTCTTCTGAGGGGGCTGGGATGTCAGTGGAGAGGGCTGCATAGCGGTTTGAAAGGCTCAGGACATGGGCCACGGCGCTGGATGGCTCCTCGCAGTTCGCGGGTTCCTCATTCGGAACCGGGCACTTAGGTGTAGAACAGGAGGGTCCAGAGCTGACAGATCTCTCCCACACGACAGTGTCACAGTATGCAGCGCTCAGTGACATAAGCCGTGAGTGCTGCCCACCAGTGACATCAAAGAGTTTGGACACGAGTGACTGTTTATCCTGCAGCTCTGCAGTGAGGCGAAGGACTTCTTTACGGAGGTCTGCAATAGTGGCACGGTCCCTCTCACGAAACTCCAATGTGAGGCGACTAATGTCGTTTATAGGGTTTGTGGTTATTGCAGTGTCGCGTTCCATGTCTGTGTAGGTTTAATAAAAGCTCATGACGTGGTGCCCTCGTGGTAGCCTCCGAGCTAGCACGTTTTCAGCAACACATCTTCATTGTCTCAGTTTGCTCTGGGCTCCAATTCACCAGAATGAGTCTGGTGTGTGTGTGAATGGTTGGTGGTGGTGGGAGGGGCTTCTGTCAGTGTGCCCCAGGGCAGCTGTGGCTACAGTAGTAGTTTATGTGAAGAGACTTTGAGAGTCCAGAAAAGCACAGGATAAAACCAATGCATTATTATTAGTTTCCAATATGACTTTTTGTGTTTATGAACAAACATGGAGCAGTTGGAGTTCAAAGTTAACCTCAATTAAAGCAGAGCTGCTGTTTTGAAGAATTAAATTAAGATAATATTAAGTGGAAAATGTAGCAGTCTTTAGAATTGTGTGAATATTAGGGCTGGGATAAACGATTATTTTTTAAACGATTAATCTAGCGATTATTTTTTTGATGCATCGATTAATCTAACAATTATTTTTTTCGATTCGATTCGATTTCGATTCGATTCGATTCTCGATTATCTCCCCATTAATTGACTAATATTGATGTATACATGTTGATTTAAATATTTTAATGTAAAAAACATGAATTCCTTCACAAAAAATATTTATTGCTTGCTCTTAAAATTCAAAAATAAGACATTCTTAGAGGTAGCATAAAACCTTAAAGCCTTGAAAACACAGCTTACTGAAAAAAGTGCATCTTATCATTCTTGAAACAAACATTTGATGCTTAGCATTCAATAAAAATATGAAAAAGTTCAGCCAAATACTTGTGTAGAGCAACTAAAAGAAAACAGTAACCAATGTAAACTTGAAGGCTTTAAGCTAAACAAAGAGTGCTTTTCCAGCAAAAACAGTGGGAGCCATCAGCCTGTCATGGCGTCCTTCCTGAACCAACAGAGTTTAACATTTAAGTTGAAGACACATAGGCCTATATTACTGAAGTCCATTAATTAAAGTGCATCTCTTAAATTCTTCATTCATATAAAAATAACAGTCAAAACTCTGCCACTCACCTTTTTCTTAAACTCAAAATTCAAAAATAAAATTCAAGTAAGAGTGTACAAGAGAAAAACAATGCATTGTGTAGCAAATAAAAAGGTCAACCAGTCATCCTTTCTTTTAGAGTTACTGAAAGAATACAGTAGAAGTCATCTCAGAGGACTTAAAACAACATTGAAGTCACCAACACAGATCAGAGAATCAATCAACAGTTAAACACATTAAGGATATTGAACACATGTTGAAAAATGTCCATATACGGCGGGCATGACAGTGAATAATACATGTAGGGGCTGTTACGGGCGCCAATATTCCGTTTGATACAAAGAAAGACAGACTAGTTGTAAGCTGTAGAGTGGCCACAGGACGCGTCAGCAGCCTACGTCATCAGCCTACGTCATCAGCCTACGTCATCAGCCTACGTCATCAGCCTACGTCAGCAGCCTACGTCAGCAGCCTACGTCAGCAGCCTACGTCAGCAGCCTACGTCAGCAGCCGTGGACTGCTATGAAAACATTAGCTTTGTGGTTTCACAGGCGCAGTTGACTGCTTAAACTAAACTTTGTACGAAACTTTGACTCTTAAAACCCACATGTGACAAAACGGAACCATCAACATCTCGCCTCAAATTGCATTAAAAGTGACATTCGTGTCTGAATTCGTTCGTATTTTAACTTTTAAAGAAATTCACGGTCCGCCATCTTGGTTTGCTTCGGCTGCCGTGAGACGCGCATGCGCAGGTTTGCATTACATCATAAACAGCTGAGGCTGTGCATCTCTTCAAGGCAGTGTATCTCAGCGTTACACCGGCTTGCACTTCTCTAACACGGCACTCGCATTGCTACCGCTCGCCGCCATCTTTGTTTTGTGTGTGACGCACCGACGCGCATATTATACGTCGGTGTATTTTTTGCGTCGACGTCACCGATTACGTCGACGCGTTGTCCCAGCCCTAGTGAATATTGTTTTATGCAGTTCCTTATTACTGCTTAGATATTCTCATTAGGGGTGGGAACCTAAGGGTACCTCACGATACGATACGATACACGATACAAAAGCTCACGATAACGATTTTATCACGATGTGACGTTTATCAATATATTGGTCAGAAATATACAATATGCCAATTTATGGCATAAATAAAAGAAAAACTACACTTTATTTCATGATAACTGGAATGGAGATGCGTAATGTTGCCATATATTAAGTATTGATACCAATTAAAACAATTTTTTTTTTCAACATTAATATTGATACTTGGCAAATGCATATTGATAATCGAATCGCGGGAGAAAGTATCGCGATATATCGTCACACCCCTAATTCTCAGTGTGTTTAACAATTATAACTACAATCCACCATAGCTTTTATTACAAGCATCATTTCAACTTCAATTCAAGATTCAAGGTGTTATTTGCCATTTGCAGTAAAACCCCATTGGAAAATGTCTCTGGGCGAGGGTTGGTTTTTATGCAGGAATGTGCTGAATGTGAGCGATGTGCTCTTGGTGGTTCAGGGCAGGAAATGTGAACGCCGAGTATCGGAGGTACTCCAGGAGTGAGTGCTTCACATTACTGACAGAAGAGGATCAGTGACTCCTGCAGCCGTCACAATCAGACTGTCAAAAGGAATTCAAAAGAGACCAATGAATACATGAAACAAATACTTACAGACGAAGAGCAGCTGATCAAGGGGATTTCTTTACATTTTTACATTCTGTCCGTTCACATTATTAGAATATAATTAATTTGGCAAATATTTACTTAAAGTTGTATAGGAGGTTTTCTACTTCTGGGTGGATCATGAAGACTATTGGTCCGTCTTATTGTCAATCATTCTGGTGATACGTGATAAGTGCAGGGGGCTTGCACAAGTCTTGGAAGTCTTAATAAGTGTGGGATTTTGAAACACAATTTTCCAGACCTTGAAAAGTCTTGAATTGTGTGAAAGTCTTAATAAAGTATTGGTGAAAAAATGTATGGTAGAATTGTACAGTAAATATAAGGTAGGCTATAACTCTATAACTGTATAAACTGGTCACGTTCTGTATTAGCCTGAATCATGTAATGTTGTGATGTCACTGCTAAGGTCTTGGGGACAAAAAATATCAGTTTTTAAAAAGTCTGGAATTTTAATTAGGAAATAGAGCAAGCACCCTGTAAGTGTTTCTATGTGTATTTTTTCTGCCTGAGAGGCTGCTGCAGTCTAGTGTTCATGGTTTTACTGGTTTCAATGGTTTCAATGGTTTTTCTGCTCTGGTTGACCACTGGAGGAAGGCTAACTTTTTGGACATTTAGCATTTTACTTTGGAGCAGAGAAAATGGTCCGAACCCAGAGGCGGCTCCACCTCTGCTGCTGTGACCTGAAGGATTATTATTATTATTATTACCCTCGTTATCTTTTTAGAATGATCCATTTTCTTTCATATTTTTGCTGCTACTGGACACCTGCCTTTCTCCTATTGGGATCTATAAAGTATCTACCTTTCGTCAAATAAGACCAGAGAGTTTTGTTCAAAAAGTGGAGAGGGCGGTTCTTTCCTAAATTGTGTGAAACGTGTGTGATTGATACAAACTTAGTCCGTCATGAAACCAAGGAATGTTTGAGTAAATCTAAACTCAGATTGAGAAAGATGTGTTCTTTGTAAAGTAGCCTTTTCCAGAGCGCATCTCATCTGCTATATATAACTTCCTGAGCTGATTCACAATTCAGAACACAAGCTGCTGTTAAGACTCTCAAAGCAAATTATTAGGGGAAGCAAAGAGTTCTTTATCCAATTTAGACGGACCAAGCCCAGAAATCTGATTTGCCAGTAAAATAGAATGACGGAAATGAAATAAAGCCATTTGTTCTTTCCAACAGAGGACGATCAGATGAGCAGCAGCGAAGGAGGTCAAGGCGCTGGGGAGAGCGACAATACCAAGAGTGGCCACACGGGGGCAAAGGACGACAACAACAACGAAGAGTACGAGAACTACGACGAGCTCGTGGCCAAGTCGTTACTGAACCTGGGAAAGATCGCAGAAGATGCCGCCAACCGAGCCCTGACCGAGTCGGAAATGAACAGCAACTCATCCCACAGTGCTGAGGAAGAGGAGGACGAGGAGGATGAAGACGAAGAGGAAGAGGAGGAGGAAGAAGAGGAGGAGGAAGAAGAAGAAGAAGAGGAAGAAGAGGAGGAGGAGGAGGAAGAAGAGGAGGAGGAAGTGGAAGCTGACGAGGCGCAGAGAGGAGACTTGAGAGTGGACGTGGACAGTGATGTTGTGCGAGAGACCGTGGACTCCCTGAAGCTTCTGGCCCAGGGTCACGGGGCGGTTCTGTCCGACAACATGGACGAACCCTACGAGGACTGCGGCGCCAACAACCACGGAGACAGCGGCTGCTCCCTCAACGGGCCAATGGGCCACAACGGGCAGATAAAGACTGGGAATGGGCTGGACAACAGCGACGAGGAGGTGTGTCTGAGCAGTCTGGAGTGCCTACGCAACCAGTGTTTTGACCTGGCGCGCAAACTCAGCGAAACCAAGACTGCGGATCGAAACGGGTCGTCCCAACAAAATCATTTCTCCTGCGATGATGCGAACCAACAATCCCATCACCAAGGGTACGCAAATTACCACCACAACCCGGAGGACAGACTTCGGGCTCTTGATAGGAACTATTCAGACATGGACAATCTTCTGAAGCTGGAGGAGCAGCTGAGCCCGCGGTCAAAGACGTTTGCTAGCTGTGTTCAAGAGGAGCGCTATCACCAGAACCACCGGGACTTTGACGAGGACACGGCCTCAGTGACGTCAGACCGCTCTGAGGAAGTGTTTGACATGACGAAGGGGAACTTGTCGCTGTTGGAAAAGGCAATTGCACTAGAGTCTGAACGAGCCAAGGTAATGCGGGATAAAATGGCAGCGGAGGCAGCGCGGAGAGAAGGAGTGAGGTACAGCCACGACGACCACGGCCATCGGCACAGCTACGGCGTGGAGCGAAAAGCACGGCTCCCTGATGGCATGAAGAAGCCATTTTATCATAAAGGTGAGTGGATCTTTCAATCACATGACCAGATGCACTTGAATTAGAGTTTGTAGGCCAAGAATATGACTTCATTTTAAGCTCAGGTAGAGTCAGTGAATGCCAGTGTTCATTTTGATTCCAACTTTTCTGTGGTGGAGAAGAGGCACATATACTCTGGGAACCTCACCATAACCCCAGGACAAGCTTTTTCAGTCAATTTGGGAATTCGAATCTTGGTAGCAGCGGGAGCGGCTGCAGCTTAAGTTGTTAAAATAGGCCAGCATGGAAACATCAGAGGGTAGGCTTGTCAGGCATAAGTAATGGCAATCTGTGCGGCCTGCTACCACCAAAAACTCATCCCTGTGCTGCAGCTCTGGTTAAAGCTGCCTATTTTTAAACCTACACATGCAGTTGGGTACGTCCTGACATCCTGTGGATTCTGCCCGAGTGAGGGAGCACAGGGACTATGTTTGATGTTTAAGTTAAAGTTTCTGGTGTTAAAAGACATTTGTTTTATTTCTTCTCACCTTTGAATTATCATTTACAACCAGATTGTGGCCCAGTTGATCAGCCAAGCACTGACCATTATCTAACCAGGGCATTTCTCTGAATTTCTTTACAAAAACAAAAGTCTGTACTCTTGCACCTCAAGAAGTATTTACGAGATGTCTGAGTGGTTCTGATGTCACTATTTACTACAGTTGGCGGCAGCGGTTCTACAGATGTTTTCTCAGTGTCTGTGACTTGTTTCAGGACGCAGAGATCAGATTATCTGTATATTGTACTGTTATATTGCAGAGATCAGAACACATGTGTCAGGCCTCAGAGGCTGGAGCTACATTCTGTTTATTCTACACATTGATAATGAGTGAAGACAGTTAGCATAAACCTGTGATAAAGTATTGTCGAGTGTCCGCAGAAGCTTCGTGACATCTTCTCTTCAGGGAGACAGCAGTGGACAGAGTGTGACTCCTAAAGCCACATGTTTTAGTCCATGTTCAGAGATCACTGACGACACATTAACCATAGAGAGATCACTGACGGCACATTAACCATAGAGAGATCACTGACGGCACATTAACCATAGAGAGATCACTGACGGCACATTAACCATAGAGAGATCACTGACGGCACATTAATGATGGAGAGATGGTAATGGGGCCATTGGCTATGCAAAGAGCAGAGCGTCCCAGCCACAATCAATACCTCCCTCTTTCTAATACTCCTTGCACTTGGCCTCCTCTGCTTCGCTTTGGGAGCACAGGAGCTGATCTATTCTATATGTTTGCACAATTGTGTGATGAATTACATTTATTTCCAAACTTGCAAACTCCTTTCTCTCAAATCTTCTGGAGCATAGACATCCTTCTTAAGTAGAAAGAGCAGATAGTGGTGTATGGGGGTGGCATGTTTTCATGTAGAACTCTCCATTCTATCAAGGATATATTTAACCTTTATCTTTTATATAAAAGTTTGGCTTGGCACAGACGGGAGGCTTCAGGAGAGTACTGAGAGGTACGAGTGTTAAGTTCTTCTGTAGCAGACAGTAGTAGGCCCGTGATCGTGAGGATGGACAGGTATTCATGTTATTATGTGTCACTTTAAACTCTATTCTGTTCTGAAGGAGATGTTGTATTTAATCATGTGTCTTTGTATGAACCGTTTCTTTCAATGAAAGTATTTACTGATGAAAATCACTATGTGACCTTCATTGCATTCCCGTCATATACGGTTGTTATGGTTACCAGTTCTAATTGAATCTTTGGACAAACGCTGCAGATGTTTCGCGGGCAGACAAAAAGGAGAGTCGATGTCCCACACCGGGCTGCGATGGCACGGGTCATGTGACCGGCCTGTACCCGCACCACCGGAGCCTGTCGGGCTGTCCGCACAAAGACAGAGTGCCTCCAGAAAGTGAGTATTTTAGCCCAAAGTGTCTGTGATGGAGGCATGCATCACTGTGTGACGGGTTCAGCTGCATGCACAGCTGCATGCACAGCTGCACTCCCATCACTCCTCATTTGGGTACATTTATTTGTTCGTTTCCCTTTTGGACGTTGAACAGTTAGGGCCAAAGCACACGTGACTCATGTTTGTATGACTGTGTGTACTGTGTGTACTGTGTGTAACTATAAAGTACATGTGGATGTGATGTTGCATGTTCTGGTGAAGGGTCTCCTGCTTGTTCCACTTTCTCTTAATGACGTTATGTTTGAATCAGGGCCTTGAACATCAGTGTCAACAATCTGCATCTTTAGTGGTTATTTACTTGTTTCCTGCTCAGTTCGCAGACTCCAGCCCCGTATGTACTTAAGTATGTGCTTTTATTCAAATAGAGCAGAAACAGAAGGAAAAACATCAGAAATGTTCTAAGTCATATTTATGAATAATAAATCTAGTTGAGCTTCACCTGGAAACAATACTTGCTAAAATAATAAATATCAAACGACTTGTTAATTGCGTTGTATACAATAAATCCCAATGCTAAATTAGACCCCTTTATTCTAACACCTTTATTAGCTACAGCCCAATGTTGAAACTGGAAACAACCTCCTCAGAGCTGTACTCGAACATCTCAATATTTATCGTCTATTTTTTCATTTGAAATAAAATTAATGATGTAACTGCAGGACTAGTGGCTGCAGTTTCCTCGGTTCAATCCCCTCCGACCAATCAGAGAGCGGGGGAGGCGGGTGTTGTAGGTCGGTGTCGTTGACGTCCAGAGTTTGTGCTGAATTTGCTGGTTGTAGTTTGTCGGAGAATGTGATAGTAAAATAATCTGTTCTGGTTCAATCCAAATATCAAGAAACTGAAGCCGGAGCAAGAGGAATGTTTAGTAAATGTCATTGAAGCAAAGATGTTGTGGCTCTACTCCCCACGGGCTCCGTTAGCGGCAAAGGAGATGGCTAAAGCTAGGCTACATGCTAAAGCTAGGCTAAAATGCTAAAGCTAGGCTAAAATGCAAACAACTCACTCATTACATTACGTCACAGTAAACTCAGATCCAATGGTTTCAATCTGCAAAAGTAGTTAGCCCCTCCCACCTGTTAACGGAGTCAATGGAGCAGATCCAGACTGTATTTGTAGAGGAAACCGACAACGACACTGTACCGACTGGGATTCGAACCCAGGACCTCCTTGCTGAGAAGCGGGAGTGCTAATGCTAACCACTCAGCCGCGACTGTTTTCAAAATGCACCTTTTTTTAAACGAAGGAAATGACTGAGAACGAACACTGGACTCGTAAAGACCGCGGTTTCTCCAAAGACCTGACATTTTTAGTCTGATTGAAAGTCTTAAGACCTTGGACCAGATAAAAACCGGATTCTGAACCAAAGAAAACATTTGACTGAACCGTCACGAGAGATTTGGGGACGTGGGATTTGAACTCATGACTAAAGCGGTGGAAAATAGGCTGTTTTTTACTCGGGAATCTCTTCAGACAGACAGACAGACACACAGACAGACAGACACACAGACAGACACAGACAGACAGACAGACAGACAGACAGACAGACAGACACAGACAGACAGACACACAGACAGACAGACAGACACACAGACAGACAGACACACAGACAGACACAGACAGACAGACAGACAGACAGACAGACAGACAGACACAGACAGACAGACACACAGACAGACAGACAGACACACAGACAGATAGAAGGACACACAGACAGACAGACACTCAGACAGACAGAAGGACACACAGACAGTCAGACAGACAGACACAGACAGACAGACAGACACAGACAGACAGACACACAGACAGACAGACACAGACAGACAGACACACAGACAGTCAGACAGACAGACAGACACAGACAGAAGGACACACAGACAGACAGACAGACACACAGACAGATAGAAGGACACACAGACAGACAGACACACAGACAGATAGAAGGACACACAGACAGTCAGACAGACAGACAGACAGACAGAAGGACACACAGACAGACAGACAGACAGACACACAGACAGATAGAAGGACACACAGACAGACAGAAGGACACACAGACAGTCAGACAGACAGACAGACAGAAGGACACACAGACAGACAGACACAGACAGAAGGACAGTCAGACAGACAGACATACAGACACACAGGCACAGACAGACAGAAGGACAGACAGACAGACAAACAGACAGTCAGACAGACAGACAGACAGACAGAAGGACAGTCAGACAGACAGACATACAGACAGACAGACACAGACAGAAGGACACACAGACAGGCAGACACAGACAGAAGGACAGTCAGACATACAGACAGACACACAGGCACAGACAGACAGACAGAAGGACAGTCAGACAGACAGACATACAGACAGTCAGACAGACAGAAGGACAGTCAGACAGACAGAAGGACAGTCAGACAGACAGACACGGACAGTCAGACAGACAGACATACAGACACACAGAGAGACAGACACACAGACAGACAGACAGAGAGACAGACACTTTATGTGTTCCTGTTGGAGAATTGCAGGTCAGGATCATGTTTATTCATATGGCACATTTAAAAACCAAGTACTTTTCAGACATTACAAAATACAACACAAATAAAACACAGCACAATAATAACACACTGGCCACGATCATAAACGGTCAATTTTTGCTTGAGTAAAAAATAAATCAAATAAATGTGTGTTCAGCAACAGACGTTAGCTCTGACACAATGAGCGAGAAATTCTAAAGTATCAACAATAGTGTTAAGGTTTAGGTTTAGGTCAGAGCCGGAGCAGGACGCAGCAGATTAATGTTGTTTTGAGATAAAAATGACACTTAATTGTCCATAAATATCCTTTACAATAATTACTATAGTATTTTCTACTATAGTATTAGCATCAAAATCAACGACCGCACTAGTCGTTGATCAGTCTAAAATCCAAATGTTTTTCCTATAGCTGGTCCCTGCACTTGAATTAAATGTAGAATCTGTGTGTTGTGGAAGCCGGTTGGAGTCCAGCTTGTTTGGACAGTGTCTCCTGGTGCTGTAGTCCTTCTGCAGAGGACGGGGCAGGACTTGGACATGCATAATGTAATGAATGAGTTCGTGGCACGTGGAGGTGGCAGGCTTTGTCCAATTACCTGCACCGTGCACCAATTAGCATGTAAGGAAGGAGGATGATGAGGGGTTAAAGTTTAAGGGGGTGATAACGATGAAGCTCATGCCGATGGGGTTTGGCCTGTGTCGAGACAACCCCCCCGCTCCTCTTGGACATCCATAGATCATTAATCTAATTGGCTGGTTGCCAAGGGGAGCTAAGACAGTTATGGACTGTAATGGTAAATGGTTTTGAAGAGTGCGATCTCCTCCAAACAAAGCGGATCAGAGCTGGTTTCCATCTGTTTCCTGTGGTTTCAAAGCTTGTGTTTTGCATGATTGCTGTTGGTAGCTCTGCTCCCGCATGCCCCCAAAATGTCTTCCCATTTCTATCTCTCACCAGATTTGTCCTGTTAAACTTAAATGACATCTTTTTATTCATGGCTGTCCCTATTCCATGAATACTAATTTAAAAGTGCTGCATAAGTGGACACAGTATGGCGGGAAACCTCCGCTGCCCTTTCAAACCAGTGTTCATTAAAATGAAGAAGAGGTCATTTTGGTTCACACAGACACATTTCTTAACGATGTTGATAATGCCAAGCCTCTCACTCGCTAATACAGCTTTTGGTTGATTGTAAGGAGCTTCTAACCTTCCCTGTCTTTCACTCCTGTCTCATGTCTGAACCAAGTTGTGGCTATGTATGAGAATGTTCTTAAGTGTCCTACGCCTGGCTGCACGGGACGTGGCCATGTCAATAGCAACAGAAATTCCCATCGAAGGTGAGTCGCACTCGTCCTTTTGTTTAAAGGCTTTTTCATTTAGGCTTTCATTTCCTGAGGTTTTTATTATCATCCTTTGATTTTTCTTTCTTTTTGTTGGTGTGTAATTGTGAAGTTAGTGTGAAGATGTACACACACATGAACTTCCTTTACTGAAACTAATGCAGCTATTCACACCTTCTGCAAAATAAATCATTTATCGGCCAAATAAAAAGGCACAGGTTTGGAGAGATGCTCAGAAATAGCAGGTCGCTCTCACTGCAGCTGTCAGACGGGTGAGGTGACAGTGAGAGAAGAGTGTCACCCACAGCAGATGCTCAGGGAGGCAGCCAGAGCCGCAGCCATTAGCACCTTTCTGCCACTCAGCAGCTGACAAGAGCGTGCAGACCAGGGACAACCATCAGCCCCATGCTGGGCTCTGCTGGTGTCTGCTGGTGTCTGCTGGACTCTGCTGGTCTGTACTGGTCTCTGCTGGTCTCTGCTGGTCTCCGCTGGTCTCTGTGTCACAGCTACAGTGCTAAACACGCACATGGACACAGATCATAAACTTTCACTTTCCCCATAAACTCTCCTCATAGAGGCTGGCACCTGCTCACTGACACCAGTGTCACGCTGCACTAGCGTGCACACGTGCACACATGCACACGTGTGCACGTGCACATCTCCTGACAGGTGCTCATGAGCCTCTGAACACTGGCCCCAGGCCCTTGTCTAAGTTCATTTTGCCTGTGCAGGGCGTCTCACTGCGGCTGACAGCCTGGATGGAGAATAATGGGGGTTAAGGATAACAACATGAACTTTTGTCGCATTTGGTCAGTTAGTTGTCAGGAGTAAGTTTTGTTGCACTACATTTAAGTTGAACATGTCGGTGCAGAACACACATGAGTCTTGTCAGCAAGTTTGGGCAGAAATAAATGGTTCCAAATGCCCAAGTAAACTTGGAGATCCGATGGATTCAAGGTTTCCTGTTACGGATGTTTGTGAAAATACAGAATACTGAGAGACTTTAGCGACAGAAAGATCGTATCATGTTCACCTCATTTGGATCTGACTTGGTCTGACCCGGTTCTAAAGCACATGTGCTCCTGTCTCAGTCTGTCAGGGTGTCCCATCGCAGCAGCAGAGAAACTGGCCAAAGCCCAAGAGAAACACCAGGGCTGTGAGGGCCCCAAGTCCAACCAATCCTCCGACCGTGTCCTAAGGTAAATACTTCACAGGTGAAGTTTGTTTAAATAAATACATGTTAGTTTGCATTAAGTCATTTATTCACCTCATATTTACTCTTCCCCATTTACTTTCTCTAACATTATGAAGATGACAATATCTTTTTGTATCTGTTTTCTCCGGAGAATACTTTGAAGAAACTGCAGACTGAGTGTTGTGAAGGAAAATCATTTTATTACATTTAAAAAGAATCTGCCTCTTTTATACACATGGACCTGCTCAAACTGAAGTACACGTCAGGAGTACTTTTACAGCAGATAATCCTCCTGTTTAAGAGTTATTGTGAGAAAGTGAAATGGGGTACTATGAGGTGTCCCTCATGTGCATGCCCCCCCCCCCCCCCCCCCCCTCAGTGATATTGAATATTACCATCACACCCTCCCTTACACCCACCCTTTTATTCGATATAATCCAAGTCCCCTAATCTCCCCCTGGGCAATGTTCAGTGCCTCGGTCCAACTTCCACCCCCTCGTCATTTATTTTCCAGGCCTATGTGCTTTGTCAAACAACTGGACTATCCACAGTATGGTTACAAGAACAATGTTTCCACCAGCACGCCACGCTCCAACCTGGCCAAGGAGCTGGAGAAATACTCCAAGACCAGCTTCGACTACAGCGCCTTCGATGGGAGCAACAGCCACCAGGTGTACGGGAAACGGGCCATCGCACCCAAACTTCATGGACACAGGGACACGTCCCCGAAAGGATATGACGGTGAGAAGCTGCAGGAAGGAGAAGGTTTCTGATGACAAATCTAACTCATATCCTGAATCTCACAGCCAAACGTTACTGCAAAAACTCCAGCTCTGCCAGCAGCACCACCAGCACCTACGGCCCCAGCAGCAGCAGCAGTAGCATGAGCTGTGGAGGGCCTGTAGGGGGCGCCGGTGGGGGAGGAGGCAGCAGCGCCAGCAGCACCTGCAGCAAGAGCAGCTTCGACTTCAGTCACGACTTGGAGGCAGCTCACATGGCAGCCACGGCCATCCTCAACCTGTCCACACGCTGCAGAGAACTGCCCCACGGCATGGGCGGCAAGCCTCCAGACCTGTGCGCACAGGTACGATCTCTGAACACACACTTAAAGATCTGTGAGCACAGGTACGATCTCTGAACACACACTTACAGATCTGTGAGCACAGGTACGATCTCTGAACACACACTTACAGATCTGTGAGCACAGGTACGATCTCTGAACACACACTTACAGACATGTGAGCACAGGTACGATCTCTGAACACACACTTACAGATCTGTGAGCACAGGTACGATCTCTGAACACACACTTACAGACCTCTGAGCACAGGTACGATCTCTGAACACACACTTACAGACATGTGAGCACAGGTACGATCTCTGAACACACACTTACAGACATGTGAGCACAGGTACGATCTCTGAACACACACTTACAGACATGTGAGCACAGGTACGATCTCTGAACACACACTTACAGATCTGTGAGCACAGGTGCGATGTCTGAACACACACTTACAGATCTGTGAGCACAGGTACGATCTCTGAACACACACTTACAGACATGTGAGCACAGGTACGATCTCTGAACACACACTTACAGATCTGTGAGCACAGGTACGATCTCTGAACACACACTTACAGACCTCTGAGCACAGGTACGATCTCTGAACACACACTTACAGACATGTGAGCACAGGTACGATCTCTGAACACACACTTACAGATCTGTGAGCACAGGTACGATCTCTGAACACACACTTACAGATCTGTGAGCACAGGTACGATCTCTGAACACACACTTACAGACCTGTGAGCACAGGTACGATCTCTGAACACACACTTACAGACCTGTGAGCACAGGTACGATCTCTGAACACACACTTACAGACATGTGAGCACAGGTACGATCTCTGAACACACACTTACAGACCTGTGAGCACAGGTGCGATGTCTGAACACACACTTACAGACCTGTGAGCACAGGTACGATCTCTGAACACACACTTACAGACCTGTGAGCACAGGTGCGATGTCTGAACACACACTTACAGACCTGTGAGCACAGGTACGATCTCTGAACACACACTTACAGACCTGTGAGCACAGGTGCGATGTCTGAACACACACTTACAGACCTGTGAGCACAGGTGCGATGTCTGAACACACACTTTATCCATGTCACACAGTCTTCTGTTGTAGTAAAGTGTCCCTGTGCTTTATGCTCATTCTGCTGAAACACAGAAGAAGAAAAGTGTGGCCAGATCCACTGAATATATCAGTGGCAGATACTGTATACATATTTATATATATATTTATATATATATATATATTTAATGTGGGGATCAGATAGGGACAGAACAGCTCTGTGTGACACCCGCCCAGTGTCGTTTCTGGAGATAAGGAGTTTGTGTTTTATCTTTGTCCAGATGGAAAAGCAGAGGTCACAGCGGAGGCTAACTCTGGTCAGTGCTAACGCTGACAGCAGACGCAGAGAGCGAGGATCTGTGTCAAATAATCAAGAATAATGAAAAAAGAGCAGAGAGCGTTGTTTGATTGGATTGTCACAGTGCAGTGGTGTAAAGAAGGAGAACATGCAACAACAACCAAGGCCTAAAGAACCTGGTCCCTTTGATACATGTCTTTCATCAAACCACATTTACACACAACAGTATTATTACAGTATTATTACTACTGTGGCTGAACATATGAAGCTGTTCTGACAAACATAGGTTTTACATAAAAACATTTTCTTAGAACTACTGAAAGATCAGGCACATTTATTTATAACGCACATTGGGGAACCATAAAACATTATAGTCAGGGGTGCACATAAGAGGTACGCAGGTACGCAGGTACACAGGTGCGCAGGTACGCAGGTACGCAGGTACACAGGTGCGCAGGTACGCAGGTACACAGGTGCGCAGGTACGCAGGTACACAGGTGCGCAGGTACGCAGGTACACAGGTGCGCAGGTACGCAGGTACGCAGGTACGCAGGTACACAGGTGCGCAGGTACGCAGGTACACAGGTGCGCAGGTACGCAGGTACGCAGGTGCGCAGGTACGCAGGTACGCAGGTACGCAGGTACACAGGTGCGCAGGTACGCAGGTACGCAGGTACGCAGGTACGCAGGTACGCAGGTACGCAGGTACGCAGGTACGCAGGTACGCAGGTACGCAGGTACGCAGGTACGCAGGTACACAGGTACGCAGGTACGCAGGTACGCAGGTGCGCAGGTACGCAGGTACGCAGGTGCGCAGGTACGCAGGTACGCAGGTACACAGGTACACAGGTACGCAGGTGCGCAGGTGCGCAGGTACGCAAGTGCGCAGGTGCGCAGGTTCGCAGGTACACAGGTGCGCAGGTACGCAGGTACGCAGGTGCGCAGGTACGCAGGTACGCAGGTACACAGGTGCGCAGGTGCACAGGTGCGCAGGTGCGCACGTACGCAGGTGCGCAGGTACGCAGGTGCGCAGGTACGCAGGTGCGCAGGTACGCAGGTACGCAGGTACGCAGGTACGCAGGTGCGCAGGTACACAGGTACACAGGTACACAGGTGCGCAGGTACTCAGGTACGCAATTTGACAATAACAAACTACTGAAATCTAAAAATAATCACTTCATAAACTGCTTTTAAAAACAAATATCTTTACAAATCAAATGTTGTGTATTTCCCTGCACTTCAGCTCTCTGCTCCGTTCACATAAACACTCTCTGCTCCGTTCACATAAACACTCTGCTCCGTTCACATAAACACTCTGCTCCGTTCACATAAACACTCTCTGCTCCGTTCACATAAACACTCTGCTCCGTTCACATAAACACTCTGCTCCGTTCACATAAACACTCTCTGCTCCGTTCACATAAACACTCTGCTCCGTTCACATAAACACTCTGCTCCGTTCACATAAACACTCTCTGCTCCGTTCACATAAACACTCTGCTCCGTTCACATAAACACTCTCTGCTCCGTTCACATAAACACTCTGCTCCGTTCACATAAACACTCTGCTCCGTTCACATAAACACTCTGGGATCAGGAATGTGTCAGGATGTGTCAGATCAGGAATCTCTGGAGATCTGCAGGATTTAAAGTACTTGAAAAACACATTGTACATTTACGGTCATTTTTTTGTTCGTAAAAAGAGTTTGTTTATTATATTTTTCTGTCACAATGATCAGAAAAAATGAGTTTATTTTTAGATTTAAGACACAGATTGACAAGAAGAGGGAAGGTCCGAAAAATAAATCTGTCATTTCCCAAAACAAAGTAAATTTAGTTCTGTACAGTTGTGTTGTTTACACAGAGGTCAATTGTTTTATTTATTTAGTTCACTCAGAACATTCCCCAGTCCACTTTATTTACACAGTACATTTTATAAAATGTTTCCAAAGTGCTGCAGATTAAAGAGACTCGTGAAAATGTACAAGTCTGAGCTTTACATCAAAACTATTACAGATAAAACACTGTGAGAAATATAAAAACAATTAAAATTAAACAATGGTTATCTACATACACAACATGAAGATAAAAGCACAGAGGGGGGTCCTTGAGCCGTGCTGAGGACAGAAGCTCTGTGCTCCATCCCAGAGACAGTGCTGAGGACAGAAGCTCTGTGCTCCATCCCAGAGACAGTGCTGAGGACAGAAGCTCTGTGCTCCATCCCAGAGACAGTGCTGAGGACAGAAGCTCTGTGCTCCATCCCAAACAGAGACAGTGGGTTCAGAACAGAAACTCTGCTGCTTCAGAAAGAGCAGATTGTGATGTCTCTTGTTTCACCTCAGACTGTGAATGTTTGACTGCTCTGTAATCTATCTCTCTTTTATCCTCTTCTCTCATCCCTTCATCTTCATGTGCGCCTGTGTCACGTGCACGCGCCTCACACACACAGAGCCCCAGCCTAGATGTGGATGAGAACGGTACGTTGGACCTGAGTATGAGCAAGCATCTGTGCACGGCTGACGGGGACTCGGTTCTTACTCCTCTAGAACCCATGTCCCCCCAGCGGCAGGCCGCCCTGCTGGGCTCACGCTGCTACAGCATGGGGGACCCCGCAGACTGCTGGGACCTGCCTGTAGACTACACCAAGATCAAACACATAGACGAGGACGATAAAGAGGTAAAAGAGAAGAACTATGAGCATGGGGTCAGGGGGTCTAGACTTATGAACCAAGACCAGTCAGGGGGTCTAGACTTATGAACCAAGACCAGTCAGGGGGTCTAGACTTATGAACCAAGACCAGTCAGGGGGTCTAGACTTATGAACCAAGACCAGTCAGGGGGTCTAGACTTATGAGCCAAGACCACAGTCAGGGGGTCTAGACTTATGAACCAAGACCAGTCAGGGGGTCGAGACTTATGAACCAAGACCACAGTCAGGGGATCCAGACTTATGAACCAAGACCACAGGCAGGGGGTCTAGACTTATGAACCAAGACCACAGTCAGGGGATCCAGACTTATGAACCAAGACCACAGGCAGGGGGTCTAGACTTATGAACCAAGACCAGTCAGGGGGTCTAGACTTATGAACCAAGACCACAGTCAGGGGGTCTAGACTTATGAACCAAGACCAGTCAGGGGGTCTAGACTTATGAGCCAAGACCACAGTCAGGGGGTCTAGACTTATGAACCAAGACCAGTCAGGGGGTCTAGACTTATGAACCAAGACCAGTCAGGGGGTCTAGACTTATGAGCCAAGACCAGTCAGGGGGTCTAGACTTATGAACCAAGACCAGTCAGGGGGTCTAGACTTACGAGCCAAGACCACAGTCAGGGGGTCTAGACTTATGAACCAAGACCAGTCAGGGGGTCTAGACTTATGAACCAAGACCAGTCAGGGGGTCTAGACTTATGAGCCAAGACCACAGTCAGGGGGTCTAGACTTATGAACCAAGACCAGTCAGGGGGTCTAGACTTATGAACCAAGACCAGTCAGGGGGTCTAGACTTATGAGCCAAGACCAGTCAGGGGGTCTAGACTTATGAACCAAGACCAGTCAGGGGGTCTAGACTTACGAGCCAAGACCACAGTCAGGGGGTCTAGACTTATGAACCAAGACCAGTCAGGGGGTCTAGACTTATGAGCCAAGACCACAGTCAGGGGGTCTAGACTTATGAACCAAGACCAGTCAGGGGGTCTAGACTTATGAGCCAAGACCAGTCAGGGGGTCTAGACTTATGAGACAAGACCAGTCAGGGGGTCTAGACTTATGAACCAAGACCAGTCAGGGGGTCTAGACTTATGAACCAAGACCAGTCAGGGGGTCTAGACTTATGAACCAAGACCAGTCAGGGGTCTAGACTTATGAGCCAAGACCAGTCAGGGGGTCTAGACTTATGAACCAAGACCAGTCAGGGGGTCTAGACTTATGAGCCAAGACCACAGTCAGGGGGTCTAGACTTATGAACCAAGACCAGTCAGGGGGTCTAGACTTATGAGCCAAGACCACAGTCAGGGGGTCTAGACTTATGAACCAAGACCAGTCAGGGGGTCTAGACTTATGAACCAAGACCAGTCAGGGGGTCTAGACTTATGAACCAAGACCAGTCAGGGGGTCTAGACTTATGAGCCAAGACCACAGTCAGGGGGTCTAGACTTATGAACCAAGACCAGTCAGGGGGTCTAGACTTATGAGCCAAGACCACAGTCAGGGGGTCTAGACTTATGAACCAAGACCAGTCAGGGGGTCTAGACTTATGAACCAAGACCAGTCAGGGGGTCTAGACTTATGAGCCAAGACCAGTCAGGGGGTCTAGACTTATGAACCAAGACCAGTCAGGGGGTCTAGACTTACGAGCCAAGACCACAGTCAGGGGGTCTAGACTTATGAACCAAGACCAGTCAGGGGGTCTAGACTTATGAGCCAAGACCACAGTCAGGGGGTCTAGACTTATGAACCAAGACCAGTCAGGGGGTCTAGACTTATGAGCCAAGACCAGTCAGGGGGTCTAGACTTATGAGACAAGACCAGTCAGGGGGTCTAGACTTATGAACCAAGACCAGTCAGGGGGTCTAGACTTATGAACCAAGACCAGTCAGGGGGTCTAGACTTATGAACCAAGACCAGTCAGGGGGTCTAGACTTATGAGCCAAGACCAGTCAGGGGGTCTAGACTTATGAACCAACCCCAGTCAGGGGGTCTAGACTTATGAGCCAAGACCACAGTCAGGGGGTCTAGACTTATGAACCAAGACCAGTCAGGGGGTCTAGACTTATGAGCCAAGACCACAGTCAGGGGGTCTAGACTTATGAACCAAGACCAGTCAGGGGGTCTAGACTTATGAACCAAGACCAGTCAGGGGGTCTAGACTTATGAGCCAAGACCAGTCAGGGGGTCTAGACTTATGAGCCAAGACCAGTCAGGGGGTCTAGACTTATGAACCAAGACCAGTCAGGGGGTCTAGACTTATGAACCAAGACCAGTCAGGGGGTCTAGACTTATGAACTAAGACCAGTCAGGGGGTCTAGACTTATGAACCAAGACCAGTCAGGGGGTCTAGACTTATGAACCAAGACCAGTCAGGGGGTCTAGACTTATGAGCCAAGACCAGTCAGGGGGTCTAGACTTATGAACCAAGACCACAGTCAGGGGGTCTAGACTTATGAACCAAGACCACAGTGGTCTACTGTCAGGGGGTCTAGACTTATGAACCAAGACCACAGTGGTCTACTGTCAGGGGGTCTAGACTTATGAATCAAGACCACAGTCAGGGGATCTAGACTTATGAACCAAGACCACAGTCAGGGGGTCTAGACTTATGAGACAAGACCAGTCAGGGGGTCTAGACTTATGAGCCAAGACCAGTCAGGGGGTCTAGACTTATGAACCAAGACCAGTCAGGGGGTCTAGACTTATGAGCCAAGACCACAGTCAGGGGGTCTAGACTTATGAACCAAGACCAGTCAGGGGGTCTAGACTTATGAACCAAGACCAGTCAGGGGGTCTAGACTTATGAACCAAGACCAGTCAGGGGGTCTAGACTTATGAGCCAAGACCACAGTCAGGGGGTCTAGACTTATGAATCAAGACCAGTCAGGGGGTCTAGACTTATGAATCAAGACCAGTCAGGGGGTCTAGACTTATGAACCAAGACCACAGTCAGGGGGTCTAGACTTATGAACCAAGACCACACTGGTCTGATGTCAGGGGTCTAGACTTAAGAACATGTGGAGACAGTAAAGCGGCATGTTTCGTGGTAAGTCTGAGCCGACTCCTTCCATTCAGCAGATGAATTATACCTTAACCCTTTTGTGAATCCAAGTTAAATATTTGCATTTCTTGCTGATTGCACTTAAGATGTGTTAGTTCCATATTCGGAGGTTCATTAGTCATTCAAGAGAAAAAGAACCTTTTGTACCTGCATGATAATTGATGTCAGCCGTACCATGCACAGAGGTAGATTCTCTCTTCGTATCATGCTTCCCGCATGCTGGCTTTCTGTTTTTACATTTTGCTCTTCTCCAAAATGAATTATGCAAAGTGGCACCTTGGGAGGGAATCGGAATAGCTCATCTCATCAAAGAACGGCTGGAAATCAATGCAGCACTGCTGGGTGCGCCAGTCGCTGTGCAGCACATGCATGTACAGTCCTTGTGCCTCTGTTGGCGTGTGTTTGAGGACTTGAATATTCATGTGTGTGGCGTCTCTCTGGGAGTCTGTCTGCACACATGCCTGTAGAAGCATCTCCGTGCGTAGCCTACTTTCTGTGTATGCAGCATGTGTCGCACTCCTCCTGTCTGCCTCTCAGCCTGCTCTGTGTTTAATTAGAGAAGCTTCCAGACTGACCCAGCATCACACTCGCAGTCCGTCTGAACACTGGGTAATTTGGGCTCTATCTGGACCTGTCTTTTCCACAGACATTACTGTACATCCACTGCAAGCACGAAGAAAGGAAAGAGGATTTGCATCAACAGCCTTTGTGCCCTGACTGCATGCACTGCAGACAAAGCACAGCTCCAATCTCAGAGAGCTAGCATCCTGCTACACCACAGTGCCATCTAGTGGCGGCTTTAAATCACACAGCATTTTTATTGAGAGGTTTCTTATAGATGATAATGAGTCCAGGTACTTCATGTCCATATGGTGCACACAGACACCAGTTATTCTCCATAATAAACAATATGTCAAATAAATGCATATTTCTAATAAACTGTTGGGGAAGAGTGTTGCTGATTGACTTCAGTAGAATTAAAAATCCGTTCTCCTCTGCAGGACGACCTGGACCCTTTCCATGACCTTCTGGACGACAGCTCCTTCACTACAGACGTGAACATGCCCAGCCCCAAGCCCAAGTACAGCCAGTGCAAGGAGAGCAAGAAGGACATGATAACGTAAGATCATTATCGAGGGTCACAGCACACCACACATCAAAGTTGTCCTGCTGGATCCATCTCTCTGTTTTCATCTTACCTTCACTGCACAACCTTCTGGAAATCTTACAAACTTCCATTTTCTAAACAATAACGACAGAATCCTCACATATATATACAGACTAATCTGAATCCTCACTGTTTGTAATCTGTAATATGTGATAACTCGCACACGTTGGTAGGGATGGTCTTGACTGTGACACGTGTGGAGCTGACCAGTGCTGATCTGTCTTTCAGTCTCTCAGGTTGTCCTTTAGCAGATAAAAGCATTCGGAGTATGCTGGCCAACAACGCACAAGAGCTCAAGTAAGGCCTTCAACATAAACCTCTGATGTTCTTGGAAATATGTCTGTTTTGAGATTTTGCGAATGCCACTTTTTTTTTTAAATCTTTCGTTCTGACACATATGAGAGCCATATAAAAACAAGATTCTGTACAGACACCAAGCTCTGTACTTACAAACATTCATTAATTCAATAATAATAATAATAATACATTGTACTTATATAACACTTTTTTGGGACACTCAAAGACGTTACGTGTGGGCAGTTTTGAAGTGAGTCAAGAGAGTTCCAGAGAGTGAGGGCAGCTGTGGCTGAGACGGTGGAGGTCAGTGATGTAAGAAGCAGCAGGTTTCAAAAGGGACTTGAAGGTGAGGAAGAGGAGGAGGAGGAGGAGGAGGAGGAGGAGGAGGAGGAGGAGCAGGAGCAGTATGGAGCCAGTTTGAGGACAGGGGTGATGTGTTCTCTGGAGCGAGTGTGGCTGAGCAGGCGGCAGACTTATGGATGTATTCAAGTTTTAAGAGATGAGTGGAAGGGGAGAGGGGGCTGTTGCAGTAATCGAGTCTGGATCGAGACCTTAAACTGGTTCGTGAAGGAGTCCTCGGACCGGTTCATGAGCAAGTCCTCGGACCGGTTCATGAACGAGTCCTCAGACCGGTTCATGAGCGAGTCCTCGGACCGGTTCATGAACGAGTCCTCAGACCGGTTCATGAACGAGTCCTCAGACCGGTTCATGAGCGAGTCCTCAGACCGGTTCATGATCGAGTCCTCGGACCGGTTCATGATAGAGTCCTCGGACCGGTTCATGATCGAGTCCTCGGACCGGTTCATGATCGAGTCCTCAGACCGGTTCATGATCGAGTCCTCGGACCGGTTCATGATTGAGTCCTCGGACCGGTTCATGAGCGAGTCCTCAGACCGGTTCTGATCACAACGCTCATGATGTAACCTGCAGCTTCTTATACTTGCTCTTACTGCACCTGTCCCACAGGGGGCAGTATAGAGGTGTGTTTGGGACAGCTCACAGAACGGCCTCGTCCTCTCTGAGGTCTCTGCTCATGACAAGTTCCTGGTGTTTGACACTTTCATAATCTCCACAACAAACAAAGACAGAGGCAGAACACGGCGTTCAGGTGTTTTCGGTCCTCAGCATTGTCACAGGAGCAGCAGAAACAGCAGAAACAGCAGTAGGAACAGCAGAGAGAGCAGCAGGAACAGTAGAAAGAGCAGTAGGAACAGCAGAAAGAGCAGTAGGAACAGCAGAGAGAGCAGTAGGAACAGCAGAAAGAGCAGTAGGAACAGCAGAGAGAGCAGTAGGAACAGCAGAGAGAGCAGTAGGAACAGCAGAGAGAGCAGTAGGAACAGCAGAAAGAGCAGTAGGAACAGCAGAAAGAGCAGTACGAACAGCAGTAGGAACAGTAGAAAGAGAAGTAGGAACAGCAGTAGGAACAGCAGAAAGAGCAGTAGGAACAGCAGTAGGAACAGCAGAAAGAGCAGTAGGAACAGCAGTAGGAACAGTAGAAAGAGCAGTAGGAACAGCAGAAAGAGCAGTAGGAACAGCAGTAGGAACAGCAGAAAGAGCAGTAGGAACAGCAGTAGGAACAGTAGAAAGAGCAGTAGGAACAGCAGAAAGAGCAGTAGGAACAGCAGAGAGAGCAGTAGGAACAGCAGAAAGAGCAGCAGGAACAGCAGAAAGAGCAGTAGAAACAGCAGAAACAGCAGTAGGAACAGCAGAGAGAGTAGTAGGAACAGCAGAAACAGCAGTAGGAACAGCAGAGAGAGTAGTAGGAACAGCAGAAACATCAGTAGGAACAGCAGAGAGAGTAGTAGGAACAGCAGAGAGAGCAGTAGGAACAGCAGAGAGAGCAGTAGGAACAGCAGAAAGAGCAGTAGGGACAGCAGAAACAGCAGTAGGAACAGCAGAAAGAGCAGTAGGAACAGCAGAAACAGCAGTAGGAACAGCAGAGAGAGCAGCAGAAACAGCAGAGAGAGCAGTAGGAACAGCAGAGAGAGCAGTAGGAACAGCAGAGAGAGCAGTAGGAACAGTAGAAAGAGCAGTAGGAACAGCAGAGAGAGCAGTAGGAACAGCAGAGAGAGCAGTAGGAACAGCAGAGAGAGCAGTAGCAACAGCAGAAACAGCAGTAGGAACAGCAGAGAGAGTAGTAGGAACAGCAGAAACAGCAGTAGGAACAGCAGAAAGAGCAGTAGGAACAGCAGAAACAGCAGTAGGAACAGCAGAGAGAGCAGCAGAAACAGCAGAGAGAGCAGTAGGAACAGCAGAGAGAGCAGTAGGAACAGCAGAGAGAGCAGTAGGAACAGCAGAAACAGCAGTAGGAACAGCAGAAACAGCAGTAGGAACAGCAGAGAGAGTAGTAGGAACAGCAGAGAGAGCAGTAGGAACAGCAGAGAGAGCAGCAGAAACAGCAGAGAGAGCAGTAGGAACAGCAGAGAGAGCAGTAGGAACAGCAGAAAGAGCAGCAGGAACAGCAGAGAGAGCAGTAGGAACAGCAGAGAGAGCAGTAGGAACAGCAGAAAGAGCAGCAGGAACAGCAGAGAGAGCAGTAGGAACAGCAGAGAGAGCAGTAGGAACAGCAGAAACAGCAGTAGGAACAGCAGAGAGAGTAGTAGGAACAGCAGAGAGAGCAGTAGGAACAGCAGAGAGAGCAGTAGGAACAGCAGAGAGAGCAGTAGGAACAGCAGAAAGAGCAGTAGGAACAGCAGAAACAGCAGTAGGAACAGCAGAGAGAGCAGCAGAAACAGCAGAGAGAGCAGTAGGAACAGCAGAAAGAGCAGTAGGAACAGCAGAGAGAGCAGTAGGAACAGCAGAGAGAGCAGTAGGAACAGCAGAGAGAGCAGTAGGAACAGCAGAAAGAGCAGTAGGAACAGCAGAGAGAGCAGCAGAAACAGCAGAGAGAGCAGTAGAAAGAGCAGTAGGAACAGCAGAGAGAGCAGCAGGAACAGCAGAAACAGCAGTAGGAACAGCAGAAAGAGCAGTAGGAACAGCAGAAACAGCAGTAGGAACAGCAGAGAGAGCAGCAGAAACAGCAGAGAGAGCAGTAGGAACAGCAGAGAGAGCAGTAGGAACAGCAGAGAGAGCAGTAGGAACAGCAGAGAGAGCAGTAGGAACAGCAGAAACAGCAGTAGGAACAGCAGAGAGAGCAGTAGGAACAGCAGAGAGAGCAGTAGGAACAGCAGAAACAGCAGTAGGAACAGCAGAAACAGCAGTAGGAACAGCAGAGAGAGTAGTAGGAACAGCAGAGAGAGCAGTAGGAACAGCAGAGAGAGCAGTAGGAACAGCAGAAACAGCAGTAGGAACAGCAGAAACAGCAGAGAGAGCAGTAGGAACAGCAGAAAGAGCAGCAGGAACAGCAGAGAGAGCAGTAGGAACAGCAGAGAGAGCAGTAGGAACAGCAGAAAGAGCAGCAGGAACAGCAGAGAGAGCAGTAGGAACAGCAGAGAGAGCAGTAGGAACAGCAGAAAGAGCAGCAGGAACAGCAGAGAGAGCAGTAGGAACAGCAGAGAGAGCAGTAGGAACAGCAGAAAGAGCAGCAGGAACAGCAGAGAGAGCAGTAGGAACAGCAGAGAGAGCAGTAGGAACAGCAGAGAGAGCAGTAGGAACAGTAGAAAGTGACTATATTATGCACTTCTTTGACGTCCTGTCACTGTAGACCCTGAGACCTTTCTGTTTCCTTGTCCCCAGGTGCCCGACACCAGGGTGCGATGGTTCGGGACATATTACTGGCAACTACGCGTCTCACAGAAGGTAACCCTGATGACCAGCTGCACTCATCTGTGGTCATGATCTAAGGGGGGCGTTTAAAAAACCCAGATCAGCCTCTGATTGGATCATTCTACTGTGACTCAGTGACAGAGGAAATAAAATGTCCTCAGTCTGAAAACGCTGCAGATGAACTCCACAAGATCAACATTAACAACATCTGGAAATCACTTGATTTAAAAAGGAATAATTAATAAAAACGTAAATGACCCTGAAAAATGTGTAACGTGATGTTTCCGTCAATTATTCTCTAAAAATTAAACTTGAGGAAATAAAAAAAATGGTCAGTTTATAGTTGCTCCAAAAGAAAAAACATGAAAAAACCAGTAATAAATGTGACCTTTTTAAGAATATTTACCTCCAACATGTTTTTGAATTATTGTCATAGACTCAGAATGTGACGTATAAATGTCCCTGAGGCTGAGGACTCTCTGTGTGAAGGCTCCATCTTTAACTACAGAGGCTGATAAGGGACAAAAAGGAGTTTGAGTGGGAGTTGGCGACCACTGTCAAAGACCACATATTGTCCTGTGAAGCCACTGCAGTCCTGGAAATTACAATATATGATCTCAAAGCTAGACGGGAGTAAAAACTACACTGTGCACCTTTAAGCAGAACTATTTTGCATAATTGTTGATAATGTTTGATCTTGGGGGGCGTACAGGACCATCCTTCATGTGTGCTCTGTCTGCAGTCTCTCAGGGTGTCCTCGGGCCAGGAAGAGCGGGATCAAGATCATCCACAGCAAAGAGAACAAGGAGGACCAGGAACCAATCAGGTACAGTCCTGCTCCTGCTTAACTGTGGATATTTACTTACTTTACTTTCATGTAAATATCCATCTCTGTGTAGAACAGCGATATTAGATTCATCTTTCACTCTTTCACACGCTTCAAAAAGACTTGTGCGTTCCTGATCTAAATTTAAGAAAACGTGGCAACCCTTTTTGTCATTGTTGGATACAATCGTTTTACTTTCAGACGCTGAGAAGTAGTGACTGTTTTTTAGGCCTGAGCCCCAACAGGAAAGGCCGAGTACTCGCTGCAACTGTCATAAGAAACAATTGGGACGTGCACGAGACGCCACGGGCCCAAACACTGATCACACACTCGGCCCAATTACTCCACTGTGCACTACAACACAGTGTGTCCAGTCTGTGGTGCAGCTTGGTCTGTGGTTCTGTGGTGCAGCTCGGTCTGTGGTTCTGTGGTGCAGCTCAGTCTGTGGTTCTGTGGTGCAGCTCGGTCTGTGGTTCTGTGGTGCAGCTCAGTCTGTGGTGCAGCTCGGTCTGTGGTTCTGTGGTGCAGCTCAGTCTGTGGTTCTGTGGTGCAGCTCAGTCTGTGGTGCAGCTCGGTCTGTGGTTCTGTGGTGCAGCTCAGTCTGTGGTTCTGTGGTGCAGCTCGGTCTGTGGTTCTGTGGTGCAGCTTGGTCTGTGGTTCTGTGGTGCAGCTCGGTCTGTGGTTCTGTGGTGCAGCTCAGTCTGTGGTTCTGTGGTGCAGCTCAGTCTGTGGTGCAGCTCGGTCTGTGGTTCTGTGGTGCAGCTCGGTCTGTGGTTCTGTGGTGCAGCTTGGTCTGTGGTTCTGTGGTGCAGCTCGGTCTGTGGTTCTGTGGTGCAGCTCGGTCTGTGGTTCTGTGGTGCAGCTCGGTCTGTGGTTCTGTGGTGCAGCTCAGTCTGTGGTTCTGTGGTGCAGCCCGGTCTGTGGTTCTGTGGTGCAGCCCGGTCTGTGGTTCTGTGGTGCAGCTTGGTCTGTGGTTCTGTGGTGCAGCTCAGTCTGTGGTTCTGTGGTGCAGCTCAGTCTGTGGTGCAGCCCGGTCTGTGGTTCTGTGGTGCAGCTCGGTCTGTGGTTCTGTGGTGCAGCTCGGTCTGTGGTTCTGTGGTGCAGCTCAGTCTGTGGTTCTGTGGTGCAGCTCGGTCTGTGGTTCTGTGGTGCAGCTCAGTCTGTGGTTCTGTGGTGCAGCTCAGTCTGTGGTGCAGCTCGGTCTGTGGTTCTGTGGTGCAGCTCAGTCTGTGGTTCTGTGGTGCAGCTCAGTCTGTGGTGCAGCTCGGTCTGTGGTTCTGTGGTGCAGCTCAGTCTGTGGTTCTGTGGTGCAGCTCGGTCTGTGGTTCTGTGGTGCAGCTTGGTCTGTGGTTCTGTGGTGCAGCTCGGTCTGTGGTTCTGTGGTGCAGCTCAGTCTGTGGTTCTGTGGTGCAGCTCAGTCTGTGGTGCAGCTCGGTCTGTGGTTCTGTGGTGCAGCTCGGTCTGTGGTTCTGTGGTGCAGCTTGGTCTGTGGTTCTGTGGTGCAGCTCGGTCTGTGGTTCTGTGGTGCAGCTCGGTCTGTGGTTCTGTGGTGCAGCTCGGTCTGTGGTTCTGTGGTGCAGCTCAGTCTGTGGTTCTGTGGTGCAGCCCGGTCTGTGGTTCTGTGGTGCAGCCCGGTCTGTGGTTCTGTGGTGCAGCTTGGTCTGTGGTTCTGTGGTGCAGCTCAGTCTGTGGTTCTGTGGTGCAGCTCAGTCTGTGGTGCAGCCCGGTCTGTGGTTCTGTGGTGCAGCTCGGTCTGTGGTTCTGTGGTGCAGCTCAGTCTGTGGTTCTGTGGTGCAGCCCGGTCTGTGGTTCTGTGGTGCAGCCCGGTCTGTGGTTCTGTGGTGCAGCTTGGTCTGTGGTTCTGTGGTGCAGCTCAGTCTGTGGTGCAGCTCGGTCTGTGGTTCTGTGGTGCAGCTCAGTCTGTGGTTCTGTGGTGCAGCTCAGTCTGTGGTGCAGCCCGGTCTGTGGTTCTGTGGTGCAGCCCGGTCTGTGGTTCTGTGGTGCAGCTTGGTCTGTGGTTCTGTGGTGCAGCTCAGTCTGTGGTTCTGTGGTGCAGCTCAGTCTGTGGTGCAGCCCGGTCTGTGGTTCTGTGGTGCAGCTCGGTCTGTGGTTCTGTGGTGCAGCTCAGTCTGTGGTTCTGTGGTGCAGCCCGGTCTGTGGTTCTGTGGTGCAGCCCGGTCTGTGGTTCTGTGGTGCAGCTTGGTCTGTGGTTCTGTGGTGCAGCTCAGTCTGTGATGCAGCTCAGTCCGTGGTTCTGTGGTGCAGCTCGGTCTGTGGTTCTGTGGTGCAGCTCGGTCTGTGGTTCTGTGGTGCAGCTCTGTCTGTGGTTCTGTGGTGCAGCCCGGTCTGTGGTTCTGTGGTGCAGCTCGGTTCTGTGGTGCAGCCCGGCCCGTGGTTCTGTGGTGCAGCTCGGTCTGTGGTTCTGTGGTGCAGCTCTGTCTGTGGTTCTGTGGTGCAGCCCGGTCTGTGGTTCTGTGGTGCAGCTCGGTTCTGTGGTGCAGCCCGGTCCGTGGTTCTGTGGTGCAGCTTGGTGAGGACACAGCAGAGACACAGATTGATTGGACTGTAGCTGGATCCCACAGAGAGCTCCCGGGCCTCGGTCCTGCAGTCTCATTGATTTCTCCGCTGGTGCAGAACACAAACAGAACACTCTGGCCGGGCTCCGTTCAATCTTGTCATTGGACTGAATGTAGAGGTTCTTCTTCTCTGTGGTTCTGTTACTGATGATTCTCTGTGGTTCTGTTACTGATGATTCTCTGTGGTTCTGTTACTGATGATTATCTGTGGTTCTGTTACTGATGATTATCTGTGGTTCTATAACTGATGATTATCTGTGGTTCTGTTACTGATGATTCTCTGTGGTTCTGTTACTGATGATTATCTGTGGTTCTGTTACTGATGATTATCTGTGGTTCTGTTACTGATGATTCTCTGTGGTTCTGTTACTGATGATTCTCTGTGGTTCTGTTACTGATGATTCTCTGTGGTTCTGTTACTGATGATTCTCTGTGGTTCTGTTACTGATGATTATCTGTGGTTCTGTTACTGATGATTATCTGTGGTTCTATAACTGATGATTATCTGTGGTTCTGTTACTGATGATTCTCTGTGGTTCTATAACTGATGATTATCTGTGGTTCTGTTACTGATGATTCTCTGTGGTTCTATAACTGATGATTATCTGTGGTTCTGTTACTGATGATTCTCTGTGGTTCTGTTACTGATGAGAAGCTCTGGATCAACATTATCTGTGTCATCGTGACCTTCAAACAAACTACTGCAGTCTTTCTCTTTCTCTTTCATCTGCGACGACAGATCTCCATCGGGCCTTCACCACACGACACACACTCACTGATATTATATTAAAGGAGCAGTGTGTAAACATGTGGCCAAAAGTGGTACTGCAGCCTCTCCCACTCTCCCTGACTCAGGTTGCCAGATATGCAGACGAATCCAGCTGGGACCATAACAGCTGAATAGACAAGAGTTTTGTCAACAACAAATCTATAACCAACACCTTTTTCACAAAGATAGAAATCCTGGTGTTTCATCGTTAAAGGGCCCTAATCTGTCATCAATAAAGGGCCCTAATCTGTCATCATTAAAGGGCCCTAATCTGTCATCATTAAAGGGCCCTAATCTGTCGTCATTAAAGGGCCCTAATCTGTCGTCATTAAAGGGCCCTAATCTGTCATCATTAAAGGGCCCTAATCTGCCATCATTAAAGGGCACTAATCAGTCATCATTAAAGGGCCCTAATCTGCCATCATTAAAGGGCCCTAATCTGTCATCATTAAAGGGCCATAATCTGTCATCATTAAAGGGCCCTAATCTGTCATCATTAAAGGGCCCTAATCTGTCATCATTAAAGGGCCCTAATCTGCCATCATTAAAGGGACCTAATCTGTCATCATTAAAGGGCCCTTTTCTGTCATCATTAAAGGGCCCTAATCAGTCATCATTAAAGGGCCCTAATCTGTCATCATTAAAGGGCCCTAATCTGTCATCTTTAAAGGGCCCTAATCTGTCATAATAATAAACTGCTCTTTTCCAATCCTTCTTTAACTGATAACATTAGTTCAGAGATATTTGAATTTCTAAATTACTTTTCCAGCCTCTAAATCTTGTTATTGTTTTCATTTCGATGTCTCGCCCTCCACCGTTTCACCAATCAGAAAGTCTGTGATCCGGGCGCCAGAACTCACCGCGTGGAGCTAATCTCACTGGTAAAGTACCATGTGGCGCAGAACTAAAAAAGGTCTCGTTATGATTCTCAAATCATTAACGACAAAACAAGGAATAAAAGCAGGATTTCTATCTTTGTGAAAAAGGTGTTGGTTATAGATTTGTTGTTGACAAAACTCTTGTCTATTCAGCTGTTATGGTCCCAGCTGGATTCGTCTGCATATCTGGCAACCTGAGTCAGGGAGAGTAGGAGAGGCTGCAGTACCACTTTTGGCCACATGTTGGCTACATACTGCTCCTTTAAACTTAAATACAAATAAATGTTCACTTAGGAAACTTAAGAGGGTCGACTGTTTTCTAGGCTCTACGGTGTTTCTGTGTTGTGTGTTTTGTTCTGTTTGCTGCATCAAGTTGTGTTACATATTATTTTAGTTGAATTGATTCTGGGATCCCAAAGCTAACACCAGTCTGTGATGTGTTCAGGTGTCCGGTCCCGGGGTGTGACGGCCAGGGTCATGTGACGGGGAAGTACGCCTCCCACAGGAGTGCCTCGGGCTGTCCTATCGCGGCCAAGCGCCAGAAAGACGGATACTTAAACGGAATTCAGTTCACGTGGAAATCGGGAAAGACAGAGGGGATGTCGTGTCCCACTCCGGGCTGCGACGGCTCGGGACATGTCAGTGGCAGCTTCCTCACTCACCGCAGGTCAGTGTGAGGTGCATTAGAGCCACTAGGGGTCAGCACTAACACAAACTTCTGTTTTGATGCAGTTTGTCAGGTTGTCCTCGAGCCACTTCAGCCATGAGGAAAGCCCGACTCTCAGGCGTGGACATGCTCTCCATCAAACAGCAGCGCCTTAGCAACGGTAACTACTGCTAATGCTACTGCTACTGCTACTGCTAATGCTACTGCTACTGCTACTGCTAATGCTACTGCTACTGCTACTGATGCTACTACTGATGCTACTACTGCTACTGCTACTACTACTGCTAATGCTACTACTGCTACTACTACTGATGCTACTACTGATGCTACTACTGCTACTGCTACTACTACTGCTAATGCTACTACTACTGCTACTGCTAATGCTAATGATAATGCTAATGCTACTACTACTGCTACTACTACTGATGCTACTACTGATGCTACTACTGCTACTGCTACTACTACTGCTAATGCTACTACTGCTACTGCTACTACTACACTGTGTCAGTCTGCAGCCATGATATAGAATGATTGAGTAAAGTCAGGTCTATGGAGAGTCTGTGGAGAGTCTGTGGTGAGTCTGTGGTGAGTCTGTGGTGAGTCTGTGGAGAGTCTGTGGTGAGTCTGTGGAGAGTCTGTGGTGAGTCTGTGGTGAGTCTGTGGAGAGTCTGTGGAGAGTCTGTGGAGAGTCTGTGGTGAGTCTGCGGTGAGTCTGCGGTGAGTCTGCGGTGAGTCTGCGGTGAGTCTGCGGTGAGTCTGCGGTGAGTCTGCGGAGAGTCTGTGGTGAGTCTGTGGTGAGTCTGTGGAGAGTCTGTGGTGAGTCTGTGGAGAGTCTGCGGTGAGTCTGTGGAGAGTCTGCGGTGAGTCTGCGGTGAGTCTGCGGTGAGTCTGCGGTGAGTCTGTGGTGAGTCTGTGGTGAGTCTGTGGTGAGTCTGTGGTGAGTCTGCGGTGAGTCTGCGGTGAGTCTGCGGTGAGTCTGTGGTGAGTCTGTGGTGAGTCTGTGGTGAGTCTGCGGTGAGTCTGTGGTGAGTCTGTGGAGAGTCTGTGGTGAGTCTGCGGTGAGTCTGCGGTGAGTCTGCGGTGAGTCTGTGGTGAGTCTGTGGTGAGTCTGTGGTGAGTCTGCGGTGAGTCTGCGGAGAGTCTGTGGTGAGTCTGTGGTGAGTCTGTGGAGAGTCTGTGGTGAGTCTGTGGTGAGTCTGTGGTGAGTCTGTGGTGAGTCTGTGGTGAGTCTGTGGTGAGTCTGTGGTGAGTCTGTGGAGAGTCTGTGGTGAGTCTGTGGAGAGTCTGCGGTGAGTCTGTGGAGAGTCTGCGGTGAGTCTGTGGAGAGTCTGTGGAGAGTCTGTGGTGAGTCTGTGGAGAGTCTGTGGAGAGTCTGTGGAGAGTCTGTGGTGAGTCTGCGGTGAGTCTGCGGTGAGTCTGCGGTGAGTCTGCGGTGAGTCTGTGGAGAGTCTGCGGTGAGTCTGTGGAGAGTCTGCGGTGAGTCTGCGGAGAGTCTGCGGAGAGTCTGCGGTGAGTCTGCGGTGAGTCTGCGGTGAGTCTGCGGTGAGTCTGCGGTGAGTCTGCGGTGAGTCTGCGGTGAGTCTGCGGTGAGTCTGCGGTGAGTCTGTGGAGAGTCTGTGGTGAGTCTGTGGTGAGTCTGTGGTGAGTCTGTGGTGAGTCTGCGGTGAGTCTGCGGTGAGTCTGCGGTGAGTCTGCGGTGAGTCTGTGGTGAGTCTGTGGTGAGTCTGTGGTGAGTCTGTGGAGAGTCTGTGGAGAGTCTGTGGTGAGTCTGCGGTGAGTCTGCGGTGAGTCTGCGGTGAGTCTGCGGTGAGTCTGCGGTGAGTCTGCGGTGAGTCTGCGGTGAGTCTGCGGTGAGTCTGCGGTGAGTCTGCGGTGAGTCTGCGGTGAGTCTGCGGTGAGTCTGCGGTGAGTCTGCGGTGAGTCTGCGGTGAGTCTGTGGTGAGTCTGTGGAGAGTCTGTGGTGAGTCTGTGGTGAGTCTGTGGTGAGTCTGTGGTGAGTCTGCGGTGAGTCTGCGGTGAGTCTGCGGTGAGTCTGTGGTGAGTCTGTGGTGAGTCTGTGGTGAGTCTGTGGTGAGTCTGTGGAGAGTCTGTGGAGAGTCTGTGGTGAGTCTGCGGTGAGTCTGCGGTGAGTCTGCGGTGAGTCTGCGGTGAGTCTGCGGTGAGTCTGCGGTGAGTCTGCGGTGAGTCTGTGGAGAGTCTGTGGTGAGTCTGTGGTGAGTGTGGAGAGTCTGTGGAGAGTCTGTGGAGAGTCTGTGGAGAGTCTGCGGTGAGTCTGCGGTGAGTCTGCGGTGAGTCTGCGGTGAGTCTGCGGTGAGTCTGCGGTGAGTCTGTGGAGAGTCTGTGGAGAGTCTGTGGTGAGTCTGTGGTGAGTCTGTGGAGAGTCTGTGGTGAGTCTGTGGAGAGTCTGCGGTGAGTCTGCGGAGAGTCTGCGGAGAGTCTGCGGTGAGTCTGCGGTGAGTCTGTGGAGAGTCTGTGGAGAGTCTGTGGAGAGTCTGTGGAGAGTCTGTGGTGAGTCTGTGGTGAGTCTGTGGTGAGTCTGTGGTGAGTCTGTGGTGAGTCTGTGGTGAGTCTGTGGAGAGTCTGTGGTGAGTCTGTGGTGAGTCTGTGGAGAGTTTGTGGTGAGTCTGTGGTGAGTCTGTGGAGAGTCTGTGGAGAGTCTGTGGTGAGTCTGTGGAGAGTCTGTGGTGAGTCTGGAGAGTCTGTGGTGAGTCTGTGGTGAGTCTGTGGAGAGTCTGTGGAGAGTCTGTGGAGAGTCTGTGGAGAGTCTGTGGTGAGTCTGTGGTGAGTCTGTGGAGAGTCTGTGGTGAGTCTGTGGTGAGTCTGTGGTGAGTCTGTGGAGAGTCTGTGGTGAGTCTGTGGTGAGTCTGTGGAGAGTCTGTGGTGAGTCTGTGGAGAGTCTGTGGTGAGTCTGTGGTGAGTCTGTGGTGAGTCTGTGGAGAGTCTGTGGAGAGTCTGTGGAGAGTCTGCGGTGAGTCTGTGGAGAGTCTGTGGAGAGTCTGTGGTGAGTCTGTGGAGAGTCTGTGGTGAGTCTGTGGTGAGTCTGTGGTGAGTCTGTGGAGAGTCTGTGGTGAGTCTGTGGAGAGTCTGTGGTGAGTCTGTGGTGAGTCTGTGGAGAGTCTGTGGTGAGTCTGTGGAGAGTCTGTGGTGAGTCTGTGGTGAGTCTGTGGAGAGTCTGTGGTGAGTCTGTGGAGAGTCTGTGGTGAGTCTGTGGTGAGTCTGTGGTGAGTCTGTGGAGAGTCTGTGGTGAGTCTGTGGTGAGTCTGTGGTGAGTCTGTGGTGAGTCTGTGGTGAGTCTGTGGAGAGTCTGTGGTGAGTCTGTGGAGAGTCTGTGGTGAGTCTGTGGTGAGTCTGTGGAGAGTCTGTGGTGAGTCTGTGGTGAGTCTGTGGAGAGTCTGTGGTGAGTCTGTGGAGAGTCTGTGGAGAGTCTGTGGTGAGTCTGTGGAGAGTCTGTGGAGAGTCTGTGGAGAGTCTGTGGAGAGTCTGTGGTGAGTCTGTGGAGAGTCTGTGGTGAGTCTGTGGAGAGTCTGTGGTGAGTCTGTGGAGAGTCTGTGGAGAGTCTGTGGTGAGTCTGTGGTGAGTCTGTGGTGAGTCTGTGGTGAGTCTGTGGAGAGTCTGTGGTGAGTCTGTGGAGAGTCTGTGGAGAGTCTGTGGTGAGTCTGTGGAGAGTCTGTGGTGAGTCTGTGGTGAGTCTGTGGTGAGTCTGTGGTGAGTCTGTGGAGAGTCTGTGGAGAGTCTGTGGTGAGTCTGTGGAGAGTCTGTGGAGAGTCTGTGGTGAGTCTGTGGAGAGTCTGTGGTGAGTCTGTGGAGAGTCTGTGGTGAGTCTGTGGAGAGTCTGTGGTGAGTCTGTGGTGAGTCTGTGGTGAGTCTGTGGAGAGTCTGTGGTGAGTCTGTGGAGAGTCTGTGGATTATAAATATCTTGAACGGCTGCATCTGAAGAACAGAGCTGTGCACTTGGCAGTCACTGAACATCAAAATTAGGCCTGGATTTGGAAGTTATCAACCACCCACTTAACGGGAGACTACTGCACATAGAGATACTGTAGATACTGTAGATACTGCAGATACTGCAGATACTGCAGATACTGTAGATACTGTAGATACTGTAGATACTGCAGATACTGCAGATACTGCAGATACTGTAGATACTGTAGATACTGCAGATACTGTAGATACTGCAGATACTGCAGATACTGCAGATACTGTAGATACTGCAGATACTGTAGATACTGCAGATACTGCAGATACTGTAGATACTGTAGATACTGTAGATACTGCAGATACTGTAGATACTGCAGATACTGTAGATACTGCAGATACTGCAGATACTGTAGATACTGCAGATACTGTAGATACTGTAGATACTGCAGATACTGCAGATACTGTAGATACTGTAGATAGACACATCCATCCAAACAAAACAAATACATGTATCATTCTAAAAGTATCTAACAATAACAACAACAGTCCTTCAGTCACAGCAGCAGAGGTGGAGCTTGGTTTAGACCATTTTCTCTGCTCTGGTCTGGACCAGTGTAAAACCATGAATCCTCTCTGCTCTGGTCTGGACCAGTGTAAAACCATGAATCCTCTCTGCTCTGGTCTGGACCAGTGTAAAACCATGAATCCTCTCTGCTCTGGTCTGGACCAGTGTAAAACCATGAATCCTCTCTGCTCTGGTCTGGACCAGTGTAAAACCATGAATCCTCTCTGCTCTGGTCTGGACCAGTGTAAAACCATGAATCCTCTCTGCTCTGGTCTGGACCAGTGTAAAACCATGAATCCTCTCTGCTCTGGTCTGGACCAGTGTAAAACCATGAATCCTCTCTGCTCTGGTCTGGACCAGTGTAAAACCATGAATCCTCTCTGCTCTGGTCTGGACCAGTGTAAAACCATGAACACTGAAAGACTAATGGTCCTGTGTCTTCCCTGCAGGCCTGGACCATGAGGAGGAGATCAAACAGCTGGATGAAGAAATCAAAGACTTAAGTGAATCAAACTCTCAAGTAGAGACCGACATGATCAAACTGCGGACACAGGTAGTGAGTATGTTGCACCAAGACTTTTCACGAGTATCGTTTGTTTTTTTCGTTCCTCAGTGTTTCACAAAACCTTTCTCTGTCCGTTTAGATCACGACCATGGAGTCAAACCTGAAGTGCATAGAGGAGGAAAACAAGGTGATTGAACAACAAAATGAATCTCTGCTGCATGAGCTGGCCAACCTCAGCCAGTCACTGATTAACAGTTTAGCTAATGTCCAGCTCCCTCACATGGTAAGGGCCCAGGACCAGCAGACCACAGCCACAGCATTGTAGCGGCTGACTCATGCTTTGTACTTGGCGACAGGCGCTTGTGCATGCTACCAGATGTGGCACTTTGCTTTCAAAATGTGAGGGAGGACGAGATTTAAGGTTATATCGCAATTTAAGGTTTATCGCACAGTATTGCTATTTAAATAATGGTCGTGATTTGTTTTATTTATTGTTCGAGAGGTTATTGTTGCTGAGAATTCTCCAAATGATCAAATTGCATTGTTTTTGTGTGCTTCGTATCATGCTTTTCCACCAACCCTCTGTGTGTGCATGTGTGTGTTTGTAAAAAGCTGAGATGCATAGATGTAATTCACTAATATTATCATTTTTAATCATGAGTAATAAGTAACTTGTGTCTGTGTGTTTTGCAGAAACCATTAACACACAAAGACCCCCCTCTGAGACCCAGCTGTCTACAGATGCAGCAGGTAACTACTGAACTACTGTATTTACTGCTGTGTATTCATGAGTCCTGAATGTGTCTCGTGTGTGTCCAGCAGGAGGCGCTGTCGGAGCAGAACTTTGACGCCTACGTGACCACGCTCACAGACATGTACGCCAACCAAGACCAGTACCACACTCCAGAAAACAAAGTCCTGCTAGAAAATATCAAACAAGCCGTTCAAGGGATCCAGGTGTGAGCGTGACAGAGACACAGTCCGGTCCTCAGAGTCCGGTCCTCAGAGTCCGGTCCTCAGAGTCCGGCCCTCAGAGTCCGGCCCTCAGAGTCCGGCCCTCAGAGTCCGGCCCTCAGAGTCCGGTCCTCCGAGTCCGGCCCTCAGAGTCCGGTCCTCCGAGTCCGGTCCTCCGAGTCCGGTCCTCCGAGTCCGGCCCTCAGAGTCCGGCCCTCAGAGTCCGGCCCTCAGAGTCCGGCCCTCAGAGTCCGGCCCTCAGAGTCCGGCCCTCAGAGTCCGGCCCTCAGAGTCCGGCCCTCAGAGTCCGGCCCTCAGAGTCCGGCCCTCAGAGTCCGGTCCTGATCCTGAATCCACAGACATCAGACACTTCCTTCTATAATGTTCTATATTTACATAAAAAATGAGGTACAATTCTCAAAGACGCCTCAATATTGTTTTTTGTTTTGATTCTGTTTTTTTGGGTCTTGCTTTAATGAAGAAAGTTAAACTATCAACTGCAAAATAGTTTTTTGAAGACATTCACATTTTGTACGTTTTCATATGAGCGGACATGTCATGTTTGTAGCTGCTCATGATGCACATTTTTAGTGTATATTTCTGAACAGGAAGCTAATGCTAATGGAAGCTCTTTCTATCGCTTAAAAACGAGCATTTTAGATCAAAAAAGATGAACGTGAATAAAAAACTAAAGAAGGGGAAGCATTTTAGTTTCTCCTCGAGTTTGACCTTTAGGTGTTTTTGTTCTTGTAGATCGTTCAAACCGAGATCTGGTTTTAACGATCTCTTCTTTCCGACAATGCTTGAGAAATGTTGGTGTTTTGTTTTGATAAGAAGTGTAGCTTGTGGGGGCTTTCACTGGTGCTGCAGAGGACTCTGAAGAGGAACTGATGTTTGTATGAATGTATGTGAACAGTGCTATTGTAAACATCACTACACGGAAACCAGAGGGTGGCCATCCCGGTGTCGCTGGGTCGGGGCTTTCTGAGCCCAAAATGTGGAACGACAATGACCTTTAGAGCTTCTCCTTCAGTGAGGACGCTCTACTGGAGTCCTGCGAGGATCATGTCTCTGCAATATTCTGAAATCATTTGTTATTGTACGGGATGCAATCCAAGAAAAATGGGTATATGCAATTTCATGTTTATAAGCATAGTGGGGTTATGTGAATCTTTTTAATATAACCTAAATGTAAATGATTGATTTTTATACAAATCTTTTAATACAAAAAAGTCTTTAAAGAAAAAAAAACAGAAGAGCAACCTGGACACTTGAGTTTGGAAGCAACAATCTATGAGTTCCCCTTTTTCTGTACATTTGCACAGGGACACCTTCGTTTCCATGTTTTGATGTTGATGCAGAAACTCGCCGAGTTCCCGAGGGTTTTGTAAAGAGTATTTATAAAGTATGACAGCGGGACTTACAGGGTCACTGTCCCCACTTATGTGCCAGTCGACTATTTGCACTTGTCCTTGAAGATATTATCCTTATGTACGACGGCGGTGTGCAATTTCCACGATCGACCCACTGCTCGGAGCCACTTTAGGTGCGGAGTTAGTCCCACGGAGAGAGACGGAGAATCAGAGACGGATGTTTATACCATAGCACCTATACTGTAGGCTAGACCCGAGTGTAAAAACATTCATGCGATGTTTTAGGAAAATAAAGTTATCCCCCAGCAGCACTTTATATCTAATCACTGTACAAAGGATTCAATATTCAATCAACTTTGTGTTCTTTAAAGAAGGGCTCTCTTCTCCCAGACAGAAGTGAGTCCTGGGGGGTCTGCCTGACTGTATGCGCCCCTCCAGCCTGTCGTAGTTGTTCAACGTCATTTCCAAAATTTGCCTTTTTGAAAGTGAAAGCAAAAGGTGCTTGTCTTTCATGGAACTCTCATCTCGTGTGCGGCGCCGGAGCAGACGCCTCGGTCCGTCACTGCATCGGCCTCTTCCACTGCATCGTGTCTGCAGCTTCAGTATAGTAATGCTTCAGTAGAGTTATAGCTAAAATACAGTTTTTAATTAATCCTCATTATCAGTGAAATGGAACATGGATTTTAAAGCACAAACTGGCTGCTCATCAGATGTTGGTTCATAAAAACAATCTAAAACAGTTGTGACTATCTAAAGGGAAAGACTTTATCAGAGTTGGTTTCAGTGACCATAACAAGACAGGATTTTGTAAAAACTATTGTGCTCTGTGGAACTGAAGTTTGATTTATTTTTGTACTACACAGCATGGATTTGTTGACATTTTAATTTTGCTATAAATGTGTGAGATCACAAGTTGCTGTGATATTTCATTTATAAATTGTGAACTTTGTACAATTTTGTCATGCTGGATGTGGACACATCTTACTCTAAATAAAGGAAAATGTGTTGCCAGAGACATGTACACACTTCTTCTGGACTTTGTATCGGAACCAGCGCCATTTAGAACTGGCTGCTTTCATGATGCACTTATTTTCATTAATTAACACAATCATTCACAAAAAATAATCTCGAACAAAAGATGAAGAGATTCTTGATGTGACCCACAGTGGGGACATTTCTGTGTTGCCTTACAAGTCACATTCTCTATTTTTAAGACAGAGATTTTATACTTTTATCTTTTATCATTTATCTTGTGCCGTGCTCCTCTTTCCTACTGTTCTATAACTCTGATGCAACACTGACATTTCCCCACAGTGGGACCAATAAAGAATCTCTTCATCTTCATCAGAACTGTAGGAATGTGAGCAGCAGGAGGTCCTGGGAGTGATCACGTGGTTATGACGGTGACTCCGTGGTGTGCGCAGCTGCAGTGACCGCCTTTGACCAGCAGAGGGCAGCAAATCCCGCTTTAATGTTACAACTTTTTCAATGTTTTTTTTTCTTTTCTTTTTCACTTTGTTTCACTTTTACGTTTACTCTCTGCATGATTTTTTTTTAAAATCAATTTACATAACATAACAACCTGAATAAATAAATAAATATGTAAAAGGCATCTTTTTAAATCCTGTTGCTCACACCATGTGCATGAATCTGATGAGGGCGTTTTTATCCCCTCTTTTACCTACTTCCCCCGTTTGTTCACACGCACGCACACACACGCACACAGCAGCGTGCGTGTGCGTGTGCGTGTCCTGCTCGGGGTCCTGAGTTCTCCCACTGCTCCACGGCTCCACAGCTCCACTGCCTGAGCTATGGCGCTGCGGGCCGAGCGTTCCTCCTCGCTCCGCCGGGGTCTGCTCGCCGTGGCCCTGTTGCTTCTGGCACACTTTGGTCCGCATCTGGCCCAGGCGTGCCCCAGTCGCTGCTTGTGCTTTCGGACCACTGTCAGATGCATGCATTTGAACCTGGAATCCGTGCCAGCCGTGTCCCCGCAGACCACCATTCTGTAAGTACCTCCAACATCTAACGGGACCCTCACTTCTAACTGTGGCTAAAAGAACAGCACGGACACATTGTAGCTCTCAGGAATCTGTCTCAGGAATCTGTCTCAGGAGTCTGTCTCAGGAATCTGTCTCAGGAATCTGTCTCAGGAGTCTGTCTCAGGAGTCTGTCTCAGGAGTCTGTCTCAGGAATCTGTCTCAGGAGTCTGTCTCAGGAGTCTGTCTCAGGAGTCTGTCTCAGGAGTCTGTCTCAGGAGTCTGTCTCAGGAGTCTGTCTCAGGAGTCTGTCTCAGGAGTCTGTCTCAGGAGTCTGTCTGCTGCCTGAGCCCAAGCCCCTCACTCTTTATCCACTTCCATGTTGAAATCAGCTGAACTCTCCGTCTGCAGATTGTGATCATGGCAGTAAATAGTTTATGGATGAGTGAGTACAAAGGCCGAGGGAGGAAAGCTGCTTTAAAAAGTTCCCAGACACCTGCAAGTGGGTTCAGCCGTGGGTTCAGCCGTGGGTTCAGCCGTGGGTTCAGCCGTGGGTTCAGCCGTGGGTTCAGCCGTGGGTCGCAGAGGTTAACGGGCAGAGTTTACGGACACCACAGATGGTAAAGTCAGTATTGGGCTGGGAGTATTCTGGGCCAAGCAGCACATACTCCCAGTGAGGACTCATGCAGAACACTGAAGCCAAAGTGGGTGTTTGTGCACAGATCTGACTGGAACATGGTTAAAACTCATCATAATGAACTTAGGGTGATGTTTTGTGCTGATCTGTGCGTTGTAAAGCGGCTGCCTTGGCCAACAAGCCCCTGCAGAGGGTAAACTCCAGGCCGTATTTGCCTTTCCACTCTCGGATAAAAGCAAGGAAATACCTCTCACTTGACAGGCCCTTGTGAATGGGCCCTACATGTCAGGAGAGGCACTTGGAACTCTGGGTAGTCAGAGTGTGGCGCCCTCTTTGTCTGCCCAAAATGTATAAATGTATAAATAAGGTGTGTTTTGAGAGAATCGGGAAACACTGCAGGAGAAATGTGAAATGGAGTCAGTTTTCAAAGTGACTCATTTCCACAAAGTCAGAAGTTTCTTTTGTGTCTGCTTTGGGCCTTTGCAGCCTTCAAGATTCACTGTGAAGTCTTTACTCTAGCTTTGAGATCATATGTTAAGAGTGGGATCACATGAGTCTTCTTCTTCTTCTCCCATTTTTATATACACATGTCGTACAAATCCTCCCTATTGTTGTGTTTTGTCTTCATCTGTTGCCCGTGTGTGGGTACAGTGCTTTCTGAGTTGTGCAGAAAGTAATTTTGTATGGCTCAAGATAAAGTATTCAATCAATCAATCAATTTATTGTAATTTACGATTCTACGGTGGCTTCACAGGACGATGTGTGGTCTTTGACAGTGGTCTCCAACTCCTGCTCAAACTCCTTTCTGTCCCTTATCAGCCTCACATATGACTGGTTAACATGTTTCATTTGCCTGACTGGAAACTACAGACAGGGGCTTTAACCTTCATGTTTGAGGCTTTGAAGCTGCAGGTTCTTGTGGTTCTTCTCGCTGTTGTCAAGACTAGACTTGCTTTGCTTCCTCTGTGGCAGTAAAAGGTGATTACACTAAACCTGGAGCCCCCGCGACCTCAGTCTCTGCAGTTATTAAGGTGCTCCTCCCTCTCTTTAGCTCCGTCACAAAATGGAACTGGCTTTGATTTAGGACAGATCAGAAAAGTAAAGATCAGTTCAGATTTATGCAAAAAAACAAAACAATTTAACTTATAATTAAATGAAAGTTCATATTTTTGAACAAACTAAGACATTTTGGTTGCTTTCCGGAGAAAATAAGCTTAAAATGTAAACCTAGAAGTTACTGTTAAAGTGATCATTACAAATCATTTAAGGTGCCACTATAAAGCTAGCCTGGTCGTACCACACCATAGTATTAATTTCATTTCATACTAAGGTCTGGATTAGCTCCATTGACTCCGTTAACAGGTGGGAGGGGCTAACTCCTTTTACAGATTGAAACCATTGGATCTGAGTTTACAGTGACGTATGTAATGAGCCCGAGTGAGTGAGGCATGTAGCCTAGCTTTAGCATGTAGCCTAGCTTTAGCATGTAGCCTAGCTTTAGCCATCTCCTTTGCCACTAACTGAGTCCGTGGAGAGTAGAGCAAGCCCCGGCGATCCAAGATGGCGCAGTATTCAAATGAACGGTTGTGCTCAGTGGTCGCTGACATCAGCAGAACTCACAAAGATCTACAGGAAACTCGCCCATATTTGGGCATCGTCTGGTCCTCCTGGTTCTGTGCAGTGGATGATCTCCCATGATGCTTTGCGCCAAATACGCCTGTGTGGATCTCATGCACGTGCACAGAGGGGCTCGGCCGCGCTCGGACCAATCAGAGCTGATCAGAGCGAGAGCCAGACGAGCAGAGTTTGTGGCACTAAAGTGTGGATTTAAAGAACACCGAAGGATTTAAGAAGAAAAAAAGTTCGGGACGACAAGGGACACTAAAATCCCCACAAAATTTGATCTTTATGAGGGCTGTAGGTTCTCTGTCAGGTTCTCTGTCAGGTTCTCTGTCAACTGAGGTCGATCTGTTTTAGTTTACATTGAATTCTATGGAGAACACTTCTGTGTAGCGTGAATTAAGTCTGGTTTAGTCCGGTTTAGTCTGCAGTACCACGAGAATCCCGCGAGCACATGGTTCTTCAGCTCAAAGCTGTAATACTGTATCCAGTTATCATCATAGATCCGTGGGGAGTAGCGCCTTTGCAGAGATTGCATTTACTAAACATTCCTCTTGCTCCGGCTTCAGTTTCTTGATAGAACCAGACCAGAATACTTTACTATCACATTCTTCACCAAACTACAACCTTCCCGTTCGACGCAAACTCTTGACGTCGCCCACATCTAACTACAACACCCGCCTCCCGCGCTCTCTGATTGGTCGGATGGAATTGAACCGATTGTGATCACAAACACAGGGACCAGACCCAGACGTTACAGCAGGACGTGATGGATCTGAGAGTACAGATGGATAAGACCAGGGTACTGTAAACGGTCTCGGGACCCGGATGTGGTCCACGGGCCTGAGGTTGCCCCGCCCGTGTAAAGCCCTTTGAGTTTCCTTGTGTATGAACTGTGCCATACAAATAAACTTGCCTTGCCTTATAAAACCTGTGCTGCAGCTGCTTTCATGAATCCAGTTTGTGGATGTGGAAGCGTCAGTCTCGTGGTTGATGTTCTTGGACGTGGATCACTTTTTCTCCCTCATACTTGGATAAAGATTAAGTTATTTTTTCTTTTTCCAAGATTTTTGCTTCTTTCTGTCTGACATTTGTTCCTCAGCTGTTCTCTCTGGGGCTGTCTGTTGAAGGAGGATGAAGGATGGTGCTAAAATACTTTTCCTCCACAATAATGGAACCACTGCTTTTCTTTTCTGGGTTTCATCCGGAGAAGATTCAGTAAATTAAACATATTTTACCCTCAGTATATCATCAGGCATCACAGAGACAGACTGGTGTAATCTAAGGGTGCTTCGTTCTCTAATTTAAAGTGTACTGACAAAAAAGCAGGATTGGCAAAAACTCAAAAACCCCAAACTACATGAAATCTCTAAACCATGTGTGACAATGCAGGTTTTATTAGTACCTGTATTTGGTCACTAGGGGGCGGTCTGCCGTGTATAAAATCCTCCACCTATTGTCATGTCTGCCTCTTTTTTTTGACTCTAAGGTAAATATTGTCATGCAAAAATACTGGAGTACTGAAATTCCTAAGTGTTGCTTGTTTGCGTAGTCCGTGACTGTGTTGGGATGCAGACATTTCTGTGTGGCCTTTGCATGTTCTCCTCGTTTAAAAAAAGCATGTTTCACGATTAGTATAACTAGATTGTTAATTCTAAATGAGACATATTTGCAAAATTAACTTTTAAGATTTTAAACTTTTCACAACAATATTTGGCATGAAAAACAGACATGGAGTTGTTTTTAGATCCATCCAGGTCCATCCAGATCCATCCAGGTCCATCCAGGTACATCCAGGTACATCCAGGTCCATCCAGGTCACTATGAGGAACAAACATTCGCCTCCTGCTGCTCTTTCTGTTTCCTTCTATCATCGCACGTATTGAATATATTCTTACAAAGCAAAACCAATTGAACTCTCCCTCTGGTGGCAGGATGGGGAGTTACAGGCAGAAAGCATGTTTAACCTTCATACTTTGTACACTTTTCATTTCTAGTTTATGATAATAGTTCACTTTCTAAAACATGAAATTACAAGCTGGTCTCATTATCTTTATTTTTTAAGGCAGCCATTCCCAAAGGCACACCTTAAAGGAATAGTTCACCGTTTTTACATACTGACATATGTTCTTACCTTACCTTAGACTAGTTAATACGTACCTGTCTGGTCTTAGTCCGTGCGCTCTGTCATGCAAACGGAGCAAAAACGGGAGCACAACCGCAGCCTCCTTTTGTATATTTTGTAGCACCAAAAGGTAGCTCCCGCTAGAAGCTACCAAACTCTTCCAAGTGTTCCCTATTAAATGTATATAGTTACGTGACGTGTTACACTGCAAAGTATAGTAACACAGAAATGTAACAGTCGATTTTCTCAGCGGATAAAACGGGTACTATATTGTGAGGCGTAGTAATCTGAGGAGCGCTACGTCCGCGCACTAACTTCTCTCCGGAGACTTCTCTCTCGCTCACTTCCGTCAATAGAAGCAGCGTGACTTGTAATACACACAGTAGCAGCGAGAGAGAAGTCTCCGGAGAGAAGTTAGTGCGCGGACGTAGCGCTCCTCAGATTACTACGCCTCACAATATAGTACCCGTTTTATCCGCTGAGAAAATCGACAGTTACATTTCTGTGTTACTATACTTTGCAGTGTAACACGTCACGTAACTATATACATTTAATAGGGAACACTTGGAAGAGTTTGGTAGCTTCTAGCGGGAGCTACCTTTTGGTGCTACAAAATATACAGAGGAGGCTGCGTTTGTGCTCCCGTTTTTGCTCCGTTTGCATGACAGAGCGCACGGACTAAGACCAGACAGGTACGTATTAACTAGTCTAAGGTAAGAACATATGTCAGTATGTAAAAACGGTGAACTATTCCTTTAAATATCTGACGGGTCTGCGCGGCCCCCCGAAATAATAACCAAGAAGACAACGTTACAAATAGGCTTTTCTCGTTATTTTATTTGTAATATTAAACAGACATCAGTGACACCAAAACAACATACAATAAATCACAAGACGAGCAGTTCTGAGATGAAAGAGTGATTGTCGTGTAAGAACAGAACCAGAATAATCATCAACATCATAATAATAATAGTACTGCTGATAGTAAAGTCAATATTAAAGAAGATATACCCGTTTCTGAGGTTTTTCTCAGTTTGAATATTTAGCACCGCCCCCAACTCGCTCACAGGCCTCCATCGATCTGATACATATGCTAACATTAGCATTAGCGCAACTTCTTGTAAGCTGTACAACAATCACAGATGAAATGGTACAAAGCCAACGCACTGCTAACACAATATAAAACTGAATAATACCGCTAGTTTCACGTCCAAATGTAGTCTGAGCGTAGATAGTCCCGAGCGTAGATAGTCCCGAGCGTAGATAGTCCCGAGCGTAGATAGTCCGAGCGCAGATGTCCCGAGCGCAGATAGTCTGAGCGCAGATAGTCTGAGCGTAGATAGTCCGAGCGTAGATAGTCCGAGCGTAGATAGTTCGAGCGCAGATAGTCCCGAGCGCAGATAGTCTGAGCGCAGATAGTCCGAGCGCAGATAGTCCCGAGCGTAGATAGTCCGAGCGCAGATAGTCCCGAGCGTAGATAGTCCCGAGCGTAGATAGTCCCGAGCGCAGATAGTCCCGAGCGCAGATAGTCCGAGCGTAGATAGTCCCGAGCGTAGATAGTCCCGAGCGTAGATAGTCCCGAGCGCAGATAGTCCCGAGCGCAGATAGTCCGAGCGTAGATAGTCCGAGCGCAGATAGTCCGAGCGCAGATAGTCCGAGCGCAGATAGTCCCGAGCGCAGATAGTCCGAGCGCAGATAGTCCGAGCGTAGATAGTCCCGAGCGTAGATAGTCCCGAGCGTAGATAGTCCCGAGCGCAGATAGTCCGAGCGTAGATAGTCCAAGCGTAGATAGTCCGAGCGTTGATAGTCCCGAGCGTAGATAGTGAGAGCGGAGATAGTCCGAGAGCGGAGATAGTCCGAGAGCGCAGATAGTCCCGAGCGTAGATAGTCCCGAGCGCAGATAGTCCCGAGCGCAGATAGTCCCGAGCGCAGATAGTCCCGAGCGCAGATAGTCCCGAGCGCAGATAGTCCCGAGCGCAGATAGTCCCGAGCGCAGATAGTCCCGAGCGCAGATAGTCCCCGAGCGCAGATAGTCCGAGCGTAGATAGTCCGAGCGTAGATAGTCCGAGCGTAGATAGTCCCGAGCGTAGATAGTCCCGAGCGTAGATAGTCCCGAGCGTAGATAGTCCCGAGCGTAGATAGTCCCGAGCGTAGATAGTCCCGAGCGTAGATAGTCCCGAGCGTAGATAGTCCCGAGCGTAGATAGTCCCGAGCGCAGATAGTCCCGAGCGCAGATAGTCCCGAGCGTAGATAGTCCCGAGCGTAGATAGTCCCGAGCGTAGATAGTCCCGAGCGTAGATAGTCCCGAGCGTAGATAGTCCCGAGCGTAGATAGTCCCGAGCGCAGATAGTCCCGAGCGTAGATAGTCCCGAGCGCAGATAGTCCCGAGCGTAGATAGTCCCGAGCGTAGATAGTCATAGCGCAGATAGTCCCGAGCGTAGATAGTCCCGAGCGTAGATAGTCCCGAGCGTAGATAGTCCCGAGCGTAGATAGTCCCGAGCGTAGATAGTCCCGAGCGCAGATAGTCCCGAGCGCAGATAGTCCCGAGCGCAGATAGTCCCGAGCGCAGATAGTCCCGAGCGCAGATAGTCCCGAGCGCAGATAGTCCCGAGCGCAGATAGTCCCGAGCGCAGATAGTCCCGAGCGCAGATAGTCCCGAGCGCAGATAGTCCCGAGCGCAGATAGTCCCGAGCGCAGATAGTCCCGAGCGCAGATAGTCCCGAGCGCAGATAGTCCCGAGCGCAGATAGTCCCGAGCGCAGATAGTCCCGAGCGCAGATAGTCCCGAGCGCAGATAGTCCCGAGCGCAGATAGTCCCGAGCGCAGATAGTCCCGAGCGCAGATAGTCCCGAGCGCAGATAGTTCCGACGCTGGTCAGAGGATACCATGTAAGCCAACGCTTCACCCGCCAGAGGAGTTAGCCACTTATGCTAACATGCTACTGTAGAGGCTAGAGGACGCAGCCTCGTTCTGTGATTGGAGGAGAGCGGGCGTCACCCTAAGTCTCTACTCAGCACTTTTTACGCCTGAGTTCATACACAGCTGAATCAATTAGCTACATTAGTTTACAGATTATAATAAAACTTTTATCTAGTATTTTTATGAACTCATCAGAAAATAAATCGGGTATAGCTTCTTTAACAGAAACAACTACTCAAATATGAACAACAATAATATAAAGAATATAATCTTTTCAGTATTACTCTGTTGATCCATGAGTCCGCTCAGATTGGGGTCGTGTCCCAGTCCAGTTTCTTTGACCCATGAGCTTCACGCTTCAGTGTTTGGGTCTTACTGCTTCTCGTCTGTGTCTTTGGAGATGTGAGTCTGGGCCCGGTTCAGGAGTGAGTCTGGGCCCGGTTCAGGAGTGAGTCTAGGCCCAGTTCAGGAGTGAGTCTAGGCCCGGGTTCAGGAGTGAGTCTAGGCCCGGGTTCAGGAGTGAGTCTGGGCCCGGGTTCAGGAGTGCGTCTGGGCCCAGTTCAGGAGTGAGTCTAGGCCCAGTTCAGGGGTGAGTCTGGGCCCGGGTTCAGGAGTGAGTCTGGGCCCGGGTTCAGGAGTGAGTCTGGGCCCGGGTTCAGGAGTGAGTCTGGGCCCGGGTTCAGGAGTGAGTCTGGGCCCGGGTTCAGGAGTGAGTCTGGGCCCGGGTTCAGGAGTGAGTCTAGGCCCAGTTCAGGAGTGAGTCTGGGCCCAGTTCAGGAGTGAGTCTGGGCCCGGGTTCAGGAGTGAGTCTGGGCCCGGGTTCAGGAGTGAGTCTGGGCCCGGGTTCAGGAGTGAGTCTGGGCCCGGGTTCAGGAGTGAGTCTGGGCCCGGGTTCAGGAGTGAGTCTGGGCCCGGGTTCAGGAGTGAGTCTGGGCCCGGGTTCAGGAGTGAGTCTGGGCCCGGGTTCAGGAGTGAGTCTGGGCCCGGGTTCAGGAGTGAGTCTGGGCCCGGGTTCAGGAGTGAGTCTGGGCCCGGGTTCAGGAGTGAGTCTGGGCCCGGGTTCAGGAGTGAGTCTGGGCCCAGTTCAGGAGTGAGTCTGGGCCCGGGTTCAGGAGTGAGTCTGGGTCCGGGTTCAGGAGTGAGTCTGGGTCCGGGTTCAGGAGTGAGTCTGGGTCCGGGTTCAGGAGTGAGTCTGGGCCCAGTTCAGGAGTGAGTCTGGGCCCGGGTTCAGGAGTGAGTCTGGGCCCGGGTTCAGGAGTGAGTCTGGGCCCAGTTCAGGAGTGAGTCTGGGCCCAGTTCAGGAGTGAGTCTGGGCCCGGGTTCAGGAGTGAGTCTGGGTCCGGGTTCAGGGGAGGCCTCTTCTGCCGCTCTGAGGAATGCAAACGATCCCTGAAGCTTTGCTCATTTGCACCGAGATTGAGCCGTAGATAGTGTTAGAGCCTCCTCCTCCTCCTCCTCTGCCTCCTCCTCCTCCTCCTCTGCCTCCTCCTCCTCTGCCTCCTCTGCCTCCTCCTCCTCTGCCTCCCCCTCTGCCTCCTCCTCCTCTGCCTCCTCTGCCTCCTCCTCCTCTGCCTCCTCCTCCTTCCCCTCTGCCTCCTCTGCCTCCTCCTCCTCTGCCTCCTCCTCCTCCTCTGCCTCCTCCTCTGCCTCCTCCTCCTCCCCCTCTGCCTCCTCCTCCTCTGCCTCCTCCTCCTCTGCCTCCTCCTCTGCCTCCTCCTCTTCTGCCTCCTCCTCTGCCTCCTCCTCAGCCTCCTCCTCCTCCTCTGCCTCCTCTGCCTCCTCTGCCTCCTCCTCCTCCTCTGCCTCCTCCTCCTCCCCCTCTGCCTCCTCCTCCTCTGCCTCCTCCTCTGCCTCCTCCTCTTCTGCCTCCTCCTCTTCTGCCTCCTCCTCAGCCTCCTCCTCCTCCTCTGCCTCCTCTGCCTCCTCTGCCTCCTCCTCCTCTGCCTCCTCCTCTGCCTCCTCCTCTGCCTCCTCTGCCTCCTCCTCCTCTGCCTCCTCCTCTTCTGCCTCCTCCTCCCCCTCTGCCTCCTCCTCCTCTGCCTCCTCCTCCCCCTCTGCCTCCTCCTCCCCCTCTGCCTCCTCCTCCTCTGCCTCCTCCTCTGCCTCCTCCTCTGCCTCCTCCTCCTCTGCCTCCTCCTCCTCTGCCTCCTCCTCCTCTGCCTCCCCCTCTGCCTCCTCCTCCTCTGCCTCCTCCTCCTCTGCCTCCTCCTCCCCCTCTGCCTCCTCCCCCTCTGCCTCCTCCCCCTCTGCCTCCTCCCCCTCTGCCTCCTCCCCCTCTGCCTCCTCCTCCTCTGCCTCCTCCTCTGCCTCCTCCTCTGCCTCCTCCTCCTCTGCCTCCTCCTCCTCTGCCTCCTCTGCCTCCTCCTCAGCCTCCTCCTCCTCAGCCTCCTCAGCCTCCTCCTCCTCCTCCTCCTCCTCTGCCTCCTCCTCCTCTGCCTCCTCTGCCTCCTCCTCCTCTGCCTCCCCCTCTGCCTCCTCCTCCTCTGCCTCCTCTGCCTCCTCCTCCTCTGCCTCCTCCTCCTTCCCCTCTGCCTCCTCTGCCTCCTCCTCCTCTGCCTCCTCCTCCTCCTCTGCCTCCTCCTCTGCCTCCTCCTCCTCCCCCTCTGCCTCCTCCTCCTCTGCCTCCTCCTCCTCTGCCTCCTCCTCTGCCTCCTCCTCTTCTGCCTCCTCCTCTGCCTCCTCCTCAGCCTCCTCCTCCTCCTCTGCCTCCTCTGCCTCCTCTGCCTCCTCCTCCTCCTCTGCCTCCTCCTCCTCCCCCTCTGCCTCCTCCTCCTCTGCCTCCTCCTCTGCCTCCTCCTCTTCTGCCTCCTCCTCTTCTGCCTCCTCCTCAGCCTCCTCCTCCTCCTCTGCCTCCTCTGCCTCCTCTGCCTCCTCCTCCTCTGCCTCCTCCTCTGCCTCCTCCTCTGCCTCCTCTGCCTCCTCCTCCTCTGCCTCCTCCTCTTCTGCCTCCTCCTCCCCCTCTGCCTCCTCCTCCTCTGCCTCCTCCTCCCCCTCTGCCTCCTCCTCCCCCTCTGCCTCCTCCTCCTCTGCCTCCTCCTCTGCCTCCTCCTCCTCTGCCTCCTCCTCTGCCTCCTCCTCCTCTGCCTCCTCCTCCTCTGCCTCCTCCTCCTCTGCCTCCCCCTCTGCCTCCTCCTCCTCTGCCTCCTCCTCCTCTGCCTCCTCCTCCCCCTCTGCCTCCTCCCCCTCTGCCTCCTCCCCCTCTGCCTCCTCCCCCTCTGCCTCCTCCCCCTCTGCCTCCTCCTCCTCTGCCTCCTCCTCTGCCTCCTCCTCCTCTGCCTCCTCCTCCTCTGCCTCCTCTGCCTCCTCCTCAGCCTCCTCCTCCTCAGCCTCCTCAGCCTCCTCCTCCTCCTCAGCCTCCTCTGCCTCCTCCTCAGCCTCCTCCTCCTCCTCAGCCTCCTCAGCCTCCTCAGCCTCCTCTTCCTCAGCCTCCTCCTCCTCCTCCTCCTCCTCCTCAGCCTCCTCCTCCTCAGCCTCCTCTGCCTCCTCCTCCTCTGCCTCCTCCTCCTCTGCCTCCTCCTCCTCTGCCTCCTCCTCCTCAGCCTCCTCTGCCTCCCCCTCTGCCTCCTCCTCCTCAGCCTCCTCTGCCTCCTCCTCAGCCGCCTCCTCCTCAGCCTCCTCCTCCTCCTCCTCTTCAGCCTCCTCTGCCTCCTCCTCCTCTGCCTCCTCCTCCTCCTCCTCCTCCTCCTCAGCCTCCTCTGCCTCCTCCTCCTCTGCCTCCCCCTCTGCCTCCTCCTCCTCTGCCTCCCCCTCCTCTGCCTCCCCCTCCTCTGCCTCCCCCTCCTCTGCCTCCTCCTCCTCAGCCTCCTCCTCCTCCTCCTCAGCCTCCTCCTCCTCCTCAGCCTCCTCCTCCCCCTCAGCCTCCTCCTCCTCCTCAGCTGCCTCCTCCTCCTCCTCAGCCTCCTCCTCTGCCTCCTCCTCCTCTGCCTCCCCCTCTGCCTCCTCTGCCTCCTCCTCTGCCTCCTCCTCCTCAGCCTCCTCTGCCTCCCCCTCTGCCTCCTCCTCAGCCTCCTCCTCCTCCTCCTCAGCCTCCTCCTCCTCAGCCTCCTCTGCCTCCTCCTCAGCCGCCTCCTCCTCAGCTTCCTCCTCCTCCTCCTCAGCCTCCTCTGCCTCCTCCTCCTCTGCCTCCTCCTCCTCTGCCTCCTCCTCCTCAGCCTCCTCCTCCTCCTCTGCCTCCTCTGCCTCCTCCTCCTCAGCCTCCTCTGCCTCCTCCTCCTCAGCCTCCTCTGCCTCCTCCTCAGCCTCCTCCTCCTCCTCAGCCTCCTCTGCCTCCTCCTCCTCCTCTGCCTCCTCCTCAGACTGTGAGAATGTGACGCAGGGCTCGGGTCTCCATGTTGAATGTTAAAGTCTGCTGAATGCATTTGATTTTGTGAATATAAATGGCTGAAAGTTTGAACAACTTCTTCAGTGTTTGCTCATCGTGACTTTTACTCGTAATAAACAGTTAGAATCATAGATCAAAGTCATTCCACTTGTTTTTGATACTTCCAAATTAAATTTGGTGTTAGCCTGGTCGTACCACACCATAGTACACATTTCATTTCATACTAAGGTCTAGAGTTGCTCCATTGACTCCGTGAACAGGTGGGAGGGGTTAACTCCTTTTGCAGATTGAAACCATTGGATCTGAGTTTACTGTGACGTATGTAATGAGCCCGAGTGAGTGAGGCATTTAGCATTTAGCCTAGCTTTAGCATGTAGCCTAGCTTTTGCCTTCTCTTTTGCCGCTAACGGAGCCCGTGGGGAGTAGAACCACAATCTTTGCAGAGATTACATTTGTTAAACTTTCCTCTTGCTCCGGCTTCAGTTTCTTGATAGAACCAGACCAGAATACTTTACTATCACATTCTTCACCAAACTAAAACCTGCCCGTTCGACGCAAACTCTTGACGTCACCGACATCTAACTACAACACCCGCCTCCCGCTCTCTGATTGGTCGGATGGAATTGAACAGATTGTAATCACTGTTGTTCACTGTCACTGTTTATAATTTCTCGATACATGGTGCTAGCAAAATGTATTTACCGTTTCTGTCTCTTCTCTCCCAGAGTCACCTCTAGTTTTCTGATCCTAGCCTGGTTTTCACTTTGAGATTAAGAACTAAAGTACACTTGTGATACAACTAGCTTCCAGTCGTTTACACTATATGATGGAGATTATATGATGGAGATTATATGACGTAGATTATATGACGTAGATTATATGACGTAGATTACGTGACGTAGATTATAATGACGTAGATTATATGACGTAGATTATAATGACGTAGATTATATGATGTAGATTAAAGTCTATCTGTGACTGTGTTTCCTGCAGCAGTCACACGGACCATAATCGTCCTTCAGTGAAATGATAATCTGTGCATGAGTCACTCAGCTGGGCCCTGGCGAGTCCACATGTGACTGGTCCCACTGGGTCCACATGGTCCACACATGGGCCTCAGATGGACTGGGTCGGGGCCAGACGCTCTCGTCATCCCGGCTCAGACAAGAATGCTCTGAAACCTTTTCAAACGTTCCTCGCAGCATTCGCCTGCGTTTAACCACCATCAAGTTTAGATTTAGAGTTTTGAGACTTTTCTAAAGAAAGTCGACTCATGAGTGTAACGTTTTTGTTTTTATGAGGCAATGAAGTCAGATTATTGGTTTGTTTATTCAGTCATACAAATTATTATTATTTTTTGACATAAAAAGAGGCATTAAGGTTCAAAAACAATGGACATGCTTTAACAGATCTACAAACACACGTGACGACGGGATTAGGCCGAAGTATAACGGTCAGGATAGTATCTGGTTATTATGGTGTTTTGGTCAGTGCAGTGTAACCAGCAGACTGGAAAGTAAGATTTTAAGTTTTGAGACATTTCTGAAGAAGAAAGACTTGTGAGTGTGATGTTTTTGGATTTAAGTTAGTAAAGTTATATGTCAGTGTAGTACATGGTTATTATGGTCATATAGTTAGTGCAGTGTAACCAGCAGACTGTAGAGTAAAGCCACGCACGTGCATGAGAGTGCACATGCATGAGTGCACGTGCATGAGAGTGCACGTGCATGAGAGAGCACGTGCATGAGAGTGCACGTGCATGAGAGAGCACGTGCATGAGAGTGCACGTGCATGCGAGTGCACGTGCATGAGAGTGCACGTGCGTGCACGTGCATGAGAGTGCACGTGCATGAGAGTGCACGTGCGTGCACGTGCATGAGAGTGCACGTGCGTGCACGTGCATGAGAGTGCACGTGCATGAGAGAGCATGAGAGTGCACGTGCATGAGAGTGATGGTTCCGTGTCAATGGTTCCGTGTCGATGGTTCCGTGTCGATGGTTCCGTGTCGATGGTTCCGTGTCGATGGTTCCATGTCGATGGTTCCATGTCGATGGTTCCGTGTCGATGGTTCCATGTCAATGGTTCCATGTTGCAAATGTGTGTTTTATGAGTCAAATGTTTGTGTAAAGTTTGATTTAAATGTTCCCAAAAAATTATTCTGGGTGGTTTTATGGTGAATTCTGGAAGGTTTTGGGCTGAAAATCAACCCATGGGAGTCGTCCTGAGTCGTGTGCTTCGATGTGAGTGGTTGAAGGAACACGTCATTCAAGATAACAAAGTGGTTTATCCAATCACATACAAGGATCTTTTTAAAAGGCCCCGCCTTCTGAAATAAATCCACGATGGAAAAGACCCATGTGAGAAGCTCAGAGGCCACAGGGGTCTGGACAGAGTCAGGCTATTGCAGTGTCCCTGTCAAATAAATGTATAAATATACGTCCTCTCCTCTCAGTCTGAGCTCCTCCCATCAGTCTGAGCTCCTCCCATCAGTCTGAGCTCCTCCCATCAGTCTGAGCTCCTCCCATCAGTCTGAGCTCCTCCCATCAGCCTGAACTCCTCCCATCAGTCTGAGCTCCTCCCATCAGTCTGAGCTCCTCCCATCAGTCTGAGCTCCTCCCATCAGTCTGAACTCCTCCCATCAGTCTGAGCTCCTCCCAGATAAGAAAATATGTTTTAACCGGACTGAGAACTGGTTCCTCCTGCAGACCATGAAGCAGAGCTGATGGTTTCTCTGTCTCTGTGTTTAGACCATGGAGCAGAGCTGATGGTTTCTCTGTCGCTGTGTTTTATGTCTTATGTGTGTTTTTGATGTCGCCGCTGTGAGTCCAGGACAAAGTTCCTCCGGGACATAATACATTAATCTTGAATGTTGAATCTGAAACAATAACAGTGACTGAGAAGTGCTTTGTAAATTTTAGTAAACGTTGTGTATTTTCAGCGTCTGTGGTTCTTTGACAATCCTCCAGTCCAGTCCAGTCCAGTCCAGCACAGCACAGTCCAGTCCAGTCCAGCACAGTCCAGTCCAGTCCAGTCCAGTCCAGCACAGTCCAGTCCAGTCCAGTCCAGTCCAGTCAGTGCAGCTTGTCCCGGCTCCAGACCGTTTTACGACTCCCCCACTCTGTGCCTTGAGAACACATTCATTGACTTTTTTAACAAGTTCTGGAAAATCTCCTTAACTTCACTTCTGCTGACTTCATCTAAACCTAATCTCTCTTCACAAAGGTATTGTTTACGAAACGTGCTCCAGTCGTTTCCGTGTGAGTCACTCCTGAAGCTCCTGAAACAAAGCATCAGTAAAAGGCCGTCTTTCCATATGTTCAGGTTCACTGTTGTTCCCACGATAAGGTGCATTTCGACGGCATGAGGAGAGGCTGGACATGGAAGGAATGTGTGTGTCCCATTTAAGTAAAAAGCAGAGTTGATTAAGTTTGTTTTTGTTGTTTTGTTGAATTGATAAGTAGAAAAGGGGGCGGGGCTACATAAGTATTTGCACTTGAAAGGGATTCAGACATGATTCTTTATTTTATTTATTCCTTGAGGGAACACATTTTACATACGGTACAATTTATGTACATGTGTTAAATACATGTATAGGTTTTTTGTTTGTATTTATTTATATTATTTTGTATTCCGACTCCCACTGATGACTGCTGTCGTTGTGTCCTTGGGCAAGACACTTAACCCCACTTTGCCCAAAAGCTCCCACTGAAAGATCAAGGCTATGCTCACACTCAGAGAGCAGCCGTCCTCCTGTGGACTCACCACCTGCAGAGGGTCAGTGAGGGGCTGGGGCTATGAGACTTGGGTGGTCTCTCTGACTGCCACCCCCCTGACCCAGAAATGGATTAAAGGGTAGAAAATGGATGGATGGATGGATGGATGGATGGATATTTTGTATTCTCCGAAAGACCCATTCATTAAGTTAATTATTTGCTTTTTTTTTACAATGACTTTTATTCACATGAGTCACTCAGGACAAATCACAGACTTGTTTTAACACATTTAAAACTCAGATAATGGCACTATGTAACACGAAACCTTTGGTACTTAAACTAGTTTTCACATAAATGCTTTTTGAGACAGAAAAGTGACCCAGAGAGAACCCCTTTCAGTCCAAAGAGCCACAGGGCGAAAGGCCGTGGTGTGCGACAAAACAAGACAAAGATTATTAGATAAATATCAATCTATTCTTCATCAAATGTTGTATTTTTAATTTTAGTTTTTACCTATTTTGTCTTCTTTCTCAATATAAATCTGACGTGTTTATACTGACTATATCAACAATGAATCGTCAGGAAAATAGATTTAAATGTAGTTAAAGTTTTAGTGTAATATCATAACATGTAAATGATCTCTGGAGCCGTAACCTGCCGCATGCATCTGTCTCTGAGGTTTATGTTTATTGTACACGGTCCCTGTCCTCTTAAATACATAAACTAAACCAAGCCAAACTAGGCTAAATGCTTCTATAGTGTGTTTTGCTCAGATGTAGCAGAGCAGTAGATAAAGGACCAAAGCCCTGATTATTTACTGAATGGTATCGGAAAGTTTTGATCCCTGTTTTTACACACGTACTCAGCCCTGATGTAATCTGCCCCAGGGCGACAGTGGCTCAGTGTGTAGAGCATTGGCCTTTGAGCCTGAAGGTCGTGGGTTCGAGTCCACCATAAGACTTTCTCCATCGACTCCCACTGATATCTGCTGTCGTTGTGTCCTTGGGCAAGACACTTAACCTCTGGGAACAGCAAGTGCCACAGTGGGGCGGCTGCGGCTGTAAAGTGCCAAACTGTGGTTGTGTCCTTAGGCAAGACACTTCCCCCACATTAGAATGAGGTGTGTGTGTGGATGGTTGGTGGGGGGAGGGGCTGATGGATCACCAGTGTGTTTGGAGTGAATGAATAATGACATGTAAAGCGTCTGAGTGTCCAAAAAAGCGCTGTATAAAACCGATTTATTATTATTATTATCTGATTTATTTGAAACAGTTTCACTTTTGCCAGACTCTGTTGGGACAAACATGTGTTCAAAACATGAAACTCAAAAACAAAAGTTAGTTACTCCACCTTTTAATGAAGAATATGTTTTACTTTTGTGTCCAGGTGTATTTCTTTATTGTTTATTTTGGTTGGAACAGTACAGGTTAATGAACACATCGCTCCAGACATCAATCTTCAACATCTAATAAATTCCATCGGACATGTTTTGTTCCTGGGCTGGTGGGGGGGTGGGGCTGGTGGGGGGTGGGGGGGCCATCAGGCAGAGGGGCCGTCAGTTCTGGAGAAATCAGTTCATCTTTAGAGGTTCCCGAGCTCCAGGCGAGGACCGACATGTCTGGGCACTGCTGTCATCCATCCACCTCCAGCCCTCCCCCTCACTTGGAGATCACTCCCCTCTCCCCAAAACAGTCCTCACACCAGGAGAAAGTGCTTCACCAAATATTTGACATTTTTGACAAAATCACAGAGAAGCAGATTAAAGATGCAGTCAGGGATTTTTTAAAAATATTGTGTGAAAACTTCCCTAAACCCACCCTGGTTTGGTGGAGAGGGAGGGGAGGGGGGAGTTGTTTGGTGGAGAGGGAGGGGAGGGGGAGTGGTTTGGTGGAGAGGGAGGGGAGGGGGGAGTTGTTTGGTGGAGAGGGAGGGGAGGGGGGACTTGTTTGGTGGAGAGGGAGGGGAGGGGGAGTGGTTTGGTGGAGAGGGAGGGGAGGGGGGAGTTGTTTGGTGGAGAGGGAGGGGAGGGGGAGTGGTTTGGTGGAGAGAGAGGGGAGGGGGGAGTTGTTTGGTGGAGAGAGAGGGGAGGGGGAGTGGTTTGGTGGAGAGAGAGGGGAGGGGGGAGTTGTTTGGTGGAGAGAGAGGGGAGGGGGGAGTTGTTTGGTGGAGAGGGAGGGGAGGGGGGAGTTGTTTGGTGGAGAGGGAGGGGAGGGGGAGTGGTTTGGTGGAGAGGGAGGGGAGGGGAGGGGGAGTGGTTTGGTGGAGGGGGAGGGGGGGGGCCATGTTTATTTCCTCGAAACAAACATGGCGTCGTTATTACATGTATGTACTTTTTTAATCCACTTTAATTAGTTACTTTTATTAGTCCAATAGTTACTCTTACCTCACACTGCTGCTACATCGGGCTCTTTCTAACAAGTATTCCAAAGAAAACATGTTCACTAAGACAGGGACAGCCTGTCATGGTCTGGTTTGGTACCGCAGCTTAAACCAGGACAAGGCCACTTCACCAAACTGAAAAGTGCCATAATCTGTAGTTTTTAGTGAACTCACCTCGGACACTTCTGATCCGGTCTCTGTCCGGTCCCGTCTCGATGGCTCTGATGGGACCAATGTGGGACGACTTTCTGACGAATTACAGACTATGACCTCATTATTGTTATTCCACCAAGATTTCACAAACACGTTCAAGTTTTATCTTTAAGTGTGATCCAGTTTTAGAGCGTCACAAGTCCAGGTTTATAAGTCGGGCTGATGCAGACGCCGCGGCAGCGAAGACAGTTGTTTTAGGATTCACTTTAGTATTTGTATTTGTATGGCCACTTCTATAACACAAGTTGACAGCCCAAAAAATGGTCAGGGGTTTCTCAGCTGATTCAGACTAATGTTGGTGTTCTGAGAATATCACATGCATTTGTCTCTATCAGGTCAACTGTTTGAGATACAGCCATAGTGTTACGGATTATGTACGTCTACGTTATTATGAATCCTGCTTATCAAATCTGATGGAATAAAGAAAAACTGAATGACTTTGGATACGTTGACTTTTATTTCTTGAGGAAAACGGAAAAAACGTCAAGGGTTTCTCAGCTGATGATCCGCAGAAATTAGTTTTTTACGCAAAATCGATTTAAAAAAAAAAAAAATTTCTGTAGCAAAAAATCGTGACCTGATTGAGCAAAACCAAGGTCAGACAAGGTCAAACATATTGTTTGTTACCCAGTGTTATGAGTATAGTTCCTTGTGTTGATATGATACAGAACATTCATTTTGCTGCATTCATATTTAGGTTATAAGTTTCATGTTTACAGGTGTCATTTTTAGAACTCTTTGATCATTCAGTAAATAGTAGATAGTGAGTTATTGTATTGTATTCATCTCTCAGTTCGTAGCTCTGCGTCTCACTCTGTCTTTCTTTTTCTTTTGCAGAGATTTAAGATTCAACAAAGTCAAGGATCTGCAGCCGGGTTCGTTCAGACGCTTGAAAAACCTCAACACACTGTGAGTGTCTCTGTTCACACAACACTAACCAATTATTACATTATTATGATGTTTCCTGTGGCGCGGAGCAGAACCGTTCAGACCGAGACTGGAAATGACTCCAACGACAACAAAGCACATGCAGCGAGTCCAAATTAGTGTCAGTTATGTGTCTCTGGTTTTGAATTAAGAATTAAACTATAAAAACATTTTGGCGTTTTGAGTTTAGGACACTTTTTGACTTTAACGACCTGGCTCACAATTATGTATCTGTTTCACATCCAATATCTGACTGTGAGTAGACCGGGAGTTGAACCTGAACCTCCCACCCCCACCAACCATTCACACACACACCAGACTCATTCTAATGTGGGGGAAGTGTCTTGCCTAAGGACACAACCACAGTTTGGCACTTTACAGCCGCCGCACTGTGGCACCTGCTGTTCCCAGAGGTTAAGTGTCTTGCCCAAGGACACAATGACAGCAGACAGTGGGTGTTGATGGTGAAAGTCTTGTGGTGGACTCGAACCCACAACCCTCTGGCTCAAAGGCCAATGCTCTACACACTGAGCCACTGTCGCCATATTTACATGTTGAAAAACACATTAATGTGCACGGCCCCAATTCTAATAAAAATTAAAATACCAGTGACTTTTACCACACAAACTCCAGAGTATGATCAGCTGACCCATGACCCATGACCCATGACCCATGACCCATGACCCATGTGGCTCTGATAGTATTTATTAATGCACTGAGTTAATGTCATTGGTGACTCGGCCGACTTCATGAGTGTGAAGAATGTAGCTCTGAGCAGGAATTCCGGATTAATGTCATATTTTCACAGAAGGTCAGAGGTCACGATCAGTCCTCGGCTGTACTTTCTCTCTAACCTCTGTAAACTACACTGCCCTTGTTCCTCCATCACATCCCCAAATGACCCACGTCTGTTTGCTGCAGCCTCCTCAACAACAACCACATACGAAGAATTCCAAGAGGAGCGTTTGAGGACCTGGAAAATCTGAAATATCTGTGAGTAATGTGGTTAAATGAGGCTGTGCCGTTTGTAGATTTGTTCTGTGTTTGCTGAACTGCAGAGAACTTTGGAGACTTGTGATCCAGTGTTTGAGTCGGTGTCTGCGGTGCGGACGTTGGACATAATTGGTGGAAGTGTTTGTAGACGTGCATTGTTCAAACATGATCGACTGCCAATCAAAAAGTCAAAAAGAATCATGTGAGAATCTGTCATTTTAGCGCTGGTCACACGGTCATTACTCTTTGGGTTAAGACAATATCCATGCAATTAATATGGTAAGAGGATCTACTGGCTGAGATGAACCCAGAACCGATAGATTAAAGCTTCTCAACCTGGGAGGCACAGTGGCTCGTCTCTCAGCAAGAAGGTCCTGGGCTGGAACGGGGTCTTTCTGAGGGAGTTTGCATGTTCTCCCTGTGCTTGCGTAGGTTTCCTTAAAAGCATGCACACTTGGTTAAATCCTCCAGCTCTGGTCCTGACCAAGCCGAGCATCAACTCCCAAAGACGGGTTCCCGGGCGCTGTTACCACGGCGACCACTGCTCCAGATGTAAACCTTAGGGCATCAGGGTCAAATGCAGAGGAGGATTTGCCCAACGGGGATCAATAATGTGCACTTTTATATTTTAACCTGTAGTTAATTTCACCGTAAAAACACTGGACTGAAGAAAAAACGAAACCCATTTTAGAAAAGTTTTATCCAAATCCTTTCATGACTTTTTGGGTTCTGTTGCTTTCAGACCAGACTCATACTGGTCACTTTACTTCCTGGGCTGAGGTTTGTTCCAATCCCTTCCCCAGTATCGGGTTTTGATCACAGACGTTACAATAGATCGTCCAAAAGAATCTTCTGCAGTTTCCTCCGACCTCAAACTGTGGCTTTAACAACAGACTGGACTTGGTCTTTCAACTCTTTTGTTGAACTCTTTTGTTTTGACTTTGTGATTGTGTTTGGGCCTGGGGCGAGGTTGTGTGTCTGTGTGTATCTGTGTGTATGTGTGTGTGTGTCACTGTGTGTGTGTGTGTGTGTGTGTCACTGTGTGTGTGTCTGTGTGTGTGTCTGTGTGTGTCACTGTGTGTGTCTCTGTGTGTCTCTGTGTGTGTCTGTGTGTGTCACTGTGTGTGTGTGTCTGTGTGTGTCTGTGTGTGTGTCTGTGTGTGTCACTGTGTGTGTCTCTGTGTGTCTGTGTGTGTGTGTGTGTCTGTGTGTGTGTGTGTGTGTGTGTCTGTGTCTGTGTGTGTGTCTGTGTGTGTCACTTGGACGTGTGCTGCCCTGTCATCTCCTTATCTCCTGTGTTCTAGCCTTAGGCCACTGCCGCTCACATTATCTTATCTACGATTCAGCTGTTTTTACGGATCATGTTGAAGTTGTTAGTTTAGGACGCTCACAGCAGACAGAATGCACAGAGACTTATTTGCTGAGATTTGAATGAGCACGTCGCTGTGAACCATCATCCTGTAACACACTTGTGAATATCTATCACATGTTTCCAAAAGTGTGTGTCATTTGTATCTTTTAGCATAGTGTGATACAAAGGAGCTGTTTCGGTTCAGAAATGCTGGAACTATTGATTACTTTCGTTTCCGTTTCTGTGGTATTGTAATTGTTGCCCTATCAAGTGTGTGTGTGTGTGTGTGTGTGTGTGTGTGTGTGTGTGTGAGATAAGTAACTCTTCTTTCTTCTAAATATAACCATATTACTGTTTACACTGAGGGGCTTTGGTTTCAGAACTGTGTAACATTTAACGTTTCATTTCCAGATCGTTCCGTTTCTCTCATAGGTCGTGGCTCTGTGTGTGTGTGTGTGTGTGTGTGTGTTTGTGTGTTACTAATGGTACTCATGATCTCTTCTTTCAGCTATCTGTACAAGAATGAAATCCAATCAATTGACAGACAGGCCTTTAAGGGGCTTGTCTCTCTTGAGCAACTGTAAGTGACAAACTTCTTTCACATTTTGTGTCCTCCCTTTACCTTTTTATCTTTAACCTGCTGCTTCTGGAGAACAGTGACCTTTTTATCTTTAACCTGCTGCTTCTGGAGAACAGTGACCTTTTTATCTTTAACCTGCTGCTTCTGGAGAACAGTGACCTTTTTATCTTTAACCTGCTGCTTCTGGAGAACAGTGACCTTTTTATCTTTAACCTGCTGCTTCTGGAGAACAGTGACCTTTTTATCTTTAACCTGCTGCTTCTGTAGAACAGTGACCTTTTTATCTTTAACCTGCTGCTTCTGGAGAACAGTGACCTTTTTATCTTTAACCTGCTGCTTCTGGAGAACAGTGACCTTTTTATCTTTAACCTGCTGCTTCTGGAGAACAGTGACCTTTTTATCTTTAACCTGCTGCTTCTGGAGAACAGTGACCTTTTTATCTTTAACCTGCTGCTTCTGGAGAACAGTGACCTTTTTATCTTTAACCTGCTGCTTCTGGAGAACAGTGACCTTTTTATCTTTAACCTGCTGCTTCTGGAGAACAGTGCATGGCCCTGGCCAAGCTTCAAGCTTTTGTTTCTAACACAGAGAGCTACATACGACGCAACGGTCAGAAGCTTTACTGACCTGTGACCTGTGTGTCGTAGACCAACGCCCCTAACATCCTTTCACTCTGGTGCTCTCTCCTGCTCTATCTCCCAGCATGCCTCTGTGTCCTCTATGCAGACTGCTCTGTGTCCTCTATGCAGACTGCTCTGTGTCCTCTATGCAGACTGCTCTGTGTCCTCTATGCAGACTGCTCTGTGCCCTCTGTATGCAGACTGCTCTGTGCCCTCTGTATGCAGACTGCTCTGTGTCCTCTGTGCAGACTGCTCTGTGCCCTCTGTATGCAGACTGCTCTGTGTCCTCTGTGCAGACTGCTCTGTGTCCTCTGTATGCAGACTGCTCTGTGTCCTCTATGCAGACTGCTCTGTGTCCTCTGTATGCAGACTGCTCTGTGCCCTCTGTGCAGACTGCTCTGTGCCCTCTGTATGCAGACTGCTCTGTGTCCTCTGTATGCAGACTGCTCTGTGTCCTCTGTATGCAGACTGCTCTGTGTCCTCTGTATGCAGACTGCTCTGTGTCCTCTGTATGCAGACTGCTCTGTGCCCTCTGTTTGCAGACTGCTCTGTGCCCTCTGTATGCAGACTGCTCTGTGCCCTCTGTATGCAGACTGCTCTGTGTCCTCTGTATGCAGACTGCTCTGTGCCCTCTGTATGCAGACTGCTCTGTGTCCTCTGTATGCAGACTGCTCTGTGCCCTCTGTATGCAGACTGCTCTGTGTCCTCTGTATGCAGACTGCTCTGTGTCCTCTGTGCAGACTGCTCTGTGTCCTCTGTGCAGACTGCTCTGTGCCCTCTGTGTCCTCTGTTTGCAGACTGCTCTGTGTCCTCTGTATGCAGACTGCTCTGTGTCCTCTGTGCAGACTCTGTGTCCTCTGTATGCAGACTGCTCTGTGTCCTCTGTATGCAGACTGCTCTGTGTCCTCTGTATGCAGACTACTCTGTGTCCTCTGTTTGCAGACTCCTCTGTCCTCTGTTTGCAGACTGCTCTGTGTCCTCTGTGCAGACTGCTCTGTGCAGACTCTGTGTCCTCTGTTTGCAGACTGCTCTGTGTCCTCTGTGCAGACTGCTCTGTGTCCTCTGTATGCAGACTGCTCTGTGTCCTCTGTATGCAGACTGCTCTGTGTCCTCTGTTTGCAGACTGCTCTGTGTCCTCTGTGCAGACTACTCTGTGTCCTCTGTGTCCTCTGTTTGCAGACTGCTCTGTGTCCTCTGTTTGCAGACTGCTCTGTGTCCTCTGTGCAGACTGCTCTGTGCCCTCTGTGTCCTCTGTTTGCAGACTGCTCTGTGTCCTCTGTATGCAGACTGCTCTGTGTCCTCTGTGCAGACTGCTCTGTGCCCTCTGTGTCCTCTGTTTGCAGACTGCTCTGTGTCCTCTGTGCAGACTGCTCTGTGTCCTCTGTGCAGACTGCTCTGTGTCCTCTGTATACAGACTGCTCTGTGTCCTCTGTATACAGACTGCTCTGTGTCTTCTGTGTCCTCTGTATGCAGACTGCTCTGTGTCCTCTGTGTCCTCTGTATGCAGACTGCTCTGTGTCCTCTGTGCAGACTGCTCTGTGTCCTCTGTGTCCTCTGTATGCAGACTGCTCTGTGTCCTCTGTGTCCTCTGTATGCAGACTGCTCTGTGTCCTCTGTATGCAGACTGCTCTGTGTCCTCTGTGTCCTCTGTATGCAGACTGCTCTGTGTCCTCTGTTTTCAGACTGCTCTGTGTCCTCTGTGCAGACTGCTCTGTGCCCTCTGTTTGCAGACTGCTCTGTGCCCTCTGTATGCAGACTGCTCTGTGCCCTCTGTGTCCTCTGTGCAGACTGCTCTGTGCCCTCTGTGTCCTCTGTGCAGACTGCTCTGTGTCCTCTATGCAGACTGCTCTGTGTCCTCTATGCAGACTGCTCTGTGTCCTCTATGCAGACTGCTCTGTGTCCTCTGTATGCAGACTGCTCTGTGTCCTCTGTATGCAGACTGCTCTGTGTCCTCTGTTTGCAGACTGCTCTGTGTCCTCTGTGCAGACTACTCTGTGTCCTCTGTGTCCTCTGTTTGCAGACTGCTCTGTGTCCTCTGTTTGCAGACTGCTCTGTGTCCTCTGTGCAGACTGCTCTGTGCCCTCTGTGTCCTCTGTTTGCAGACTGCTCTGTGTCCTCTGTATGCAGACTGCTCTGTGTCCTCTGTGCAGACTGCTCTGTGCCCTCTGTGTCCTCTGTTTGCAGACTGCTCTGTGTCCTCTGTGCAGACTGCTCTGTGTCCTCTGTGCAGACTGCTCTGTGTCCTCTGTATACAGACTGCTCTGTGTCCTCTGTATACAGACTGCTCTGTGTCTTCTGTGTCCTCTGTATGCAGACTGCTCTGTGTCCTCTGTGTCCTCTGTATGCAGACTGCTCTGTGTCCTCTGTGCAGACTGCTCTGTGTCCTCTGTGTCCTCTGTATGCAGACTGCTCTGTGTCCTCTGTGTCCTCTGTATGCAGACTGCTCTGTGTCCTCTGTATGCAGACTGCTCTGTGTCCTCTGTGTCCTCTGTATGCAGACTGCTCTGTGTCCTCTGTTTTCAGACTGCTCTGTGTCCTCTGTGCAGACTGCTCTGTGCCCTCTGTTTGCAGACTGCTCTGTGCCCTCTGTTTGCAGACTGCTCTGTGCCCTCTGTATGCAGACTGCTCTGTGCCCTCTGTGTCCTCTGTGCAGACTGCTCTGTGCCCTCTGTGTCCTCTGTGCAGACTGCTCTGTGTCCTCTATGCAGACTGCTCTGTGCCCTCTGTATGCAGACTGCTCTGTGTCCTCTGTGCAGACTGCTCTGTGTCCTCTGTATGCAGACTGCTCTGTGTCCTCTGTGCAGACTGCTCTGTGCCCTCTGTATGCAGACTGCTCTGTGTCCTCTATGCAGACTGCTCTGTGTCCTCTGTATGCAGACTGCTCTGTGTCCTCTGTATGCAGACTGCTCTGTGCCCTCTGTGCAGACTGCTCTGTGCCCTCTGTATGCAGACTGCTCTGTGTCCTCTGTATGCAGACTGCTCTGTGTCCTCTGTATGCAGACTGCTCTGTGTCCTCTGTATGCAGACTGCTCTGTGCCCTCTGTTTGCAGACTGCTCTGTGCCCTCTGTATGCAGACTGCTCTGTGTCCTCTGTATGCAGACTGCTCTGTGCCCTCTGTATGCAGACTGCTCTGTGCCCTCTGTATGCAGACTGCTCTGTGTCCTCTGTATGCAGACTGCTCTGTGTCCTCTGTGCAGACTGCTCTGTGTCCTCTGTGCAGACTGCTCTGTGCCCTCTGTGTCCTCTGTTTGCAGACTGCTCTGTGTCCTCTGTATGCAGACTGCTCTGTGTCCTCTGTGCAGACTCTGTGTCCTCTGTATGCAGACTGCTCTGTGTCCTCTGTATGCAGACTACTCTGTGTCCTCTGTTTGCAGACTGCTCTGTGCCCTCTGTATGCAGACTCCTCTGTCCTCTGTTTGCAGACTGCTCTGTGTCCTCTGTGCAGACTGCTCTGTGCAGACTCTGTGTCCTCTGTTTGCAGACTGCTCTGTGTCCTCTGTGCAGACTGCTCTGTGTCCTCTGTATGCAGACTGCTCTGTGTCCTCTGTATGCAGACTGCTCTGTGTCCTCTGTGCAGACTGCTCTGTGTCCTCTGTATGCAGACTGCTCTGTGTCCTCTGTATGCAGACTGCTCTGTGTCCTCTGTGCAGACTGCTCTGTGTCCTCTGTATGCAGACTGCTCTGTGTCCTCTGTATGCAGACTGCTCTGTGTCCTCTGTTTGCAGACTGCTCTGTGTCCTCTGTGCAGACTACTCTGTGTCCTCTGTGTCCTCTGTTTGCAGACTGCTCTGTGTCCTCTGTTTGCAGACTGCTCTGTGTCCTCTGTGCAGACTGCTCTGTGCCCTCTGTGTCCTCTGTTTGCAGACTGCTCTGTGTCCTCTGTATGCAGACTGCTCTGTGTCCTCTGTGCAGACTGCTCTGTGCCCTCTGTGTCCTCTGTTTGCAGACTGCTCTGTGTCCTCTGTGCAGACTGCTCTGTGTCCTCTGTGCAGACTGCTCTGTGTCCTCTGTATACAGACTGCTCTGTGTCCTCTGTATACAGACTGCTCTGTGTCTTCTGTGTCCTCTGTATGCAGACTGCTCTGTGTCCTCTGTGTCCTCTGTATGCAGACTGCTCTGTGTCCTCTGTATGCAGACTGCTCTGTGTCCTCTGTATGCAGACTGCTCTGTGTCCTCTGTGTCCTCTGTATGCAGACTGCTCTGTGTCCTCTGTATGCAGACTGCTCTGTGTCCTCTGTGCAGACTGCTCTGTGCCCTCTGTTTGCAGACTGCTCTGTGCCCTCTGTTTGCAGACTGCTCTGTGCCCTCTGTTTGCAGACTGCTCTGTGTCCTCTGTATGCAGACTGCTCTGTGCCCTCTGTGTCCTCTGTGCAGACTGCTCTGTGCCCTCTGTGTCCTCTGTGCAGACTGCTCTGTGCCCTCTGTGTCCTCTGTGCAGACTGCTCTGTGTCCTCTGTGCAGACTGCTCTGTGTCCTCTGTATGCAGACTGCTCTGTGCCCTCTGTGTCCTCTGTGCAGACTGCTCTGTGTCCTCTGTGTCCTCTGTGCAGACTGCTCCGTGTCCTCTGTGTCCTCTGTGCAGACTGCTCTGTGTCCTCTGTGCAGACTGCTCTGTGTCCTTTGTGTCCTCTGTGCAGACTGCTCTGTGTCCTCTGTGTCCTCTGTGCAGACTGCTCTGTGTCCTTTGTGTCCTCTGTGCAGACTGCTCTGTGTCCTCTGTGCAGACTGCTCTGTGTCCTCTGTGCAGACTGCTCTGTGTCCTCTGTGTCCTCTGTGCAGACTGCTCTGTGTCCTCTGTATGCAGACTGCTCTGTGTCCTCTGTGCAGACTGCTCTGTGTCCTGTGTCCTCTGTGTGCAGACTGTTCTGTGTTTGGCCTCTGCATGTGTCTTATGGTCCGTAAACCTTTGCAGTGAAACTCCCACATGAACTTTAAGTATTTGTGTCTTTGTTAGCATGGTTGTTAGCATGGTTGTTAGCATGGCTATGAGCTAAAGTGTGTATTAAGTTGTTAAGTATCACAAGTAAAGCAGCTTTAAGCAGCTGCTTCTATCTAACAGTCATTCCAACAAATACAGAAACATGTTGGAAGTGTGTGTGGCTGTTTTGTTGTTGAGTATCTTTACGTTCAGTACAGAGCAGATAAACATCTGTTGGATCAGGTCTGTGATCGCATGCCCTGCATCTGCGTCTGCATCTGCATCTGCATCTGCGTCTGCGTCTGCGTCTGCCTCTGCGTCTGCGTCTGCATCTGCGTCTGCGTCTGCGTCTGCATCTGCCTCTGCGTCTGCGTCTGCGTCTGCCTCTGCGTCTGCGTCTGCGTCTGCATCTGCGTCTGCGTCTGCATCTGCATCTGCATCTGCTTCTGCATCTGCGTCTGTGTCTGCGTCTGCATCTGCGTCTGCATCTGCGTCTGCGTCTGCGTCTGCATCTGCATCTGCATCTGCTTCTGCATCTGCGTCTGCATCTGCATCTGCATCTGCTTCTGCATCTGCTTCTGCGTCTGCATCTGCATCTGCTTCTGCGTCTGTGTCTGCGTGTGCATCTGCATCTGCATCTGCGTCTGCGTCTGCATCTGCATCTGCATCTGCATCTGCATCTGCGTCTGCGTCTGCTTCTGCGTTAAGCTACAGCTGTGTGCGTTTGTGTTGGTTCTTTGTCAACAAGAAGGACTGTGCTTTTAACGGCGTTCAGGATTTCTAGTTGTGAGATATATAATGTTGTGTATTGTTCACTTTAATAGTGTCTGGAGACGAGTCTGATCATGCGGCTGTAAGGCTTTTTACTCTGGCAGTTTCTTTGTCCTTCTCAGTAACAGTTTGTGATAATTCTATTATAACAATGAATGATTCATAACAGCTTTAAGCTTTGACATTAGTGACACTCTTTGACAACACAAAATCATTCACGGCTTAAATACTTTTGGAAAAGGACTTCTTCCCTGACTCTGCTTGGTTCATATTCACAGATATCTGCATTTCAACAACATTGAATCTTTGGAGCCAGAATCCTTCGCTCACCTGCCCAAGCTGGAGCGCCTGTGAGTCTGCACCATAACAATATATATTTATAATCTTAAATATATTGACATTCCCTTATAGAGCAATAGACTGCATTTTTTACTTTTAATTCTATTTCGGTCCAACTATAATCAACGTGAGCATGTTTTCAGTTTGCAGTAACACTCTCTCTCATTAGATTCCTGCACAACAACAGGATCACGCAGCTGGTGCCCGGGACCTTCACTCATCTCCAGTCCATGAAGAGACTGTGAGTGCAGCGTATTTACACTTTCTTTAGTGTCACATCAGACAATATCGTTCTACAACCATCAGAACATGTTTCATCTGAAACCCTCTATCACTACAGTCTTTCAGAGGAACCTGGAGAGTTTCATAGTTTTCACAAAAACAAATTAACTCACTGACTGCTGCTGTTTTTGACCCACAGAATATTCTTTGTGAAATATGAAACCAGATTCTGAAAAACTGGATTGTCTACGTTCATCAGCAAAAATAAGTTTGTTTGCAGCTATTGTTGTTGTCCAGTGGAAATAGGACATTTGACAGAAGATAAATATATTGATGCCAGGATGATGCTGGTACCAGTGATACCATGTGTAGGTTCTGATGACAACATGGGGCGGTTTTGACTCTAGCTAATAAGAAAAGATGGAATGTATTGATGTCACACAGGAGAAATGCTGAAATCACATCTGTTATTGATCCGTGATGGAGAAATGCACATGTCACATCATGGATAGAAACATCAGATTGTGCAAAAAGCAAGAAAAGTGCAACATGTTAAATGCAGGATACATTATGTACAATAAAAAGTTTCAAAGAAACGGTGTCAACAGCAGTGCAGGTTTTCAGTCCTAATGCAAGTGACTTAAAGTGACTTGTTGTACAGTCTGACAGCTAATGTACTTTTACAAATGGCTGTAGAGTCTGCGGTTCGTGCCTGTGGTGGTGTTTCCTCTTGAACACGTTTAGACCGAGCATAGAATATTGTGTGTAGTTAATGAACGAGCTGCGTTATGACCGAGGCAACAGAGATAATCAGTGATCCGTGCACTTTCCCACAGAGAGGCCTTTGATCCTGCTCCAGCTGCTCAGGGGCAACTACACCCAAACAAATGCCCCGAGACTGCACCATCACACGCTTCATAGTGCAACACACCAGTACAGTGTTCATGGTTTGACACTGGTCCAGACCAGAGCAGAGAGGATTCATGGTTTTACACTGGTCCAGACCAGAGCAGAGAGGATTCATGGTTTTACACTGGTCCAGACCAGAGCAGAGAGGATTCATGGTTTTACACTGGTCCAGACCAGAGCAGAGAGGATTCATGGTTTTACACTGGTCCAGACCAGAGCAGAGAGGATTCATGGTTTTACACTGGTCCAGACCAGAGCAGAGAGGATTCATGGTTTTACACTGGTCCAGACCAGAGCAGAGAGGATTCATGGTTTTACACTGGTCCAGACCAGAGCAGAGAGGATTCATGGTCCGAACCAAGTGGATCATGTGAAAATCCACTGGAGGAATGCTAATGAAGCATTTATCATTTGACTTTGGACCAGAGCAGAGACAATGGTCTGAACCGAGCTCCACCTGCTGCTGTGACTGAACGACTGTTGGATTATAATATTATTCTTAGATACTTTTAGAATCATCATTTTATTCTTTTGTTCTGCTCTTACTGAACTCCTGAATTCTCCTTCGGGGATCAATTATTCAATATCTATCTTTTATGCTTTTTCTTTTGCAGTCAAATAACCCATAAGCATTTCACTGACAGTCTATAACCACATCTATCAAAACCTGCTTGTGATTGACTTTGTGTTTGTGTGCGTTGCCATGGCGACCAGACGGCTGGACTCCAACGCCTTAAACTGTGACTGCGAGCTGCTGTGGTTGGCCGATCTGCTCAAACAGTACGCCGAGTCCGGGAACGCTCAGGCCGCCGCCACCTGCGACTACCCCAGCCGCCTGCAGGGACGCTCGGTCGCCACGCTCACCGCCCAGGAGCTCAACTGTGGTACGAAGCTGTCATTACCTTTGATTGGTTATTGATGGTAAATAAATATATGAATGACTCGATGACTCATGGAATAAGTTCATTTAAATGTTTTTATGAAGAAGTGTTTCTTTGTGGACAGTGTGAGTTATGTATCTGTCTTGCTTCTGTTCAGTCAGGTGCTTTAAGAACTCACTACAATGTTAAAGCTGGGGTACCTGACTTTGTTTGTATTCATTAGAAAGATCCAACCCATATCCAGCAGTGCATTGGGACATACGTCCTTTTGAAGAATAAGCAGCGCAGGTTTGTGCTGGCGTCATTTTATTTTAGCTCGAGTTTTGGTGAAACAAGGAAGAGAATGTGTTTGGGGTCCAGATTGTGACCAATCACAGCGGACCACTGGCCCCCACTTTCTTGAGAAAAGCCACAGGTCTGTGGTTAGCACAGACAGGTCTGTGGTTAGCACAGACAGGTCTGTGGTTAGCACAGACAGGTCTGTGGTTAGCACAGACAGCTGAGGTAAACAAGCGGCGGAGGCTAACCTGAAACTTCTGTGTCTTTGTTATCGGTTACTGCTTACTCAGAGAAACAGACAAAAGAAAGTCTTGTTCCTCCGCACTTCCTGGTTCTATCATTCTATGGTCACGCCACGTTCACATGTGCGATCCATGTGAGACGCCAGCTCCGTAAACAACAGCACGTGAGCGCCGGCTGAGGGGGAGGGGGCAATGGAGGGTAATGGAGGGTAGAGAGGGGTAGTGGTGGGGGCAGTGGGGGGCGATAGCTTCGTGAGTGCGGGAAGGGGCAGAAAGAGTGAGACCAGAGCTCACTTTTGAAACTGCTGCTTCGAAATCGTAAAGTGAGTCAGTCCAGCTTTAACTTTGAACTTTAAAATCAAACTCCGTAACAACATCCATGTAGCTCTAGCTCCTGGCTTTAAAACTGTGTGTGTGTGTGTGTGTGTGTGTGTCACATCTGACACACTTTTAAAGGAGAGGTTCCGTGGGACTTTCCTTCCTGCTGCTGTCAGACTGTAAAATGAGGAAACAAGTTCTTAAATGTATTTACTGTAGTGTCCAAACCCAGGTGTATCCTCCCTTTGTCTTTGCACGTCAAAATAAGATCAGATATTCCTTTATTGGTCTCACAGTGGAGAAATGTGTCATGGTTGCACATTACAGCAGAGAGAGATAAGACTCAGACGCACAATAAACACTATTATTTAAGATGATAGACAATAAATAAGATAAAGAATAAAATCAAATCAATTCAATAAACCAGAAGTATCTCAGTTCTGTTAGAATAAGTCCATGCATTGAGGCCAGCGTCGGGGGCGTCAGTCAGAGCTGCACCCACAGAGCACCAGCCCCTCACTGATCCTCCTGCAGCTGCTGAGTCCACAGGAGCCTTGATCTTTCAGCGGGGGCTTCAGGCAAAGTGGGGTTAAGTGTCTTGGCATCAGTGGGAGTTATGAAGGTTTTATGGTGGGCTCAAACCCGCGACCTTCAGGCTCAAAGGCCAATGCTCTACAACTGAGCCTCTGTCGCCCTCCATGATGCTGTTGTGATTTAGGATTAAGAATAAATTGTATTGTATTGTATTGTATCCCGCGACCCGGCAACGGATGAAGCGGAAGAAAATGGTTGGATGTATTGTGACTTTACGTTGAAGCAGAGTCACTGTTTGTGTGAGATAATGCTTGTATGGCTCGCATTTGACACCCATCTTTTGTGTTGTGAAGGCATAGTTTTGTGTTGCCGTTGCCATTTCTTTGATTGGCCAACAGGAAGGGCACGTCAGATTAAATACTGTATTTAAGGGTACATGTCAGCCTATAATCTGATGAACCAACCTCGTCTCTTCCTGTCCACTGTTAGTCTGAGGCCTGTTTAGTTTTCGCTCCTGTTGTTGTCTTATTGTGGCTCTTCTGTGAATAACAAGTGTGTGATTGTGCAGCTGTTCAAACTCTGTCACGGCTCCTCTGCCTCAGATGTTGGTTTAACGTTACACACGGAAACAACACAAATGACCCGTAACGAAGCCCTTTGTATGTGTTTGTGTCTCCGTCTCGAGGACATACAGATGAACAGATGTAGAACCCGACACATTTCACATCCAGATATTAAATGAGTCTCATTAAAGTGTCTGGAGTTTGTCAGAGAAAAGAGGTTCATGATTTGAAAAAAAATAACCCAAGCTCCTCCCCCTTCCTTTCTGATTGGTCTACGCCTACGTTTCCATAACACATTTAAATGTTAATCAGAGAACACATTATACATATACATTATTAACACACATGCACGGAGGTTTTCAGAATTATCTGTTAACATTTTAATGAAAAAAATGTTTTAATGCGAGAAAAAAAAGCGGTTGCGATAAACCTGGAAGAAGCTATTATCATGAACTGCACATTATAGGATATAGGTTCATATATAAATGATTATGGATATAGGTTCATATATAAATGATTATGGATATAGGTTCATATATAAATGATTATGGATATAGGTTCATATATAAATGATTATGGATATAGGTTCATATATAAATGATTATGGATATAGGTTCATATATAAATGATTATGGATATAGGTTCATATATAAATGATTATGGATATAGGTTCATATATAAATGATTATGGATATAGGTTCATATATAAATGATTATGGATATAGGTTCATATATAAATGATAATAGATATAGGTTCATATATAAATGATAATAGATATAGGTTCATATATAAATGATTATACTGTAGATATAGGTTCAGAATATACATAAGTACCTCAGCGCAGAGGTTCAGAATTCTTTGTTCTGTTTTCATGTAGTTCCAGAGCCTAATGGAGGCTTGATTCGGAGATTAGACTTGGACCTAGACTTGGACCTAGACTTGGACCTAGACTTGGACCTAGACTTGGACCTAGACTTGGACCTAGACTTGGACCTAGACTTGGACCTGGACTTGGACCTGGACTTGGATCTAGACTTGGACCTAGACTTGGACCTAGACTTGGACCTAGACTTGGACCTAGACTTGCACCTAGACTTGGACCTGGACTTGGACCTGGACTTGGATCTAGACTTGGACCTAGACTTGGACCTAGACTTGGACCTAGACTTGGACCTAGACTTGGACCTGGACTTGGACCTAGACTTGGACCTAGACTTGGACCTGGACTTGGATCTAGACTTGGACCTAGACTTGGACCTAGACTTGGACCTAGACTTGGACCTAGACTTGGACCTAGACTTGGACCTAGACTTGGACCTGGACTTGGACCTAGACTTGGACCTAGACTTGGACCTAGACTTGGACCTGGACTTGGATCTAGACTTGAATCTAGACTTGGATCTAGACTTGGACCTAGACTTGGACCTAGACTTGGACCTAGACTTGGACCTAGACTTGGACCTAGACTTGGACCTAGACTTGGACCTAGACTTGGACCTGGACTTGGACCTGGACTTGGACCTGGACTTGGATCTAGACTTGGACCTAGACTTGGACCTAGACTTGGACCTAGACTTGGACCTAGACTTGGACCTAGACTTGGACCTGGACTTGGACCTGGACTTGGACCTGGACTTGGATCTAGACTTGGACCTAGACTTGGACCTAGACTTGGACCTAGACTTGGACCTGGACTTGGACCTAGACTTGGACCTAGACTTGGACCTAGACTTGGACCTGGACTTGGATCTAGACTTGGACCTAGACTTGGACCTAGACTTGGACCTAGACTTGGACCTAGACTTGGACCTAGACTTGGACCTGGACTTGGACCTAGACTTGGACCTAGACTTGGACCTAGACTTGGACCTGGACTTGGATCTAGACTTGGACCTAGACTTGGACCTAGACTTGGACCTAGACTTGGACCTAGACTTGGACCTAGACTTGGACCTAGACTTGGACCTGGACTTGGACCTAGACTTGGACCTAGACTTGGACCTAGACTTGGACCTGGACTTGGATCTAGACTTGAATCTAGACTTGGATCTAGACTTGGACCTAGACTTGGACCTAGACTTGGACCTAGACTTGGACCTAGACTTGGACCTAGACTTGGACCTAGACTTGGACCTAGACTTGGACCTGGACTTGGACCTGGACTTGGACCTGGACTTGGATCTAGACTTGGACCTAGACTTGGACCTAGACTTGGACCTAGACTTGGACCTAGACTTGGACCTAGACTTGGACCTGGACTTGGACCTGGACTTGGACCTGGACTTGGATCTAGACTTGGACCTAGACTTGGACCTAGACTTGGACCTAGACTTGGACCTGGACTTGGACCTAGACTTGGACCTAGACTTGGACCTAGACTTGGACCTGGACTTGGATCTAGACTTGGACCTAGACTTGGACCTAGACTTGGACCTAGACTTGGACCTAGACTTGGACCTAGACTTGGACCTGACTTGGACCTAGACTTGGACCTAGACTTGGACCTAGACTTGGACCTGACTTGGATCTAGACTTGAATCTAGACTTGGATCTAGACTTGGACCTAGACTTGGACCTAGACTTGGACCTAGACTTGGACCTAGACTTGGGACTTGGACTAGACTTGGACCTAGACTTGGACCTAGACTTGGACCTAGACTTGGACCTGACTGGACTTGGACTAGACTTGGACTAGACTTGGACTAGACTTGGACCTAGACTTGGACCTAGACTTGGACCTAGACTTGGACCTAGACTTGGACCAAGACTTGGACCAAGACTTGGACCTAGACTTGGACCTAGACTTGGACCTAGACTTGGACCTAGACTTGGACCTAGACTTGGACCTAGACTTGGACCTAGACTTGGACCTAGACTTGGACCTAGACTTGGACCTAGACTTGGACCTAGACTTGGACCTAGACTTGGACCTAGACATGGACCTTTTTTGTATTTGATGTATTTTGTATGCTTCCCGGTCGAAACAGTGGCTTTCTGAGTGAAGTTTGCATGTTCTCCCCGTGTCTGTTTAGGTTTCCTCCAGGTGCTCCGGTTTCCCCGACCACTAAAACCATGTACAGGTCTGTGCCTGCTGTACTGGCCTCACTCCCTGTGTATCTGCAGAGAGAAAGGCACTATATGAAGAATACTAACTCATGTATAATGCTTCTTGTACGGTGCAGCACTTTGGGCAGTGTTTGTTGTAAACGTGCTATAAAAATAAACTTGACGGATCATAACGACGGATGCTTTTGTTGCAGAGGTTCCCAGAATCACCTCCGAGCCTCAGGACGTGGACGTGACATCAGGAAACACCGTGTACTTCACCTGTCGCGCCGAAGGAAACCCAAAACCACAAATCATCTGGCTCCGGAACAAGTGAGCGCCTTTAGTTTGGTCTGAACCACGGTCGGTCTGAAGCGGGCCAACAACCTCAGGCCCGTGGGCCAAATCCGGACCGCAGGACAGTGTTTAGTGGCCCCTGATGTGGCTTTATCACAGTAACTCACAGCATTGATGGTAATGATATACTATGGCATGTTATACTTCATTTTAAAGCCTATAATCGCAGGAAAACAACCATACAAAGCAATCTGTTCTAAAATATTAACTAACATGTAATCAGAAGTTATAGTTACTTTTCTTCGAAATACATCTCTTTTTTTATATTTGACCCAGTTGTGGTTGAATCCCTGAAAGCTCTTGTCAAATACAGTTAATATATCAAAAGACCAATAAAACATAAGGTACAAAACGTTGCCACTTTTATGCTTCTGACCATAATGAGTTCGACACCCCTGGTCTAAAGATGCTAAAGTGAAGTGAAAAGTTAAAGATTAGTTTATTTTCCATTTCCTCAATATTACCACCATTTTATAAAAGGTTATTAAGCAACGTTTTATGTGGAAAAACACATTATACACAGACAAAGTTGCACAATGGCCCAATAAGTTTGTGTTGTGTTCTGAGACTGTAAATATGAAGGACTTCGATCTCTGCTGCTCAAACTAATGCGACGCCACTTTTACCTTTTTCAAAATGGCCGTTATCTGCATTAGCCCCATTCATTGAACGAGTGCATTCAAAAGTCCACAGCGGCCAAACTAGACTGGTCCAAAAGAAGAGCCACTTTTGGACCATCCTGTAAAGACATACAAAAGCATTGGGTAATTCTCTTTCCGGGTACACCCCCACGGACCTTTTGGAGCCCGGACCCGCCCACACAGACTGTGATATTACAGTAAAGAAGTAACTGATATCTTTATTATGTGGTAGATCAATAAGTGTAAATGGAAAGGTCTCATTCCTGACTTGTGTTTTGCAGTAATGCTTTGAACATGCGCGAGGACCATCGTCTCAATCTTCTGGAAGACGGGACTTTGATGATCCAGGACACCAGAGAAACAGATCAGGGAGTGTATCAGTGCATGGCCAAGAATGTGGCAGGAGAGGTCAAGACGTCCCAAGTCACACTCAGATACTTTGGAGCTCCTTGTGCGTGTGACAGAAAACACATTAAAATAACATAAGTATTGTTACATTTGCGACATTATTTATTCTCCTTCTTTACAGCACGGCCCAGTTTTGTGATCCAGCCCCAGAACACGGAGGTGCTGGTGGGAGAGAGCGTCACTCTGGAGTGCAGCGCCACAGGACAGCCACAGCCCCGGGTCACATGGACCAAAGGGGACCGGACCCCCATCCCCAGCGACGCCCGCATCAACATCACCCCATCGGGGGGGCTCTTCATCCAGAAGGTGGTGCAGGCCGACGGGGGCCAGTACACCTGCTTCGCCTCCAATAATGTGGACACGATTCACGCCACGGCCCACATCATCGTCCAAGGTACCAACCGTTTAGGAAATCCTTTATCATCCACCTGCAGACCAAGCTAAGCAGTGCAGGCCCTGGTTAGTGCTGTGATGGGAGACCTCTGGGAACAGCAGGTGCCACAGTGGAGCGGCTGTAAAGTGCCAAACTGTGGCTGTGTCCTTAGGCAAGACACTTCCCCCACATTAGAATGGGTCTGGTGTGTGTGTGAATGGTTGGTGGTGGTGGGAGGGGCCGATGGCACAGACTGGTTGCCTCTCTTCTGTCAGTGTGCCCCAGGGCAGCTGTGGCTACAGTAGTGCTACATGTGACATCTCTTTCTACTATTGGACTGAACTCTGTCGGGCTTTATAAAAACCCTGCTCGTTGAAGAGCAAATTGTTGAGCAAAGCCTTTCACATATTTGTCTGTTTTTAAATGTATTTAGTTGTATTTAGTGTGTGTGTAATGTTTAATCACGTTATTTCCAAGATTATGGTCTTGAAAATGACTTACTCAGATCCAATTGTTTCAATCTGCAAAAGGAGCAAATCCTGACCTAAGAACCAAATGAAATGAATACGATGGTATGGTAAGACCAGGCTAGTGTGACCATGTAAGGACAGTGCCTTGGCCCGGTTAATATCGTCCATAAACTCTCTTCTTAATAACATGTGTTTCCCTCCAAAGCCACCCCCCAGTTCTCGGTGAGGCCCCAGGACCAGTCTGTGTTGGAGGGCCACACGGTGGACTTTCCCTGTGAAGCCGCAGGTTACCCTCAGCCTGTGATCGCCTGGACCAGAGCCGGAAGTGCCCTGCCCACGGACCGGCGCCACACGGTCCTGTCCTCGGGCACGCTGCGGATCAGTCGTGTGGCGGCGCACGACGAAGGCCAGTACGAGTGCCAGGCCGTCAGTCCTGTAGGAACTGTTCTCACCTCTGTGCAGCTCAGCATTCAACAGAGAGGTGAGACTCACGCTGAGGAGGGAGAGAGGAGAGAGGAGGGAGAGAGAGGAGGGAGAGAGAGGAGGGAGAGAGAGGAGGGAGAGAGGAGGGAGAGAGGAGGGAGAGAGGAGGGAGAGAGAGGAGGGAGAGAGAGGAGGGAGAGAGGAGGGAGAGAGGAGGGAGAGAGAGGAGGGAGAGGAGAGAGAGGAGGGAGAGAGGAGGGAGAGAGGAGGGAGAGAGGAGGGGGAGAGAGAGGAGGGAGAGAGGAGGGAGGGAGAGAGAGAGAGGAGGGAGAGAGAGGAGGGAGAGAGGAGGGAGAGAGGAGGGAGAGAGGAGGGAGAGAGGAGGGAGAGAGGAGGGAGAGAGAGGAGGGAGAGAGGAGGGAGAGAGGAGGGAGAGAGGAGGAGAGAGAGGAGGGAGAGAGGAGGGAGGGAGAGAGAGAGAGAGGAGAGAGAGAGGAGAGAGAGGAGGGAGAGAGAGGAGGGAGAGAGAGGAGGGAGAGAGGAGGGAGAGAGGAGGGAGAGAGGAGGGAGAGGAGGGAGAGAGGAGGGAGAGAGGAGGGAGAGAGAGAGGAGGGAGGAGAGGAGGGAGGAGAGAGGAGGAGGGGAGAGAGGAGGGAGGGGGAGAGAGAGAGAGAGAGGAGAGAGAGGAGGGAGAGAGGAGGGAGAGACCAGAGAGGGAGAGGTGAGACTCACGCTGAGGAGGGAGAGAGGAAAGAGGAGGGAGAGAGAGGAGGGAGAGAGAGGAGGGAGAGAGGAGGGAGAGAGGAGGGAGAGAGGAGGGAGAGAGAGGAGGAGAGAGAGGAGGGAGGGAGAGAGGAGGGAGGGAGGAGAGAGAGAGAGAGGAGAGAGAGGAGGGAGAGACCAGAGAGGGAGAGGTGAGACTCACGCTGAGGAGGGAGAGAGGAGAGAGGAGGGAGAGAGAGGAGGAGAGAGAGGGGGAGAGAGAGGAGGGAGGGAGAGAGAGAGAGGGGAGAGAGAGGAGGGAGAGAGGAGGGAGAGAGGAGGGAGAGAGAGGAGGGAGAGAGAGGAGGGAGAGAGGAGGGAGAGAGGAGGGAGGGAGAGAGGAGGGAGGGAGGAGAGAGAGAGAGGAGAGAGAGAGAGAGGAGGGAGAGAGGAGGGAGAGACCAGAGAGGGAGAGGTGAGACTCACGCTGAGGAGGGGAGAGAGGAGAGAGGAGGGAGAGAGAGGAGGGAGAGAGGAGGAGAGAGAGAGGAGGGAGAGAGGAGGGAGGGAGAGAGAGAGAGAGAGAGAGAGGAGGGAGAGAGGAGGGAGAGAGGAGGGAGAGAGAGGAGGGAGAGAGAGGAGGGAGGGAGGAGGGAGAGACCAGAGAGGGAGAGGTGAGACTCACGCTCAGAAGAGAGAGAGGAGAGAGAGAGGAGGGAGAGAGAGAGAGAGAGAGGAGGGAGAGGTGAGACTCACGCTGAGGAGGGAGAGAGGAGAGAGAGAGGAGAGAGAGGAGGGAGAGAGAGGAGGGAGAGAGGGGGGAGAGAGGAGGGAGAGAGGAGGGAGAGAGGAGGGAGAGAGAGGAGAGAGAGACCAGAGAGGGAGAGGTGAGACTCACGCTCAGAAGAGAGAGAGGAGAGAGAGAGGAGGGAGAGAGAGAGAGAGAGAGGAGGGAGAGGTGAGACTCAAGCTCAGAGAGAGAGAGAGACACAGAGAAAGAGAGACACAGAGAGAGAGAGAGACAGAGAGGGAGTCCGGTTTACAGAATGAGAGAGAGAGAGATTTCCAGAATGAATTGCCTCCTGATCAAACGTGTAGCCTGTGGACCGGGATAAGAACTCTCTGTCACTTGTTGATATTTCTGTAATGTTATGTTTTGACAGTGAATGAAACCGGCCTGGTCCAAACCGCCTTTTACATGCTCAAACTAGGATATGAAGTTATGAAGTATTGGGCTTCCTGAGAATCACTGCAGTAAACAGTAATGTGGGTGTTTGGCTGCTTATTACGATCCATTTCCAAACAGTGTGTGTTTTGTTTTAGGGAGAGGGCGGGGTTTGGTGGTAAAAGTTTAGAGGGCGTTAGTGTACCGCTATTTACACTCATTTGTCATTTCTATATAAGCCTCTCTTAGATCCATGCTCAGATCTGTGTTGTGGGCGGCACGGTGGCTGAGTGGATAGCACTCTCGCCTCTCAGCAAGAAGGTCCTGGGTTCGAATCCCGGTCGGACCAGGGCCTTTCTGAGTGGAGTTTGCATGTTCTCCCCGTGTCTGCGTAGGTTTCCTCCGGGTACTCCGGTTTCCCCTACCACTAAAAATATGTACAATAGGTCTGGCATGCGCCTCCTGTTCGGCGACCCCGCTCCCATCTCTGTGTGGAGTGAGAGACAAATGCCCAAAAAAAATAATAACAATTGTAAACCGCTTTGTGACCCTTGTCTGTGAAAGGCGGTATATAAATAAACATTACTTACTTACTTACTTACTTACTTGTGGCACACGGCTGGTTGTAGTTGTGTAGTTGTGTTTCTGTGTGTAGCTAAAATTACAGGCTTGGCACGGCACAGGAGAGCATGGCAGTCTGTAATCCCGAGATGACACCATGTTTTTCCATGTAGTAATGGCTGTTAACACGGTTCAGAGTACACACTGAGTCAAAGCCGCCTTCCAACACAATGTCACATGTTTGCTCTTCTCAAAATGGGGGTTTCTCTTCTTAATGAGCAAAACCCACAACTAATTATGGAAGTAATGAGACTTGTTTGGTAAATTCCTGTGGGTTTCGTTGTGGAGTTCTCTGGAGAACATGTGGCCGCTTTAGCTTTAGCTGTGAAAAGTCGAGCTTGGGTTGAAGTTAGATGTTTTAATGAAATACACTCTGTTTGTGTTGTCAATGTGGGGTTTTCCCGAGGTTTTCCCGAGGCCAGGTGCGTGGCGTCTGGCATGTGCATGGGAAGCTGGGTGGAATGTGATGGTGGTTTGTCGGAGGCAGCTGTGTGACCTCTCATTGCAAAAGATGACAGAATTAAAGACAAAAAAATGCTCAAATTTGGCTAAATGTATCTAAATTTGAGCACATTTTGACTGCCTTAAAACAAGATTTTCCAGTGGAACAAGAAAAATTGTCTTGTTTTAAAAAGATACAAGATATTTTTCTGTTGGAATGAGAAAATAAAGCAATAGTTCTTGAATCAAGTCAAAATTGCTTGTCTCATTGGCAAATCTCATTTTAAGACAGTCAGAATGAACTTAAGTCAAGTTAAAAAAAACTCGATTCTAGCAATTATGATCTCATATTTGATCATTTTTTGCAGTGTGATGACAGCCGTGGTGTGTGAGCTCATCGTCAGACTGGATTCAGATTCATACAAACACAACTCTGTTTAAACACATGCAGTTTATTAAGTCAGTATTAGGGTAGAAGAAAGCTCTGTGTATGTCATTGTCGTGCCTCTTGCTCTTTTTTTAACCATTAACTTGTGTGTATGTTTTAACTCATTCAGTAACGCCTGTTTTCACAAATGCTCCAAGGGATTTGACGGTGGAGTCTGGCCAGGACGTCCAGATCCCCTGCAGCGCTCAGGGCCAGCCACGGCCTGTTCTCACATGGAACAAGGTTAGAGTCATTCAAAGGAACTAGAGATTCTATTGTGTTTTTAATGTGGGAATTTTGAAGAAAGTCATTCATAAACAGCCTCCTTCTCAGATCTTTTTCTCTCCATGGTTTTCAGGACGGTGTGCAAGTCACAGAAAGTGGAAAGTTTCACATTAGTGCAGATGGGTTTCTGGAGGTTTCAGATGTGGGCACGGCTGATGCTGGACGTTATGAATGCATCGCTCGCAACTCTATTGGATACCAAGTGGCCAGCATGGTCCTCACGGTCACAGGTATTTACCATACTTTGTTTATTTTTTTACATTTTATTCAGCAACACAGGAAAAAGATACAATAAAGAACAATGAAACTGAAGGTGCAGGAAGAAAAGGACGTTTGATAGGAGACAAAAGTGTGTGTGTGTGTGTGTGTGTGTGTGTGTGTGTGTGTGTGTGTGTGTGTGTGTGTGTGTGTGTGTGTGTGTGTGTGTGTGTACATGCTGATGAGGTTGGTTTTATGTCTGTGTTTGATCATAATTTTACGTGTCTGTTGAGAGAATGAGCAAAGGCTGTAGAGGACAAGGAAGACAACAATGGTGATGGGTGACATGACTAAAGTTAAACCAGGGCCAAGTTGCCAAAGGGACTTTAAATTACTATAATCAAGTCTTCCCTTCTGAGATTGTTTTATGATGTGCATTAAAAACAGCAGGTATTTACCGTACTCTCTCATATTACTTTACGTCGGGTTGGACTGAATACATGAAGATTCTCCGTTTACTTTGTCATGACTGAAAGTGTAGATTTTCATTCAGAGATAAATATGTGTATTCTTTTTCAACACATTGAAGTGTATTATTGAATGTATTTATGAGAACAAACATTAAACATGAATCTTTCCTTTCAGTTCCTGCAGTGAGCCGAGAGGGAGACTCATTTGTGAGCACGTCCATCCAACAAGCCATACGGAACGTGGACAGTGCCATCGAGTCCACGAGAAGACGCCTCTTTGACGGGTGAGCCGCTTCCCTACGTCAAAAACAATATGCATTCATGTAATAGTGAAAACAAAAATGAATAGACTGCAATTGTTATGGATCATGACCTGCATAATCCCAGAGATGTCATGTCTTTCTCAGTATATTATTCTGTGGTGTATTTTCAATCATTCCTTTTGTAATCTGTGCAGCCAGCCTCGCACTCCAGGAGAGATCCTCGCTCTGTTCCGGTATCCACGTGACCCGTACACCGTGGAACAAGCTCGAGCTGGAGAAATCTTTGAGCAAACACTTTTATTAATCCAGAACCACGTGAACCAGGGCCTTATGGTGGACACTAACGGCACAGGTAAGACCCTGTATGATCAGGCCAAAGCTAGCCAACGTTAGCTGTACAGGGTCATGCATGTTACTAAGGAATGAGCTCAGCTCCAATATAAACAGTGCATTTCTGAGTTATTACTCACATAAATCCTTTCCACTTTAACAGAAAAGTATATGAACGCAGGTTAGGACAGGTTTTACGTTTTCTTTTGAGATGTTTTCCATGTTCAGAGTTGTCCTCTCGCTGCAGCACAGACGTGGCTGAGTAAACACTGGTCTCTTCTGTGCAGCCTTTCGCTACAATGACTTGGTGTCCCCTCGCTTTCTGGATATGATCGCTAACTTATCCGGCTGCACCGCGCACCGCCGTCTGAACAACTGCTCCGACATTTGTTTCCACCAGAAGTATCGCAGCCACGACGGGACCTGCAACAACCTCCAACACCCCATGTGGGGCGCCTCGCTGACCGCCTTCGAGCGTCTCCTGAAGCCGGTCTATGACAACGGCTTTAACTTACCCCGAGGAAGCATGGAGCGCCCTCATAACGGGTACCGGCTCCCTCTGCCCAGACTGGTGTCCACCACAATGATCGGCACAGAGACCATCACCCCAGATGACCGCTACACCCACATGCTCATGCAGTGGGGGCAGTTCCTGGACCACGACTTGGACGCCACCGTTGCGTCTCTGAGTCAGTCTCGCTTTTCAGACGGACAGTTGTGCGCCCACGTCTGCACCAACGACCCTCCGTGTTTCCCCATCCAGTTCCCGGCCAACGACCCGCGCCAGATCCGAAGTGGCGCCCGCTGCATGTTCTTTGTCCGCTCCAGCCCCGTGTGTGGAAGTGGAATGACCTCCCTCCTCATGAACAGCGTGTACCCCCGAGAGCAGACCAACCAGCTCACCTCTTACATCGATGCCTCTAATGTCTACGGCAGTTCTCGGCATGAGTCCGAGGAGGTCCGTGATCTAGCCAGCCACAGGGGGCTGCTGCGGCAAGGCATTATCCAGAGAACAGGGAAACCTCTTCTGCCTTTTGCCACTGGACCTCCCACCGAGTGCATGCGGGATGAAAATGAAAGCCCGATTCCTTGCTTCTTGGCTGGGGACCATCGAGCCAACGAGCAGCTGGGCCTGACGTCCATGCACACAGTGTGGTTTAGGGAACACAACCGCATCGCCACAGAGCTGCTGAGACTCAACCCGCACTGGGACGGAGACACCATCTACCACGAGGCCCGGAAAATAGTGGGAGCTCAGATGCAGCATATCACGTATAACCACTGGCTGCCAAAGGTAAAGCTAATGCACCTTTGACCTTTGACAGCATTGACCCTTTATTCTAAACTAATCTAGTTGTGTATTCTCTCAGATCCTGGGTGAGGCGGGTGTGAGGATGATGGGGAAGTACGACGGTTACAACCCCAACATTAACGCTGGAATATTCAGTGCTTTTGCCACGGCTGCGTTCCGGTTCGGACACACTCTGATTAACCCCATCCTGTACAGGTTGGGTGAGGACTTCCAGCCCATCCCCCAGGGCCACCTCTCCCTGCACCGGGCCTTCTTTTCCCCTTTCCGTATAGTGAATGAGGGTGGCATCGACCCCCTGCTGCGTGGGCTCTTTGGGGTGGCTGGTAAAATGAGGGTCACCACAGAGTTGCTGAACACGGAGCTGACGGAGAGGTTGTTCTCCATGGCTCATGCTGTGGCCTTGGACCTGGCTGCGATGAACATCCAGAGAGGAAGAGATCATGGAATCCCGCCGTACAACGACTTCAGGACGTTCTGTAACCTGACGTCAGCGCAGACCTTTGACGATCTGAGGAACGAGATCAAAAACCCTACTGTGCGAGAGAAACTGCAGAGGTAACATACACAGAAGGAATGCATCATTGATTATAATAGGCTAATAATTGTGTGTCTGTGTGTGTCTATGTGTGGGGGTGTGTGTCTGTGTGTTTGTGTGCACGCATACGCGCGTCTGTGTCTGTGTTTGTGTTTGTGTGTCTGTGTGTGTTTATCTGTCTGTGTGTGTGTGTGTGTGTGTGTGTGTGTGTCTCTGTCTGTGTGTGTCTCTGTGTGCGTGTGTATATATGTGTATCTGCCTGTGTGTGTGTTAGACTGTATGGGACCCCTCTGAACGTGGACCTGTTCCCAGCGCTGATGTCTGAGGACCTGGTTCCTGGGAGCCGACTGGGACCAACGCTCATGTGTTTGTTGGTCACACAGTTCAAGCACGTGCGCGACGGGGACAGGTACAAGACCGAGACCCGAGACCCGAGACCTGAGACCAAGACCTGAGACCAACAAACACTTGTAGAAAATGTCATCTTTACATAGCTTAACAGAGCTAACTTGTTACCATAGACTGTATATATTAATGGACAGAGTCACGCCTATCTCCGCCGTTCTAACTAATGGGCCAAAAATAATTCTCTACTGGAGCTATCCAAAATGGCCGCAAGTGGTCCCGCCCACTTTTTTTTTTTTTTTTTTTTTTAGTGAAAAAAAAAAATAGTGAAAAAACGCATCACTCACTCACTGCATGTCACACGCGCAACCATAGACTGTATACGCTTGACACACGCACACACAACACACATAAAGTAATCACAGTTTAAGCGTCTACCTTTCGGCCAATCAGTGTCAAAGGGGCGTAGACTTGATCACATACATTGGTTTAATGTTGACAGGCGCCAGCGTCATCATCACAGCAGAAGTTTGGTAAAGTAGCGTCATATTCCCAGATTCTGACTTCCGCGGTCAATAGTTTACTTGCTAACTTAGCAACTTGCTAACTTATTTACTTAGTAAATAAACCATCAGTGAGAAGAGCAAATGTAACCATGTGGGCCATATGGTGTTGTGCAGGTTCTGGTATGAAAACCCCGGTGTGTTCAGCCCGGCCCAGCTGACGCAGCTGAAGCAGGCGTCTCTGGCCCGAGTTCTTTGTGATAACGGAGACAACATCACTCGAGTCCAGCAGGACGTGTTCAGCGTGGCCGCTCTGCCCCACGGCTTCGGCAGCTGTGAGGACGTCCCACACATCGACCTGCGCCTGTGGCAGGACTGCTGCGAAGGTCAGAGCCAAACTACTTTATCTGATATCGACCTGCGCCTGTGGCAGGACTGCTGCGAAGGTCAGAGCCAAACTGACCTGGCCTTATCCATCCGTGCACTCCGCTCAATCATCAATTCCTGCATGTAACGTCTGGGTCTGGTCCCTGTGTTTGTGATTACAATCCATCCGACCAATCAGAGCGCGGGAGGCGGGTGTTGTAGTTAGATGTCGGCGACGTCAAGAGTTTGCGTCGAACGGGAAGGTTGTAGTTTGGTGAAGAATGTGATAGTAAAGTATTCTGGTCTGGTTCTATCAAGAAACTGAAGCAGGAGCAAGAGGAATGTTTAGCAAATGTAATCTCTGCAAAGATTGTGGCGCCTACTCCCCACGGGCTCCGTTAGCGGCAAAGGAAATGGCTAAAGCTAGGCTAACTGCTAAAGCTAGGCTAAATGCTAAAGCTAGGCTAAATGCTAAATGCCTCACTCACTCGGGCTCATTACATACGTCACAGTAAACTCAGATCCAATGGTTTCAATCTGTAAAAGGAGTGAACCCCTCCCACCTGTTAATTGAGTCAATGGAGCTAATCCAGACCTTAGTATGAAATGAAATAAGTACTATGGTGTGGTAAGACCAGGCTAAATCTGACTCATTATCTAGCCATAAAAATGGCCGCAGGGAAAATGTGATGAAACACGTTTACGCATGTATTAGCTGCATTAGCTCCATTCATTTATGAGTGCATTCAAAAGTCCACAGCGGCTAAACTAGACTGGTCCAAAAACATACACTCCTCAACATCGACAGCATCTGGAACCAAGAGGATCCAGAGCCACTTTTGGACCATCCTGTAAAGATATTTTCCAGATGAAAGAAGACGTCATACAAAAGCATTGGGTAGTTCTGTTTCCGGGCCCTCACTGATCAGACCTTGTGCTTTCAGACTGCAGGACCAAGGGCCAGTTCAACGCCCTGTCGTACCACTTCAGAGGTCGGAGGTCGGCGGAGCACAGCTACGAAGGGGACAAACCCGTCGACAGGTACAACATGTGACGTTGCCATGGACACAGCATCGTTCATTATGTTGTATGTGTAATTTATTTATGTTTAACTCCAGTGCAGTAGAATCTCCTCCGGAGCATTCTGAAAACAAGATGGTGAAGACCACGGAACCGACCGTGGATTTCCAGGACTTTGTCTCTGAAATGCAGAAGACTATCACAAGTTTACGAAAACAGGTCTGGGCTCCAACTTTGGTACTTTTACTCCTGTGTTCAAGTGAAAAAAACATGAATCCATATATTTATGTGTTTGTATTATGTTCATACAGTATATAATCATAAAGGTGTGACATCATCTGCTGTTTCTACACCTCAGTGAACAGAACTTATATTATACTAAAACAAAAGGTGCAAGAGCCACATACAATAATTAAATATCATTGTATATTTGTTGTGTCTTATTTGTTGATTCTCTGATCTGTGATTTCAACAGTTTTATAAAGTCCTGAGAAAACTACTGTGGTTTAGAATGATGGAAGAATACATTGAATTGTATGAATTGTTTGCAGATAAAGCGACTTGAAGCCCGCCTCAGAAAGAGCGAGTGCGTCGATGCAGATGGACGAGAGAGAGCGGACGGAGATCAGTGGAAACAGGACTCCTGCACCAGCTGCGAATGCACCGTACGTCCTGTTTATACCGAGATTATACCGAGATTATACCGAGATTATACAGAGATTATACAGAGATTATACCGGGTTCAGTACCTGTGCTTCATGTGTCTGCAGGAGGCCCAGGTGACCTGCACAGTAAAGTCCTGCCTCCCGCCTCAGTGCAAACACCCAGTGTCTCTGAAAGGAGCCTGCTGCCCTGTGTGCCTGCAGCAGGAGGACAACATGTGACTGTGACGTCCAGAGAAGCGGACTCTAAGGTGTGCTATAATGCAAGAGCCTGACCCAATAGCCCCACTTGTTTTCATTATGCATTACTCTCTTGGGTTCGTGAGGGGCTGGTCTGGCCCCCTCCTGGGCCAGTGGGCTGGAGCCGGCTTTGGATCAGCTGGCAACAAGCCAACCATCGCTAAAAGGATTTATCTCTGAACTGATGGCTGGATGGATGACTGGGCAAATTGTAAACCCCAGAGACAAACCTCTTCTCTTCGAGTCCCCTGAGGCTCCTGAAGTGAAACAAACAGCCTCTGTGTTTGGTCCACATTCCCAACCACGCAGAGGCCAGCGGCCGACAGGAGAGAGGAAGAACATGACAAAGCCACCATTTTGTTGACTCACAAAATATTCTCAGGTCAGAGATGCAGAAAACTGGTGCTATTTTATCATTTTCTAATTGTTTTATCAATGAATACATACCTTAAGTATTTCTGTGTACATGCCACACTATATACTGTACAACTATAATCAGCCTTTTGTGATAAAAAAGACTGCTTTAGATATTTTAAGGACAATATCTGGAAAGTAACTTTTTATGAGGTGCTTTAAAACGTGTGAAAAACATGTTTTTCTCCCATTTTGTACAAAACATTTGTGTATGAAGTAATGTGAAGCCCTACAATAATGCAAAAAGTCTACTGATGCTTACTTCATAGAAACATGTAGTTGATGTGCTTTGTTTGACTGAAAGGGGCCATGTGGCGCCCCCTGTTGGTTGGACACCAGCACTTGCACTGTTGTCCTCATGGTAGATTTTTCTCTTTTGAATAGTGTAGGAGAGTATTGTAACCACTTTAAAGCCAAATGTTCCAAAAGCACATGTATTTACAAACAGCATGAATGTTGCAGAAGGGTCGGGGGTTAGTCTTTTCCGTCGCAGACTTTACCACAGCAGTATTTTCAGGCTGCTTCATGTTTATATGAACTTTGGACTTCAGGATCAGTTTAGCGGGACTAAGTCATGGCTTCCTTTGGCCTAGTCCGTCTGAACCTTCTGTGGACAATGGCTCAGCCCGACATCATGTTATGGTCTGTAAACGGCTGACGTCACGTTTCAGGCGCGCTCGGCCTCGGACCCTCATTCCGCTGTAATAGAAGCCATATGAACGAGGAAGTGAGGGCGGTGTTGGGGGAGGAACGACCAGGAGAGACCGGCTTTAAGCAGCACTACCTCCTGTCACTCACTTCTTTACCTCAAGTATCCAACACTTCATTCCCACACACATGTGCAATGCGACATCACTTCTAATCTTTTTACATGATGTTGTAATGTCCTGCACTTAAAAAGATCACGTTATTCCCCACTCTAATATAAAGATTCTCCTGTTGCGGAGCAGATGCAGATGTGTCAGAAAATGTGTTTAGTTGAAATAGTTTCTTCCTTTCCCAGGTCTGTGTAGTATGTGTTCATGGAATGCACTGTGTTTCAAGACTGAACATGTTTTTACTCACACTGTCCCAGAACGAGTGGTCAATGAGGATATGAAATTACCTTTCTTTTGTATTGTTTGCCAAAGAATGGATTGCACTGTAATGCCTCTAAACAGTAATAAAATAAATAAGCCATGGTTCACTAAAGTCCTCGAGTCCTGCCCTGTTTAGTTTCAGGTTCACGCTGCACAAGGCTAAGTGTTTGCAGATGTTCTCAGTCCATTAGCTGTCATTAGCTTATCAGAGCTAGTGCTGTTAGCTTTGTCATATCCAGAGTCCTGGAACTGTGGGTTATCTTCTAAATAATGAGCCCGAGTCGCTGGATTCATCTGGATTCATCTGGATTCATCTGGGTCTGCAGCCTTTGCCTTGGACCTCGGTCGTCTCTCCCTGTAAACCGTTTGGCAGTTACAAAAGGGACAGACGCTCAGGAAAGAACTGGAGCAGGAAATGAGGTTTCCAGTTGTTGTGTTGCATAGATAATGTATTTTCCTGGCTGCAGTATTATCTGACGGAGCAGTGAGGTCTGCAGCACGGACACTCAGCAGGAGGGAAACATACTTCCTACGTTTGTTTACATCCACTGCTTCCTTCTTCCTCAGAGGTTCAGAACCCGGTTGTATTTTAAAGGAACCTCTTTAATAACATCTGCGGTGATGAGAATGACGAAAATAAAATCAGACTTCAAACTTTTGATGTCACTTTTTGCTTTTTTAATAACAATTGTGTGTTTTTGTCTTGAGCGGGTGCAGCTTCTCAGACTGGGCCAAGACTCTTCTCACACGTTGAGATTAAATTTTGACCTCTGACTTTCTTCTTTTTTTTTGGCCACGGCGGGACAGCATTTCCTCCCTCTGATGGAACGTCCCTCTCATTTCAGGAGTGGGTTCGATGAAAGAATTACACACAGTCTTCACTGAGACAGAATGATGTGTCCCTAAACTGTAGGACTCAGGAGACACCCGTCCCTCTGGGGGGTGGAGACTTATGCACACGTCTGTAATGGTGCTTTAGGTTTGGTTTTGATGATCTCAGCAGTTTCTACCGTCGTGGTTTGACACAGAATCACATCCTCGACTGTTTCATGTGGTTCGCCTGATTCTTTCTCACAGACGTCTTTCTGCTCTGTGTGCGTTTGTAAATATGACTTACACACTCACACACATGAAGAACACACACTCACACACATGAAGAACACACACTCACACACATGAAGAGAATACACACTCACACACATGGAGAACACACACTCACACACACATGAAGAGAACACACTCACACACATGAAGAGAACACACACTCACACACACACACATGAAGAGAACACACACTCACTGAAGAAAAGACCAGAAACTCTGCTGATGTTTTTAATGGATGGCCTCCCTGTTGTTGTCCCTTTGCTCCCTCTGCTCTCTGTGGTCCCTTTGCTCTCTGTGGTCCCTTTGCTCTCTGTGGTCCCTTTGCTCTCTGTGGTCCCTCTGCTCCCTGTGGTCCCTCTGCTCTCTGTGGTCCCTCTGCTCCCTGTGGTCCCTCTGCTCTCTGTGGTCCCTTTGCTCTCTGTGGTCCCTTTGCTCTCTGTGGTCCCTCTGCTCTCTGTGGTCCCTTTGCTCTCTGTGGTCCCTTTGCTCTCTGTGGTCCCTTTGCTCTCTGTGGTCCCTCTGCTCCCTGTGGTCCCTCTGCTCCCTGTGGTCCCTTTGCTCTCTGTGGTCCCTCTGCTCTCTGTGGTCCCTCTGCTCTCTGTGGTCCCTTTGCTCTCTGTGGTCCCTCTGCTCTCTGTGGTCCCTCTGCTCTCTGTGGTCCCTCTGCTCTCTGTGGTCCCTTTGCTCTCTGTGGTCCCTCTGCTCCCTGTGGTCCCTCTGCTCTCTGTGGTCCCTTTGCTCTCTGTGGTCCCTCTGCTCTCTGTGGTCCCTCTGCTCCCTGCTGTCCCTTTGCTCTCTGTGGTCCCTCTGCTCTCTGTGGTCCCTCTGCTCTCTGTGGTCCCTCTGCTCTCTGTGGTCCCTTTGCTCTCTGTGGTCCCTCTGCTCCCTGTGGTCCCTCTGCTCTCTGTGGTCCCTTTGCTCTCTGTGGTCCCTCTGCTCTCTGTGGTCCCTCTGCTCCCTGCTGTCCCTTTGCTCTCTGTGGTCCCTCTGCTCTCTGTGGTCCCTCTGCTCTCTGTGGTCCCTCTGCTCCCTGTGGTCCCTCTGCTCTCTGTGGTCCCTTTGCTCTCTGTGGTCCCTCTGCTCTCTGTGGTCCCTCTGCTCCCTGCTGTCCCTTTGCTCTCTGTGGTCCCTCTGCTCTCTGTGGTCCCTCTGCTCCCTGTGGTCCCTCTGCTCTCTGTGGTCCCTTTGCTCTCTGTGGTCCCTCTGCTCTCTGTGGTCCCTCTGCTCCCTGCTGTCCCTTTGCTCTCTGTGGTCCCTCTGCTCTCTGTGGTCCCTCTGCTCTCTGTGGTCCCTCTGCTCTCTGTGGTCCCTTTGCTCTCTGTGGTCCCTCTGCTCTCTGTGGTCCCTCTGCTCTCTGTGGTCCCTCTGCTCTCTGTGGTCCCTCTGCTCCCTGTGGTCCCTCTGCTCTCTGTGGTCCCTTTGCTCTCTGTGGTCCCTCTGCTCTCTGTGGTCCCTCTGCTCCCTGCTGTCCCTTTGCTCTCTGTGGTCCCTCTGCTCTCTGTGGTCCCTCTGCTCCCTGCTGTCCCTTTGCTCTCTGTGGTCCCTCTGCTCTCTGTGGTCCCTCTGCTCCCTGTGGTCCCTCTGCTCTCTGTGGTCCCTTTGCTCTCTGTGGTCCCTCTGCTCTCTGTGGTCCCTCTGCTCCCTGCTGTCCCTTTGCTCTCTGTGGTCCCTCTGCTCTCTGTGGTCCCTCTGCTCTCTGTGGTCCCTCTGCTCTCTGTGGTCCCTTTGCTCTCTGTGGTCCCTCTGCTCTCTGTGGTCCCTTTGCTCTCTGTGGTCCCTCTGCTCCCTGTGGTCCCTGTGGTTCCTGTGGTTCATGACAATGTTTTAAGCCTGACTCTGGGCCGGAGTCTGGGCCGGAGTCTGGGCCGGAGTCTGGGCCGGGGTCTGGGCCGGAGTCTGGGCCGGAGTCTGGGCCGGGGTCTGGGCCGGAGTCTGGGCCGGAGTCTGGGCCGGAGTCTGGGCCGGAGTCTGGGCCGGAGTCTGGGCCGGAGTCTGGGCCGGAGTCTGGGCCGGAGTCTGGGCCGGAGTCTGGGCCGGAGTCTGGGCCGGAGTCTGGGCCGGAGTCTGGGCCGGAGTCTGGGCCGGAGTCTGGGCCGGAGTCTGGGCCGGAGTCTGGGCCGGAGTCTGGGCCGGAGTCTGGGCCGGAGTCTGGGCCGGAGTCTGGGCCGGAGTCTGGGCCGGAGTCTGGGCCGGAGTCTGGGCCGGAGTCTGGGCCGGAGTCTGGGCCGGAGTCTGGGCCGGAGTCTGGGCCGGAGTCTGGGCCGAGGGTCTGACGTTCTCCGCCTCATTTTGGGTTAAATCAAAGTCGTTTGAAGAGTCAACATCACAGAACAAGACTGATACATTTTACACTTTGAAGAAAAAAAGCTCTCATACATAAAACGGACTGAAAGTGTTTCGTTTTGGAAAATGAGTCAAAACTAGATCAGGTTTTGAGTCGAATCAGAAATGTCTTATCTCTCAAAGAAGTCAAAAGTGTCTGAAGATCCTTTCATCGACCACAGAGTTTCTCAGATCAAGTCTCGGCGTCGTCCTCGTGGTCAGAAAGTCACTGATGTCACTTTCAATGTTGAATAAACGACAGTGTTTTCAGAAAAGTGCGACTTCAGAACCAGAACAGAAGCTTCAGCTCAGTCTAACAGAGCTTTGACTGTGGCTAAGTGTTGGTCGAGTCGGTAAGTCTCAAAAAACACACAAACACAAGAATATACTTTTTTTATTTTATTTCAGATCCACATCAAAAGTATTTCTGACAGAGGTTAAATCCAGACAGGCCTCTCCACAGGGACACTGAAGGCACCATTCATACAGAAGCAACCCTGCTTTACAGGCACAGAGAGAACATTGGCAAACAAAACATTATAGGAATAAAAAAACATAAATGAAATATAAAAATATATATATACACACATGATACACAACTAGGTACAAATACACACACATATACAAACACATACATCCTTATAAATGCATATACATACGATAAAAAGTTTCCCAAAGAGCATGGACTTATGAAGGATAAAATACCGTAACATTGTCTCCACAGAGCAGGCTTCACACTCGGGTCAGGAACCACTTTCTAACAGTTTAATGAACATTGATAGTTCTGAGCTTTGGGCCACAGCTTTGGACGCGTTACCTGCAGAACTGAAAGCTCTAAACACATGAAGGAGTTTAAGATTAAAGTCAAACTATGGCTCAAAAGGAACCAAACTTGTGAGCACAATGCAAGACTAATCATCTATCGTAGTTTCTTCTGTACTATGTAATCTGTGGGGTTATTATTATTTTTTTGTTATTTAGTATTACTTATTTTCTTCTTTTTTAGTAGAAATACGTCACATTTAGATTATACATGCGTCGTTTGCAGACCTAGTCACAGGACCAGGTCTGCAAACGAGCTGTTATCTGTGCGGCCAATAGCATCGGGTCCTGTAACAATGCTTCTTGTTCTGCCCCTTTCAAATAAACACATAAAGGTCCGTTTGGTTCAATACAAACTGTAACGGATAGAAAAGGACCAAAACTAGAAAAGGACCAAAACTAGAAAAGGACCAAAACTAGAAAAGGACCAAAACTAGAAAAGGACCAAAACTAGAAAAGGACCAAAACAAAGGGATGCATCTGGAGACCGTCTTCTTAAAGATTTCACACTTCTGATTAAAAATACTTTGTAAAGATATTTTCCCACAGCTCCCATTGGCCCCAAACCGACCTGTGTCTATGGTCTGCCCTAATCTGTCATCATTAAAGGGTCCTAATCTGTCATCATTAAAGGGCCCTAATCTGTCATCATTAAAGGGTCCTAATCTGTCATCATTAAAGGGCTCTAATCTGTCATCATTAAAGGGTCCTAATCTGTCATCATTAAAGGGCCCTAATCTGTCATCATTAAAGGGTCCTAATCTGTCATCATTAAAGGGCTCTAATCTGTCATCATTAAAGGGTCCTAATCTGTCATCATTAAAGGGCCCTAATCTGTCATCATTAAAGGGTCCTAATCTGTCATCATTAAAGGGCTCTAATCTGTCATCATTAAAGGGCCCTAATCTGTCATCATTAAAGGGCCCTAATCTGTCATAATAATAAACTGTTCTTTTCCAATACTTCTTTAACTGATAACAGTAGTTCAGAGATATTTGAATTTCTAAATTACTTTTCCAGTCCCTAAATCTTGTTATTGTTTTCATTTCGATGTCCCGCCCTCCACCGTTTCACCAATCAGAAAGTCTGTGATCCGGGCGCCAGAACTCACCGCGTGGAGCTAATCTCACTGGTAAAGTACCATGTGGCGCAGAACTAAAAAAGGTCTCGTTATGATTCTCAAATCATTAACGACAAAACAAGGAATAAAACCAGGATTTCTATCTTTGTGAAAAAGGTGTTGGTTATAGATTTGTTGTTGACAAAACTCTTGTCTATTCAGCTGTTATGGTCCCAGCTGGATTCGTCTGCATATCTGGCAACCTGAGTCAGGGAGAGTGGGAGAGGCTGCAGTACCACTTCTGGCCACATGTTGGCTACATACTGCTCCTTTAAAGGCTGAAGGAGGACATTTTGGAGCCAGTGTCAGACATGTGGCCTGTGGTGAAGCCTGTGGCGGCGTTGTCCGAGGTGTTTCGTGGCGATCGAGAGCTGTAGATGTACTTCTTGCTCAGGCACCACAAATCCACCAGGATCTGCCTGAAATGACTTCTGAACTTGACCCCCACAAAGGCGTACAGGAAGGGGTTGAGGCAGCAGTGGAGGTAGGCCAGACTCTGAGAAACGGCTAAAACATCCACCTTAACCCTCTCCATGCTGCAGCTTCTCTCTTTGAACAGGGACAGGGTGTGTTGGAGGAGAGCCACGTTGTACGGAAGATGGCACACGATAAAAACCACGACCACGGCGAAGACTACACGGACGGCCTTGTGGCGTTGGCTGCTCTGCGTCCGGAGCAAAGTGTCGAGAATACAGGAGTAGCAAAACGCCATCACCAGGAAAGGCACCACAAACCCGATCGCCATCTGCAAACTTGGCACCAAAATCTTCACCAGTTTGGCCGTTTCATTTTCATCAAACAAAAGCTCACATGACACCAACGGAGCGCTGTATGAAACCGATGTGTTGCTACTGATCTCATTCAAATCTGGAATGGCGTCTTCCTCAAAACGCTGGGTGTAGATTAAGGTGGGAAGAGTCAAGGCCAAAGCCAAAACCCAGACGGCGGAGCAGGTGATGCGACTATAGCGGAGAGATTGCGAGCCGGAGCCAAAAGATCGCCTGGCCTGGACAATGGCCACGTACCGGTCCCCGCTAATGCAAGCTAACAGTAGCATGCCGCTGTACAAGTTGATGCTGTACGCGAAACGAAGGAATTTACAAGCAGCAGAGCCCATCCACCAACCGTTCAGCTCGTTGTACACGATAAAAGGCAAGGCTAAGACGAAGAGCAGGTCGGCCACCGCCACGTTCAGGAGGTACACGTCCGTCATGGTTTTGGTTCGTTTGTAGCAGACGTAGGTGATGATGACGAGGGAGTTTCCGACGAGGCCCAGGACGCAGATGAGGGAGTGGATGTAGGTCTGGGCCAGGATCATCCGTGGGTTCAGGGTCACGTCACACGGCTCGTCGTCTGGATCGTCACCACCGGAATAAGTGTCGTAGATCTCAGTGGTCATTCTTAACGACTGTGGACAAGAAGGAGGTCGTTAAGGCAGTTTAATTTTCTTTATTCACAACAGTTCATAGTAATACAAGTCATACACTAGATCCAAGCATCAGAGACCTCTACTAGGACCATCAGAGACCTCTACTAGGACCATCAGAGACCTCTACTAGGACCATCAGAGACCTCTACTAGGACCATCAGAGACCTCTACTAGGACCATCAGAGACCTCTACTAGGACCATCAGAGACCTCTACTAGGACCATCAGAGACCTCTACTAGGACCATCAGAGACCTCTAGGACCATCAGAGACCTCTAGGACCATCAGAGACCTCTAGGACCATCAGAGACCTCTACTAGGACCATCAGAGACCTCTAGGACCATCCGAGACCTCTAGGACCATCCGAGACCTCTAGGACCATCAGAGACCTCTACTAGGACCATCAGAGACCTCTAGGACCATCCGAGACCTCTAGGACCATCCGAGACCTCTAGGACCAAGAGAGACCTCTAGGACCTTCAAAGACCATAGGACCATCTGAGACCTCTAGGACCATCCGAGACCTCTAGGACCATCAGAGACCTCTACTAGGACCATCAGAGACCTCTAGGACCATCAGAGACCTCTACTAGGACCATCAGAAACCTCTACTAGGACCATCAGAGACCTCTACTAGGACCATCAGAGACCTCTAGGACCATCAGAGACCTCTAGCACCATCAGAGACCTCTAGGACCATCAGAGACCTCTACTAGGACCATCAGAGACCTCTACTAGGACCATCAGAGACCTCTACTAGGACCATCAGAGACCTCTACTAGGACCATCAGAGACCTCTACTAGGACCATCAGAGACCTCTACTAGGACCATCAGAGACCTCTACTAGGACCATCAGAGACCTCTAGGACCATCAGAGACCTCTAGGACCATCAGAGACCTCTACTAGGACCATCAGAGACCTCTACTAGGACCATCAGAGACCTCTACTAGGACCATCAGAGACCTCTAGGACCATCAGAGACCTCTACTAGGACCATCAGAGACCTCTAGGACCATCCGAGACCTCTAGGACCATCCGAGACCTCTAGGACCATCCGAGACCTCTACTAGGACCATCAGAGACCTCTAGGACCATCCGAGACCTCTAGGACCATCCGAGACCTCTAGGACCATCCGAGACCTCTAGGACCAAGAGAGACCTCTAGGACCTTCAAAGACCATAGGACCATCTGAGACCTCTAGGACCATCAGAGACCTCTACTAGGACCATCAGAGACCTCTAGGACCATCAGAGACCTCTACTAGGACCATCAGAGACCTCTACTAGGACCATCAGAGACCTCTACTAGGACCATCAGAGACCTCTACTAGGACCATCAGAGACCTCTAGGACCATCAGAGACCTCTACTAGGACCATCAGAGACCTCTAGGACCATCAGAGACCTCTAGGACCATCAGAGACCTCTACTAGGACCATCAGAGACCTCTACTAGGACCATCAGAGACCTCTACTAGGACCATCAGAGACCTCTACTAGGACCATCAGAGACCTCTACTAGGACCATCAGAGACCTCTAGGACCATCAGAGACCTCTAGGACCATCAGAGACCTCTACTAGGACCATCAGAGACCTCTACTAGGACCATCAGAGACCTCTAGGACCATCAGAGACCTCTAGGACCATCAGAGACCTCTACTAGGACCATCAGAGACCTCTACTAGGACCATCAGAGACCTCTTGGACCATCAGAGACCTCTACTAGGACCATCAGAGACCTATACTAGGACCATCAGAGACCTCTACTAGGACCATCAGAGACCTCTAGGACCATCAGAGACCATAGGACCATCAGAGACCATAGGACCATCCGAGACCTCTAGGACCATCAGAGACCTCTAGGACCATCCGAGACCTCTAGGACCATCCGAGACCTCTAGGACCAAAAGAGACCTCTAGGACCATCAGAGACCTCTAGGACCTTCAAAGACCATAGGACCATCAGAGACCTCTACTAGGACCATCAGAGACCTCTACTAGGACCATCAGAGACCTCTACTAGGACCATCAGAGACCTCTACTAGGACCATCAGAGACCTCTAGGACCATCAGAGACCTCTAGGACCATCAGAGACCTCTACTAGGACCATCAGAGACCTCTACTAGGACCATCAGAGACCTCTAGGACCATCAGAGACCTCTAGGACCATCAGAGACCTCTACTAGGACCATCAGAGACCTCTACTAGGACCATCAGAGACCTCTTGGACCATCAGAGACCTCTACTAGGACCATCAGAGACCTATACTAGGACCATCAGAGACCTCTACTAGGACCATCAGAGACCTCTAGGACCATCAGAGACCATAGGACCATCCGAGACCTCTAGGACCATCCGAGACCTCTAGGACCATCAGAGACCTCTAGGACCATCCGAGACCTCTAGGACCATCCGAGACCTCTAGGACCAAAAGAGACCTCTAGGACCATCCGAGACCTCTAGGACCTTCAAAGACCATAGGACCATCTGAGACCTCTAGGACCTTCAAAGACCATAGGACCATCTGAGACCTCTAGGACCATCCGAGACCTCTAGGACCATCCGAGACCTCTAGGACCATCCGAGACCTCTAGGACCAAGAGAGACCTCTAGGACCATCCGAGATGTCTAGGACCAAGAGAGACCTCTAGGACCAAAAGAGACCTCTAGGACCATCCGAGACCTCTAGGACCATCCGAGACCTCTAGGACCATCCGAGACCTCTAGGACCATCCGAGACCTCTAGGACCATCCGAGACCTCTAGGACCATCAGAGACCATAGGACCATCCGAGACCTCTAGGACCATCCGAGACCTCTAGGACCATCAGAGACCTCTAGCTCCATCAGAGACCTCTAGGACCATCAGAGACCTCTAGGACCATCAGAGACCATAGGACCATCAGAGACCATAGGACCATCAGAGGCCTCAAGGACCATCAGAGACCTCTAGGACCATCAGAGACCTCAAGTACCATCAGAGACCTCAAGGACCATCAGAGACCTCAAGGACCATCAGAGACCTCAAGGACCATCAGAGACCTCTAGGACCATCAGAGACCTCTAGGACCATCAGAGACCTCTAGGACCATAGAAAAGCAGGACGTCTAAACAGAGCACCCTTCAGTCTTGCACTTCAGAAAATCTAAAGTGCAGTATGTTATTGCACTTTCCCTGAGCCTAAAGTACAGTTTTTTAATACATTTAGAAATCAAACCAGTCGTGCTCCACAGATGAAGGTCTGCTCTTCCTTTGACTTTCTCTTGCTCTTCTCTTTTATATGTTTTATGTTGTACTTGTCGACTTATCGTTTGTACTTTTTAACCTAACTGTGTGTTTGTGTGTTTCTGCCTTAGGACAATGGACGCTAATAAGCTAACGTGCTAACGTGCTAATTCCAGGTTATAGATGCTGACGCTGTTTGCAGACACATTGATTAATATGCACTGTTTACACAATTCAAATACATAAATAAAACCAATCAATCAATAATCATATGTGTGACCATCCTAATGAGTTAAAACCACTTCATGGATCAATTATAATTCACACTTTTTTTATATTTATATTTCTACCACGTTCTGAAAGATTTCTTCAGTCTTTCCTTTGCCCCAGTTCAGTCTTTGCTCTGGTTTTAGTGTGACCCACTTGTGTGTGACTCTAACGGAGAAGCCACAGGTGGAGACTGCTGATGTCAGAGGACTGTCTGTGAGCCCTGGAATTGTATGTAGGTCACGGCGTGTAGGCCACGGCGTGTAGGTCAGAGCGTGTAGATTAGAGCATGTAGGTCAGAGCGTGTAGATTAGAGCATGTAGGTTAGAGCGTGTAGATTAGAGCATGTAGATTAGAGCATGTAGGTTAGAGCATGTAGGTTAGAGCATGTAGGTTAGAGCATGTAGGTTAGAGCATGTAGGTTAGAGCATGTAGGTTAGAGCATGTAGGTTAGAGCATGTAGGTTAGAGCATGTAGGTTAGAGCGTGTAGATTAGAGCGTGTAGATTAGAGCATGTAGATTAGAGCATGTAGGTTAGAGCATGTAGGTTAGAGCATGTAGGTTAGAGCATGTAGGTTAGAGCGTGTAGATTAGAGCATGTAGGTTAGAGCATGTAGGTTAGAGCATGTAGGTTAGAGCGTGTAGATTAGAGCATGTAGGTTAGAGCATGTAGGTTAGAGCATGTAGGTTAGAGCATGTAGATTAGAGCATGTAGATTAGAGCATGTAGATTAGAGCATGTAGGTTAGAGCATGTAGGTTAGAGCATGTAGGTTAGAGCATGTAGATTAGAGCGTGTAGATTAGAGCATGTAGGTTAGAGCATGTAGGTTAGAGCATGTAGGTTAGAGCATGTAGATTAGAGCGTGTAGATTAGAGCATGTAGGTTAGAGCATGTAGGTTAGAGCATGTAGATTAGAGCATGTAGGTTAGAGCATGTAGGTTAGAGCATGTAGGTTAGAGCATGTAGATTAGAGCGTGTAGATTAGAGCATGTAGGTTAGAGCATGTAGGTTAGAGCATGTAGGTTAGAGCATGTAGGTTAGAGCATGTAGGTTAGAGCATGTAGATTAGAGCATGTAGGTTAGAGCATGTAGGTCAAAGCGTGTGGGTCAGAGCGTCCAGACTAGAACATCTTGGTTCTAGTCTGGACCAGTGGGGGCGGGTCTCGGCTCAATAGTGGCCAAAATGACGTGTGCTGACATGCTGCAGTACCACCCCGGGCCTGTGGGGGTGGACCCAGAAGAAGAATTACCTCTGGAAAACGTCTTTACAGGATGGTCCAAAAGTTGTCTCTTGGCCCAAAGCTCCGTTCCACATGTGTGTCAATGCTGAGGGAGTGTTCTGGACCAGACTAGTTTAGTCGCTGTGGACTTTTGAAGTCTCTCGTTTAAATGAATGGAGCTCGTGCAGCTGACGCATGCACAGATGTGTTTTTTCACATTTTCCAGCCCCCGCGGCCATTTTGAATCACTCCATGAGAGCCCAATTTTTGGCCCATTAGTTAGAACGGCGGAGATAGGCCTGACTACGTCTGGTAATATTTACATTCTATGGTCTGGACTAATGCGATGGTACTTCCTGGTTCTAGTCTGGACTAATGCGATGGTACTTCCTGGTTCTAGTCTGGACTAATGCGATGGTACTTCCTGGTTCTAGTCTGGACTAATGCGATGGTACTTCCTGGTTCTAGTCTGGACTAATGCGATGGTACTTCCTGGTTCTACCGTACGCAGGTCTTCCACAAACATTTACACCAAACACAATGAAAAGGGAAAGTCTGATTATCTGAACGGGAACATAAAAGAAAACACATCTCAAAGACAAACATCTGAAAAGGAACCTGAAGCTGAAACATTAAACTCTGGTCCATCCTTTCATACGACTGTAATGTGCAGAAATATTATTATCACATGAATTTATCACAAAAATATACAATTTATGTATTTATTATTATTATTATTATTAAACTTGGAGACTTAGAACATAGTGTACGTCTGTAATATAACTTAAAATGTGAAACAATTGTTTTCATTTCTTTATTAATCTGAGCAGAAACTTTACATTCATGAGTTTTTACAGTATTTAACATCTAAGTTTATGGAGAACTTTGTTTCCTTCTGCGCTGACACACACACGCACAGACACACACACAGAGACACACACAGACACACACGCACAGACACACACAGACACACACACGCACACGCACAGACACACACACAGAGACACACACAGACACACACGCACAGACACGCACACGCACACAGACACACACACAGAGACACGCACAGACACACACACAGAGACACACACAGACACACACGCACAGACACGCACACGCACACAGACACACACACAGAGACACACACAGACACACACGCATAGACACACACAGACACACACACGCACAGACACACACACGCACAGAAACACACACACACACACGCACAGAGACACACACGCACACGCACACAGACACACACACACACGCACAGACACACACAGACACGCACACGCACACGCATGCAAATGTATGATAATATAAACTTTACTGATCTCTGATGGAGAAATGTACGGATAGAATCAGACAGAAGTGTTAAATATTAAATTATTTGTATATAACAATAACAATAATAATCAAGCAGCAGTATTTGAGTTTCACCATGTGCTGTATATTTACCATTTCAATGTTTCTGATTAACTTTTAACACTTTTCTTCTTGTTCACACTTCACCTGGAATACCTTTCATAACACTATTCTATTAGAATAAAGGACTTTATGTTGACAATTAATTTGATATTTTTGTACAATAAAGACCAATTATTCTGAAAATCCCCCCCATCCAAAGTGTTCAAAGTGTTCAAAGTGTTCAAAGTGTTCAAAGTGTTCAAAGTGTTCAAAGTGTTCAAAGTGTCCAAAGTGTTCAAAGTGTTCAAAGTGTCCAAAGTGTCCAAAGTGTCCAAAGTGTTCAAAGTGTTCAAAGTGTTCAAAGTGTTCAAAGTGTTCAAAGTGTTCAAAGTGTTCAAAGTGTTCAAAGTGACTTACCTTTAGTGGAGGAGTCTGAGCTGAAGCAGTAAATGTAAAGTTTCACTGATGCAGCTGCAGCTCGACACCTCCTGCTGTGACACACTCTATGGAAATGTGCTGAATTCTGCCTTTCAGCTCAGCCGTGGCTTTATCACCAGGAAATAACACATAATAAATGCCCATATTTTATCAAATCAAAACGATAGATGCTTAAAACATTGACATCCCATAGACTAAGAGTTATTTATACTTTATTGGTAATGATCTAAAAAAGGCTGAAAAGGCCTATGTCTTAAAAAGTCAAAAGCTGCAGTGTGATCTTTTCTTTCTTTTTTTGTACCAATTCAGATTGAAGAGGAGACATATTTTAATATTATTTTACATTTTATATAGAACAAGCTGCACATTGGCTTGATCTACACACATAAGCCTAATTATATGTCTTTCATATTTAATTGAAACTATATTACCCAGATTAATGCAGCCACAATGCATATGACTGATCTAATCTGACTTCTGCAGTGACTTCTGTAAACGTCCAGCAGGGGGAGCTGTTGCTGTGTTTTCCCTCACCCTGAGCGTCACAGTTCACCTTGTTCTGCCGTTTGCGTCCTTCCAACATGTTTGCGTGTACGTGTGTTTATGTGGCACGTAAAAACACACTGATTATTGAAAGGGCAGTGTGTATAAGCCTTATGTGAGTATATTTAAGCCTCCTCTTCATCTTCATCACGTGGTGGTTGTTACCTGCGGATACCTGGCGCGCGCACGACGTGGGCAAGTCCAAACTGCGGCACCAACCCGCTCTGCAGGTTCAGCCCTTCTGCCCTGAATCACTCTGCTCTAACTCTGCTCTAACCCTGCTCTGTCTCCTCATGATTGTGCTTTCTCTGCAGTCTCCTGCCGAGGACCTGCTGCACCATGAGCAAATCCAGCACTTTAAGAGTCAAGAACTTATTTAAATCCAAGTCTCTGGATAAAGAGAGCAAGGATGCAAAGAAGGCAGCGAGTAAGGATGGGGTCTTCAGCAGCCCCGTGCCCCCCGTGTCCCTCCCCACGGGCCCCGGGGACCTCAGCACCCTGCCTGTGTCCCCCAGAGAGAAGAAGAGCAAAGGCATGTTCTCTCTGAAACTCAAGAGGAAAAAGTCCAAGCAGAAAGCAGAGGATGTGTTCTTCATGGACTCAGGAGAGGACAGCTTCAGCCCTGGACACATGTAAGACCACACTCTGCTGTTCTCTGCTGCTTCAGTCCAGGTTTATCTGTGCAACTTATATTTAGTGGACAAATATCATCTACCAGTAAATTATTCCATCAATTGTTATATATTTTTACTCAATAACAAGGCCCCTAAGTGTTAGACCCGCCCCCTGTCACAGACCATCAGGTAACAGGTAACAAAGCTCCCAACTTAAACTGTTTTAGCCTTTGGCAAAATGTAGATTTACAACTGCTGAGAGCTGTGGAACTAGTTTAATCCTGCAAATCTGCTGCTACAGACTCAATGATACAGAGCTGAATGCATGAGTCCATCTTTTACAGTCAAAACCATTTTATGTTTGACAAAATAGTGTGCATGGAATTTAGTTTCTTTTTGTTAAAGCCTTTCAAACTAGTCTCTCCACTTTGAACGCTGCAGCTGTGAAAACTTATAGTCACAATAGTGTTTGATCTGCCTTTTCAATGCCATCAGGTTTGTCTGCTCTGAGGTCTCTTCTTCACTGACCAAAGTGTCTGACTCAGCTGTTGTTGGTGTTTTGACTCTTGTGGGTGTCTGCTCTTGATATTTGAATGGTTCATGAGGTGTGACAGCAGTTACATAATTATGGTCCTTTGTGTTAAGTCAGAACAGGAATAGATTAACACAAAGAAACATTAATGACAATGACACAGGAGTGTAGAGAGATGTGGTGCTGTAGTACTCAGCACAATAACAGAGTAATGAACAATATAGAGCATTCCTGAATTGTTGGTTTACCAACAACGTTTAGCAAAAAATAGTTATTGTCTTAGTGAGTAAGTAAGTAATCTTTATTTATGTACCGCCTTTCACAGACCAGAGTCTCAAAGCGGTTTATAATTGTTATTTTTGAGCATTTGTCTCTCACTCCACACAGAGATGGGAGGGGCCAGTACAGGAGGCGCATGCCAGAACTATTGTGCATGTTTTTAGTGGTAGGGGAAACCGGAGCACCCGGAGGAAACCTACGCAGACACAGGGAGAACATGCAAACTCCACTAAGAAAGGCCCTGTCAAAATTATGTGACATATTGACTGATAGATCTATAGTGATTGGTCTATAGTCATAGGTCTATAGTCATTGGTCTATAGTGATTGGTCTACAGTGATTGGTCTATAGTCATTGGTCTATAGTGATTGGTCTACAGTGATTGGTCTATAGTCATTGGTCTACAGTGATTGGTCTACAGTAGGGCTGAAACAACTAATCGATTAATCGACGACTAATCGATTATTGAAATAGTCGACAACTATTTTAGTAATCGATTAATCGTTTTCTGGTTCACACGGACTCAAACAGAGCAAAAATGACATGAAAATGTTGTATTTTTGATTAAAACCGACTTTGTTTTTATAATTTCATGAATATCTGTCTGTCTCATCCAATCAGAGCAGAATTAGCACAAAGAGCCTGTTACAAACATTTACTTTAAGTTTACGCCTCAATACGTCCTCGAGTGTTGCCACTTTAGCTTTTTGTGATGAAAAAATAATTTTTTTCTACACAATTCACAGCCAAGCGATTACTCGATTAATCGTAAAAATAATCGATAGATTAAATCGATTACAAAATAATCGTTAGTTGCAGCTCTAGTCTACAGTCATTGGTCTACAGTCATTGGTCTACAGTCATTGGTCTATAGTGATTGGTCTACAGTCATTGGTCTACAGTCATTGGTCTACAGTCATTGGTCTACAGTCATTGGTCTATAGTGATTGGTCTACAGTCATTGGTCTACAGTCATTGGTCTACAGTCATTGGTCTACAGTCATTGGTCTACAGTCATTGGTCTACAGTCATTGGTCTACAGTCATTGGTCTATAGTGATTGGTCTACAGTCATTGGTCTACAGTCATTGGTCTACAGTGATTGGTCTATAGTGATTGGTCTATAGTGATTGGTCTATAGTGATTGGTCTAAAGTCATTGGTCTACAGTCATTGGTCTATAGTGATTGGTCTATAGTGATTGGTCTATAGTGATTGGTCTAAAGTCATTGGTCTACAGTCATTGGTCTATAGTGATTGGTCTATAGTGATTGGTCTATAGTGATTGGTCTACAGTCATTGGTCTATAGTGATTGGTCTATAGTGATTGGTCTATAGTGATTGGTCTACAGTCATTGGTCTATAGTGATTGGTCTAAAGTCATTGGTATATAGTGATTGGTCTAAAGTCATTGGTCTATAGTGATTGGTCTATAGTCATTGGTCTATAGTGATTGGTCTACAGTCATTGGTCTATAGTGATTGGTCTATAGTCATTGGTCTATAGTGATTGGTCTATAGTGATTGGTCTACAGTCATTGGTCTACAGTCATTGGTCTTTAGGGGCAGGGCGTGTGAATGTGTTGTAAGCTTTTTGCCATTGGACAAACCTGCCCTCCTCCTTTAATTCTATGTTATTTGAGGTGAAGTCATTTACGTCTCTGTGGAGATGCCTTTAGTACTCTGTAGAAAGTTACAGCTTCAGCTGTGCTAACACGCTCACCTGTATCCGGCGACAGTAGCTCAGTTGGTAGAGCTTTGGCCTTTGAGCCAGAAGGTCGTGGGTTCAAGCCCCGCTCAAGACTTTCACCATCGACTCCCACTGTCTGCTGTCGTTGTGTCCTTGGCAAGACACTTAACCTCTGGGAACATCAGCCACAGTGGGGCGGCTGCGGCTGTAAAGTGCCAAACTGCCGTTGTGTCCTTAGGCAAGACACTTCACCCCCATTGCCTAGAATGAGTCTGGTGTGTGTATGAATGGTTGGTGGTGGTCGGAGGGGCCGATGGCGCATACTGGTTGCCTCGCTTCTGTCAGTGTGCCCCAGGGCAGCTGTGGCTACAGTAGTAGTTTATCACCACCGTGTTTGGAGTGAATGAATAATGACACATGTGAAGCGTCTTTGAGTGTCCAGAAAAGCGCTATATAAAACCGATGCATTATTATTATTATTATTATCCTCTGTGCGGCTGTGCTAACACGCTCACCTGTATCCTCTGTGCGGCTGTGCTAACACGCTCACCTGTATCCTCTGTGCGGCTGTGCTAACACGCTCACCTGTATCCTCTGTGCGGCTGTGCTAACACGCTCACCTGTATCCTCTGTGCGGCTGTGCTAACACGCTCACCTGTATCATCTGTGCGGCTGTGCTAACACGCTCACCTGTATCCTCTGTGCGGCTGTGCTAACACGCTCACCTGTATCCTCTGTGCGGCTGTGCTAACACGCTCACCTGTATCCTCTGTGCGGCTGTGCTAACACGCTCACCTGTATCCTCTGTGCGGCTGTGCTAACACGCTCACCTGTATCCTCTGTGCGGCTGTGCTAACACGCTCACCTGTATCCTCTGTGCGGCTGTGCTAACACGCTGATCAGACAAGGACACGTTTGGAGCCAGGACTTTGTGTTTGTTCTGTCGCAGAGAATAATATTTTCCAGCTCTGTGTCCGACTGGAATCTGCCACAGACAACAGTCAGCGGCTCGTACTTCACATCTAATAAAAACTAAAACAAATGCATTGTACAAATATAATCTATGGACGATTCATAAATATTGATCGTCATATTTGTTTTTTTTTTTCATAGGTAAGCTTTAGTTTATTTAGTTCAGTTTCAGTTTATTTATTATTAGGGCAGAAGTAAAAAAACGTGTGCGCCCACTGCATGTTCATGATACAATACAAGTTACTATAAAATATTTCAATAAATTCCCATTTTTTTAGTTACAAGTTCAACAAAATTAATCAGTCCGTCCAGGATCGACTTGGACAGTTTTTACTTAAATACAAAAAAAAGAATGACTTATTTTAATCTCTGCTGAGTTCCACATCTGAGGCCCATGAAACGACACATCTCTGAGTCAGCGATTTTCTAACTTTTGGTAAAATAAAAGTATCATCTTTTAAACTATATCTAGAATATGTCTCATTTGGGGCTATTACTGAAGAGCGCTAAGTTCTGAAAAAGTTTTGAAAGAAGGAGGAGGCGTGTCCATCAAAGCTTTAGAAAGTCATCTCCATCATATTTTAGTAAACAACATTTTAAGAAAGCCAAAGCTGGATTTAAATATGTTTACATGATTTATGATATACATATGTTCTGCACTGTTTTTACTACGGTTTTATCCCAAATGGAAACTAAATTCTAGATGAAATATGAAAGTGTTGGACAGACGACTAAAGAAACATGATCCTAACCTTTTTATTTTCATTTTATTTCACCTTCATTAAAACAGGAAAGTCCCATTGATGAAGGACCTCCTTTTCAACATTTCTTTTGTTTGATTCTCACAGAAGTACATTGTGTCTCATCCCGGTCTCTCTGACAGAATGTGTCTCGGCCTGAACAGGTCCGTGCTCCTCTGTTTGTGAACAGCCTGAGGTCGGGGTGTGGAGGTCACTGTACCAGAAAGCGAAACCAGGAACGACACGAGAGCCTCCTTTAGGGGTCTTTAGAGAATAAACGTATCTGTTCCTCTCCAGGAGTCACTCTGCAACGATCAGGAGGTCACAATTAAAGCTGAGGAACACAGTTTATTATTATGACAGATTAGGGCCCTTTAATGATGACAGATTAGGACCCTTTAATGATGACAGATTAGGGCCCTTTAATGATGACAGATTAGGGCCCTTTAATGATGACAGATTAGGGCCCTTTAATGATGACAGATTAGGGCCCTTTAATGATGACAGATTAGGACCCTTTAATGATGACAGATTAGGGCCCTTTAATGATGACAGATTAGGGCCCTTTAATGATGACAGATTAGGGCCCTTTAATTATAACAGATTACGGCCCTTTAATGATGACAGATTAGGGCCCTTTAATGATGACAGATTAGGGCCCTTTAATGACGACCGATTAGGGCCCTTTAATGATGACAGATTAGGGCCCTTTAATGATGACAGATTAGGACCCTTTAATGATGACAGATTAGGGCCCTTTAATGACGACCGATTAGGGCCCTTTAATGATGACAGATTATCGCCCTTTAATG